TCCAAATCGAGCGTTGCAATACCCACGCTGTTTCGATATCTTTTCTGCCGATGGGAGTAACAGTTTCGGCTGCTCATCCCTATGCCAAACACAACACAAACACTTGATCCCTCCGACCATGGAAAACAGAATCGTCATGCGCAGCTGCTCTCAATGCACATGTCACCAAGTCACTATGATATATCCTGTGAGTTACCGGTGCATACTCATGCTGAAGAAAGAAAATAAATATGTGCTGTCTATCGAGCAAAGTCCAGATCCCGAACAGCGGGAGTACTCATTGAATGAGGCAGTTTCGATGGCCGAACGACAGCTTAAGTGGGCGAACAACAACAACACATTTTATGTTTCTTTCAGGTCATACAGATAGAGCATTTTCTACTCTATAAGATGGTATATCACAACCTATACGGGCATTGGGGTATTGGACGAGAACGAATTGCTCTAAGGTACCCTCTCAATAGGGTTCTCTCACTTTTCTTATCGTGATAATGCTAGTAAACGTTGCATGTTTCACGCTTTTAAGATAACACCCCGTGGGACATCCTTAAAGCCTGTGAATTTCTTTGCTATCGCGGTTGCTTTTTTCGCGTTGCTATGCACGATGGTGCCAAATTCGAGTTGATGTGTTTGCAACCCAATCCAGATAATCCAGATAATCCATAAATTCGATTTTTGTTTCAATTTTTCTTCGATTCAACCAATCAATGTATATACTCACCATGACTGCTTGATCGTGTCGTTGTGTGTGATCGTTGCGTATGAATCGTCGTGTCGTTGTGTATGATCGATGCGTATGAATCGCCGTGTCGTTGTGTATGATCGTTGTGTATGAATCGTCGTGTCGTGGTGTGTGATCGTTGTGTATGATCGCTGCGTATGAATCGTCGTGTCGTTGTGTATGATGTATGAATCGTCGTGTTGTTACCACTATTCCAACTGTTCCATTGTCTTTACCCATTGTAGACCGAACAGCACCACTATCCATTGTCTTTGCCCGCTTCTTGTAGACCGAACAACACCACTATCCATTGTCTTTGTCCACGTTCCACTATCATGATTGCTCATCTCTCTAACACCCGCCGCCGGAATGTAGATGCCAGACGGATCCCGACATTATTCATTTACCTGTAACAATTACAGCGATGAAGACATCGATGCCATTAAACGTGCCTCTGAAAACCCAAGGATCAACTATGTTATTTTTGGAAAGGAAGTTGCTAGTACTGGGACACCCATGTTTGGTTCAGCAACAAACATCGATGAGGAAAGGCTTGAAAATTTGTCCCTCGTTCAAATCCTTAAAACCTGCACGTTTAATTCCAAATTCAATTGAATACTGCAAGAAAGACGGGCAGTGGGAGCATTTTGGGGTGCCACCCGCCATAGCTACCAAACCCGGTAAACGTAATAACCTCAATGGATTCAAGGAAGCCGTAAAATCGGGATTTCGTGACATGTAGAACTCCGAGAAAACTACAGCGAAGTGAGTGCCACGTTCCCCGGATTCTTCGAGCAATATGTTGAGGACAATCGTCCTAAAGCGCCGATAGAAGCGCACCCCCTCAGACCTTGGCAACAAGACATCAACGATATGCTTAAGCGTGAACCAGACAAGCGTCAAATCGTGTTCGTAGTAGACGAAGTAGGTAATCAAGGCAAGAGTTGGTTTGCGGATTACTATGAAGACCTCCACGAAAGGACCACACAGATCCTGCACCCTGGGAAGAAAGCAGACATGATCTACGCGGTTGACGCTGAGAAAACCGTATTCTTTGTAGACTGTCCCCGAAGCAAACAAGGCGATTTCATCCAATATGACTTTTTAGAAGAACTGAAGACAGTATGATACCGTAGTTCATTTTGGCAAATGCCACGAAGGTGTGTTTGGCCTGAGCAAGGTCTTGGCGCAGCAATCGTGACTTGAACCGTGATTGGGTCCAACGGCTGTGACTGAACGCAGGCAGGGTTGCTTCCGAACTGTTAAATTTCATCGCCAAAACATAAATCTTGACTCCCACCAGCGCCAACCCAAGCCTCGCTGCTGCCTCTCTCACAAAAGATTGTCGAAGAAAGGCTCACTTCTTCGCCTGCCAAAAGCCTTCGCCACCTTCCGCCACCTTCCGCCACTTCCGCCCTTCCGCCATCAGCAACCCTCAACCGTATTCTTTGTTGGTTGTAAACCGAGAGGAAAGATCTGCTAGCGTGACCATGGCATTCTATATTCAACAGAGTCACCCCCCGGAACGACACCCTGGAAGAGCCACAGAAAGGAGGGCGTCTCCATGGGAGATCGCCGCCGAGGAATTCGTCAATGGACTATTGTGCCACTACGAGCCGCCCGAGAGTAGATATAGTCTTGAAGATACCGAGGTTGACTATCATGATCCACTGGAACTACAGCGGCCTCCCAGTATTCTGAAGACATCAAGGTCATTCGAGCAAAAACGAAGAAATCAGAACAAGGGTCATTCGGTCCGCTTTACAGGAATTCCGCAGAAGTCTGGGAGAGGGCTCAGACACGCCCAGCGTCCGAGATTCTTGAGGAAGTTGGCATGCCGAAAGGGACAGTGTGTGATCCGCGCCTTGATCCACGCACCAATCCTTCCAGCGTTCGTTATGACAAGAATCCTGAAGATAGTACGGTTCGACTACAAGAGAGTCGAGTCATGAGGACAGGGCCAACAAGGGGGGCCGGTCGTTTGTAAACGGGACTTTCAGATAGGGGCCCTTCTGAAAATCAGGGAAGTACCAGGCTCTACGTACCGTATACGAGAGGCTGCCAGGGTTGCTTCCAGATACCCTTGCCTCGCAAGTGAGGGAGCTTCCATTTATATAGCAGGTGTATATATTGCTAGTGTAATCTCATCCAAATGCATGTGGTTATTGCTTGATGCGACGACGGGGTTGGTTGTTTGGCTAACAAGAAGACCGTGAAAAACGAAGAAGAGAAAGGACGACCTATCAAAAAATCAAAAAATCAGAGCATAGCTGTTATTCGATGTGAATGGAATCAAAGTGATGCAACTGTCCATTTTTGAAAGCATCATCCCCCCTTGGAATCTATCCACAGTGTATCTTAACTTATCTAACTCTCGCGTTTCTAGTAGACAAACTGTCATAGGTTTCCTCTGCTTACTCTTCGCAGCCTCGGAAGTTTTGGGACCCCATCGTCAGAGCAGTATTACTACAACATGGAATAATCAATTCGCTCAAGGTAATCAGGGCAAATAAATATTATGCCTGGCCGCCAATCCATTTGAAGTTGTCCTTTGGAGAGGCGGTGGGAAGAGCTTGTCGCTTGCGTGTGCATTATTCTCCCTGACCATTCGGGTCAAATTGTACTGGGAACCGGTACGGGTAGGCAAAGGTGCCGCACAGTACCGGTAGATCTACCAACACCAGAAGATTCCCAAATACAACTTCCCATGCCATGCCAATCCAAATGTGAATGATCAATCCTTTCACCCCTCTGTTGTTTCCATCAAGGTATGCTTGCTCCCAAGGCCAAAATTCTTTGGCAGGGTTACTCGGCATCTTGTCTGTTTGGGAAAGTGTTTTGGCCATTAAGTGATCCTTCTGTAAATGTCTACAAACCTTTAGTAGACATAAGTAGACAAAGTAGACATTGTGCGACTTTTGTAGACATTAGTAGACAAAGTGATACATTAGTAGACATTAGTAGACAAAATGAGACATTGTGAGACATTGGTAGACAAAGTGAGACATTTTTGTACTGTTTTACTGTACTGTGTAGACATTGTGAGACATTGTGAGACATTGTGAGACATTGTGAGACATTGTGAGACATTGTGAGACATAAGCCACTTTTACAAAGGAGCATAGAACATTTAGGCAACTCTGTAATCAGATACAATAGCTTAAATAGACAAAATGCCGAGTAACCCAGCCACTTGCCAATGTAAATGCCACCAAAACTCAATACGGTACTCATGGTACATGTACCAGTACTGGTACTAGTATGTAACGGTACTGGTACCGATACGGTAGGAATGATTCAATCGAATCGAATCGAATCGAATGATTCAATCTGTTTGGATGACGTATCTCTGCAGTGGTCTCATTTCTTTTTCTTTTTGTGATACTTTTTACTGTTACCGTACCGGTAGGTCGTTCTTGTTGCTAGTACTCTCTAAAGCAGACAAGGCTTGGGAAGATGAGTACATTGTGGCTCCAAGTAATACTGTTGCTGTGTGTCAGCGGACCAGTCCTGCCCTTGACGCATCCATTTCCTGCCTCCTTCTCTGCCACTTCACTTTCTGCAACCAAAACTGCATATGAACAATCTCTTACAGATGATGTCGCGGACGGTAGATCGCCTTCGATTGACAACGAGTATGAATCTTTTCGAGAGTCTGCGTTTCGAATAGCCTGGTCTTTTGAGACTGAACCATTCAATCCATACCCACCGCTTTCGAACTGTCATTTCCAAACCATTTCAGGAGTGTTCCTTCGAGATGACAAAGATTGTCGGTATATCTCATCTGCAACTAAAGCAGGCAAGAGACTGGCCATTAAAAAGGCCAGCATGTTGCTCGCTTCTTTGGCTTCTGAACCAGACAAACACGGTAGTTTTTGGGATCATCGACAGCGAATCAAGACATCCAACAACGATTTTTTCCATGTGGACTACAAGTATCATTCCAGGGATGGAACTACCTCCAGTAAGGGTCTCGTGGTAATTGTCCATGGCCTACAATCCAATTCCAATTCATCACTGTCAGTGGATATGGGAAGAGCATACATCAGACAAGGGTTTGACTGTGCTTGTATCAATTTCAGAGGTTGTTCAGGGGTGCCCAATGCTGGACTTCGCGCATACCATCTGGGTTTCACCGATGATCTGAAGCAATACCTATCCTTATTGAATAGCGGCGTTGAAAAGCCGCCACCCATTTTTGTTAGTGGATTTTCGTTGGGAGCAAACGTTGTGCTCAAAGCGTGGGGTGAGTTGGGCATGTCAGCCTACGAAGACTACAATGTATACGGAGCAGCAGTCTGTGGGGCTCCGTTTGAAAATGAACGGAATGTCAACTGTGTTCAGAAGGCAGGTTTTAACAAGCTCGTTTACAATGGATCGCTTCTGAAGTCTTTGAAGACAACCGCTCTTAATCAACTGGAACGATATCCCGACTCGGAGGAAGCCCAGCTGCTGTGCTATGACGAAATTGCAAACTCGGAAGAGATCTCAGCGTTTGAAAATGCTGTGATAGCGCCCCTCTTTGGGTTTGAAGACAATATTGACTATTACAGAAAGACTGATTGCGTTCAGTTCCTGGACCGCATCCGAGTACCAACAATTGTTATCAATGCGGCCGATGACCCATTCTTTGACCCAAACTTCTTTCCGTTTGACAAGGGCTGCACTTCCAAAGAAGGACGGGAAAAGAGAAGCGCTGTAAGATTGGTTAGGACGAAGTACGGAGGGCACTTGGGCTACATGTTCCATCAACGAGAGGATGACACCAGAGAGCAAGAAGGACGGGACGAGGTGTCCTTTATGCCAGGCGAACTCTCTAGGTTTATTCAGCATGTTTGGGAGAGACGAACCTCACTTATGAAGAGATAACAGGCAGACATTTTCGGCAGCATGCCAGTTTCCAGTCGACTGGGATACGGTGCTGCAGTAGTACAAGTACATACCGGTATACGGTATGCCTTAGCAATCAACCTATGATCCATATGCTCAATTTCCTACTTGACGATATTCGTTTTCGAGCTGTTTAGGCGATCTCATTATTTTCGAGCTCGTTAGACGAGACCCTCCCCATGCACTCCTTTCCAAATGGTGCAAAGCAAACCTAAACAACAGTAGTGGATCCTTTCATGACAGGTTCAGCCAAATACACGTAAGGCTTTGCAAGTTTACATGTAGCGGCTCAACTAGCAAGGACAATAGCTAGCTCTTGCAAAGGCTTGGCGGTGCCAACGCCAACAACCCCTGAGAATATTATCATGGCCATGGCGAGCTTGCAAGGCCCCACCCGTACCGGTAGCACTGATCGAATTATTCAATCGACTCTCACGTGAATCGAATGGAATCGATTTCGGTTAAACTTTGAAAAGACAAAGAACTCCCTCATTTATGGCCGCTAGCTAGTCGAATGAGTCGAATCGAGTCCGCCACACGTTCGAACAGCAACAGCACCAACAACAGAAGCGTCCACAATGGCACACAAGTAGTCCATCTGGTTTATCTCTATAACAATAAGCCGGCGTATTATTTGTACTTCCTCGACAAGGAGAACGACAAGGACCAAAGCAAGCAAGGAGGCAAGGGAGAGAGTGTTGTAGTCTGGAAGAAGAGCCATGGCGGAGAACAACCCGCCGCCGATGGATGTTGCGGCTGTTCCACCAGCTGCGGACGCGAAGGCCGCGGCGAATCCGAAGCGGCGGAAGCTGCCCAACTCCACCGGCAATGGCGCCAATGACGGCGGCAAGTCGGATTCAGAGGAAAGCTATCAGCAAGTGAAGCGTCCAAGGACCCAAGCCCGTCATCCTCGAGGAGTGCCGTGGTTCACCATGTTGGAGCGTTTGAAGCAGTATCGGTGAGTTTTTGGTCCTCTTGGTGCAACCCCACCATGCCTTTTAAAAACATACGTCTTCTAACTTTTCTTTTTGCCCCAGAGTCAAGCATGGGACCTTGAATGTCCCTCGGATCCTCCCTGACGATCAGAAATTGGCATCGTGGGTTCATTACCAGCGTTACCTCTTTCACCACAAGACAATCGCCGAGGAGCGAAAGGCAGCCTTGGATGCGCTTGGTTTCGAATGGACGATTGCCGATTCCAAAGTTGGGAACAGAGTGTCCTGGGATCAGCACTTGGCACAATTGAAGGTAAAGACATCAAATGGAATCACTGCGGTGGATGATCCATCATCGTCGTTGCTCATCTTGTTCGCGTGACGCTACTGTAGGAATACAAGGAACGGCACGGCGACTGCCTAGTCCCATACACCTACAAGGACAACAAGTCCTTGGCCTATTGGTGAGTACTACTAAGCTACGCATGTATGGAACACCTTGCCACCCTTCAATACACACTAAACTCACAATTTTCGCAAATTAAACTACGTAAAGGGTCTCGCGACAGAGAAAGGACAACAACAAGGGACAGCTGCCGGAGGACAAAGTGGCGAAACTCAACGAGATTGGGTTTGCTTGGAATCCTACGTTGGGACGGCGCTGGAGCAAGAACAAGGATCAGAGGTCCAGATCCACCAACTGGGAAGGCCAATTCGAGAAACTCCGTGCAATTCACGAAATGGGTGCCAATGGTGCAAACGGCGCAGATACACGTACCCTAATTGAGCAGGACAAATCATTGGAGGCCTGGATGAAGGTAAGCCAGTAACAGGTATGTCCCATTCGTTTGCTTTTCCCTGGCTCACTGGATGCTTCTTTTTCTCAGAACCAACGCTACCTCTATTCGGTCAAACGAATGTCTGCCGACCGTGTTGCCAAATTGGATTCCATTGGTTTTGTTTGGCGCATTGGTATTAGCTGGAATGACTACCTAGTCCGTTTGAAGAACCACAAGGATACAACCGGAACCTTTGACAATATCGCGGACCCCAAGCTTTTGGAGTGGGTTGAGTGTCAGCGTATCAGCAAGTACTGGAAGGAACTCTCCAAAGAACGTGTGGATCAGCTGGTAAGTACAACCCCAACCTCGCACCCCCCTCTCAAATCGGATGATTCTGTTACGAAAAAGATCTCACAACCTCCTTTGACCCGCTTAAAGAACGCAATTGGGTTCGTCTGGGAGAGTGACAAAGTTTCCGCCTCCCAAGAAGAGTGGAAGCGGATGGCAGCTTCCCAGGATGCTCAACTAGGCGCCTCCGGACCAGCTCAAAGAGCTCCACCCAAGCCAATGCTGTATGCCAATGCACCTGCTGGTTTGGATGAGAAAATGCCAGCTCTGGTTGGTCAAACTGACAAAATGCCCGCCCTAGGCGGCCAACCCGTTGTGGATCCCTCGCAGGAAGAGATGACCAAGTTTTTGGATTCCGTCAACTTGGCTGGCAACACTGCTCCACCACCAGTGGCAGCAGCTCCACCACAGCGAGCACCGGCGGCGGAAGTAGGAGAAACCAATCTACAGGAATACAACATTGCCATTCATTTGGCAGGGTTGGCAGAGACAACCGATGCACCACAAACAAAGGAGGAGGGAGTGCTACAGCCGGTTGCACAAAACCAACCCTTGAAGCCGGCAGCCGTACAAGCAGTTCGCAATACACAGAAAGTTGAGGAGAAACCAGCTTACATTGTTGTGGATGGAAAAGGCGAGGCAATCCCTCCAGCCAAACAAGAGGCAACTGGTGCGGTGGATCCAAACAGTCTCATTGCGGCGGCGTCGGAACAAGGAGTGACGCAAGACGTTGCCAACGTGGCCAAGACTGAGGAACCTAGCCCAGCTGATGGAGGTGAGAATGAGGCAGAAGATATGTTTGAAAATCTCTCAACAGCAGAAAAGAACGTCGTTTTAGCCGAAGAGATTGTGGTCTTGCGCGAAGAAACAGTGAAACTTCGAGAAGATAAAGTGAAGGTAAGGCGCTCGTGATGCTTTCTGTTGTCACATACAACATCTTTCTCACTACTTTTACTCTCTCTGTCACACAACACATCATCAACAGGTGCAGGCAGAAAAGTTGGATCTGCATCATCAGATTGAAGAAATCAAAACGAAGAATGAAACTCTCCGGAAAGAGGCCGAGGACGAGAAGAACACAGAGGAAGACAATCCTCTGGTTGCGCACAAAAAAGAGTTGGAAGCAAAAGTGAAGGAGAATGAGAGCAAATTGAGTTCGTTTGCTGCACAAATCAGTGAACAGGAGGGAACTCTTCGTTCGCTGGAGCAAGGCGGGCCCGGGGCTGCGAATGAGGCATTTGTTTGAGCTGACATTTCGTTTCAAGGGCGACGAGGCTGCCCATCAATCCATTGTCCCCAACCAAAAAAGTACAAGACTTCTAGTGTAGTGAAACAAAAACCCATAAGAACAATGACTTGATGTTGTAAGTGCACTACTGGTAGTCACTACTAGCTAGAGATGGTTTCAACGAGAGCCCCACAGCACTCTGTTTGCAAGCACCGTACGATACCTCTAGCTAGCAAACGCCAGCGCACTGTATGCATGGTACCAGTACATCTCAACTCCTACCGGTACCTCCAATGCCCGTTACATTTATTGCCGCTTCGATCTCCATTATGTCCCACTACTGTACGCCAGCATTCCCACCTGTGGGTACTGGTACTGTACCGGTACTAGTACCGTAGCTAGAACCGGGTAATCAGCAGCGAGCGACTGAGAATGGTTGCATTTATTTGTATCAGTCTGAGAAACAATCGTAATGGTAATCTTATTGCTACACGACCTATTTCAGCGTCGGATCCGATGCCGGCTCTCCATTCAATGGAGAATGTCGTGCTCCAGTTTCTTGAGGCGACAAACCCCAGGGAAACATTGTTACAAATTCTTCAGCCGCGGTGGGGTGAATAGCTATAACAGAATCAAAGTCTGCTTTGGTAGCCCCCATCTTCAGCGCAATGCCGAAACCTGTTTCAATAGACAAAACCAAACAGTCAGCTTCCATTGGGGCTGCACATGGCCATCTGTGAGCATTGATTCAACCTACCTTGAAGCATTTCATCTGCCCCTATCCCAATGACGTGGAGACCCACAACTTTTTCTTCCGCGCCCGCACACACCAATTTCATGGCCGTCTTTGGTTTGTCGTCTGGTTCCACTTGCCATGGCCATAGTACAAGTTCACAAATCTTGATCTGTACACCTTGATATTGTCTTGCCCGTACTTGGCCACCGCCTCCTCTTCAGTCAACCCAATAGTTCCAATCGGAGGATGCGAAAATACAACCGTTGGAACGAGCTCGTAGTTGATTTTTGCACCGGCGTATTGTGGTCCACCAAACAGCCGATCCGCCAATCGACGACCAGCTGCAATGGCAGTCGGGGTGAGCTCGACTTCTCCAACTACATCGCCTACAGCGTAAACTCCCTCCGCCGATGTTTCTGAGTATTCATTGGCCTTGATGTAGCCGCCACTCTTTTGCTGTACTCCAGCAGATTGCAGTTGCAGTGATGCAACATTGGGTTTCCTTCCAGGCGCCATGAGAACTGTATCAAGATCATCAACGATTTCCCCATTTTTCAACGTCAACTTTTTGGTTCCATCTGCGTTGACATCCACTTTTTCCACTCCATTTGTATTGCGATATATCTCAATTCCCGCTCGCTGCATTTCCTCATCAAGCGTCGTTTTCAGGAGATCATCAAAACTACGGATTGCTCCTTCTTTTCGAACCACTAGCTTGGTCTCTGTCCCAAGTGCATTGAGAACTCCTGCGAGTTCTACGGCAATGTATCCAGCACCAACCACAGCAGCCTTTCGGGGAAGGTCTTCCAATTCGAAAAAGCCGTCTGATGAAATACAATGTTCTTGGATGCCTTCACCAGGAGGAAAGACGGGAACGCCTCCCGTGGCAATCAGAATGTGTTTTGCTGTGTAGGTTTCAGAATTTCCATCTTGGTCCACAAGTTGAACTGTCTGGTTTCCTGCCAATGAGGCTTGTCCAATAAGTTTTGCAACTCCCGAGTTTTCAATGTTTCTTTCATAGATGGAGTTCAACCGGGCAATGTACTTGTCCCGATTTTCCTTGATGAATGTCCAATCAAATGACACATCATTGTTGCTACTAGTAGAAAACCCGTAGTGCTTCATGTCATGGAGTGTCTCGGCGATGGATGCGGCATTCCACATTACTTTCTTCGGAACACAGCCCACATTGACACAAGTACCTCCCAGTCTGGCTTGTTCTGCCACAGCCACTTTCGCACCGTAGGTAGCAGCTCGTCGGGCACTGGCAATCCCTCCGCTGCCAGCTCCAATCACAAAATAATCAAAGTCAAAATTTTCCGGTGGTGGCGTTTGGGTACCAGTACCGGTGGTCATGGGTCGAATCAGACGTAGCGATCCTTGACGAAACGATTGACCGCCAGCAGTACGCTGCAAAAGTCTGGCAAATGACTGCACATATTCTCCGGTGGTGGGCTTTGCCCTGGCAACAGAATGCCGACTGATTGTTGCCGCGACGAGCATCATGGTCCAAAATTTCAGGGGTCGTTGGTGCATGCCAATCCGAACAGAATGAATTTGTGGCGGGAAAATGAAGGTCAAAAGATCCGAAAGATCCACCCCAAAAGAGTGTCACACTGGGTTTTAAAATTAAGGTTAACGACGATCTAACCATGAAAAAAGGTTCCGCTTCAAAACACTCGCTCGGTGGAGCTGCACAGCGCTGTTGTCCCCATAGTAATCTCCCACCGACTTTCATAATAAAGATCCTGCTGTCCTGCAATAGAATCGAATCGAATCGAATCATCTAGACTAAATCAAGATGCCTCATGGCAAGAAGTCGCGCTCTGGGAACGCCAAGAAGAAGAACAAGGGTGGCAACAACCCCAAGTCCAATCGAAACAGTAGTAACCGTGTGGAGGACGAAAACGAGTCGGTGACACGAGAAGATTTTCCCGACTGGCAAGACAATGATGAGGAAACGTCAAAAACCACCACAGAGCTACCTCCCTTTCAGACCGTCTATGATCGTTACAAACAAGCGACGGAACGATTCAAGGATGCCTTGTTTGCCAAGGTCCCAGCCGAACTTCACCAAAAAGGCCAAGTAACGGATCTGATGGATGCCGTGGATTATTTGGCCACGACCGAGATTGTCATTGAGCGAGAGCTGATGCGAGATTTGAAACTGGCCATTTCGGCACGACGACGGGCCACTCTGTACTACTACTCGACAGCAACACAGGATACTGGACATGAACACTTTTTGACAGTACTGGCGTACTGTTGGGGGAAACTCCGGTCCATGACCAAAAAGGCTGGCAGCAGTAAAAAGGCGACTCGCACAACCACAGCTTCTCAACCACAATCACAACCACAATTCACACAACAGCAGCAATCCGCTCATCATGAAGGAAATCGGTTCGATGGACTGGCCTTTTTAGAAGACGACGACGATGATGATGATTTGGAAGACGAAACGGAACTACCTCGTATTCCCACGGCCCGTCCCAAGGTCCCCGATCGACTGTCACTACAAGAATTGGTCCATGCCAACGACCGCATGGCCGCCATTTTCTTTCTCATGACACTCGATGAACTCATGGGACACAATGCCCAGCAATTTGCAAAACTCAAACAAGACTATCAATATGGTAAAACTCAGGGATATCCACCCACCACTATTGTAGAACAACTGATGGAAGCGACCACCTCCTGCAATTATGCCATTCAACTCGTGGCGACACTGGAACAACAATTGACGGTCGATTTTCCACACATGAACACGGTCTATCGATTCTTGGCCGTTTTGGTCCTTCCCCAATTTGCGCAATCCTTGACCGAACTTGTTGTTCAACAATCGCCCACCAAAGCGGTGGAGTTTCGAGAAACACACGCCTTTATGTTTTTGGGAGATGCTCTGGAAGCGGCATTTCGCAATCCCAGTGATCCGCGAAATCCCACCACGACATTGGCGGGCGACTTTGCCACCGAGTGGCAATTATTGAATAGCGTTGGCGAGTTAGAGGAAATGGTCAAAATGGTCAAATACGTCGTCTTGTTGGAAGCACCGTTGAAACAAGAGGTGGCCATGAATCAGAATTTCTTTGCAATGGCACAACAACAAGGAGCATCGCGACAACAACAGCAACAGCCATACTCGTGGTTGCCTCACACGCAATTCATTGGACAGAAGCGAGCCATTGTGCAGACGTTGCGCTTGGTACAAATGATTGGATCGGTACTGCATTCCAACAAGGGGCATTTGGTACTCAAACAGGGATATTTTGGGCGACAATGGGATGAAAAAAAGAAACGTGCCACATCTATTCAAGGGGATCTTGATGAATTCCTCATGGGAGATGTCCTGCCGCTGCTCAGTTTAATGTGTCATGAGGGGATGCTCTCAACCCATTTGCCGTTTGAACGAGAACTGCTCACGTTCTTTTCCGAATTGAAGGCGTTTGTCAAGAATCCCTTACAGCCCGTGAGTTGGGCATTGGTATTTGCCGTGCATACACTCCAAACTTCCATTATGGAAGTACAGGGCAACGATGACGTGCATAATATTGGAAAGGAAGCCAAATCCTGCTTTGAAACCTTCATGGGACAAATTGACTGGGCCAAGACGACGTTTCAGTCCGAATCGGGACGAGCGCAGCATTGGCATGCCAACATGAAACGCTTGTCCAGTCTGCGGTGGTTGGTGCGTCCGCTCGCGTATCCCACGCAGCTAGTGGGAGTGGAGCGAGAAATCAAAACCATGAGGGCCGTTTGGAATCCACTCTGTGCCGGATCTTTTCTCTTGTTCGTCTCCTACTTTGTCAATTTGGAAGGTGGAACCAGCATGATTGACAATTTTGCCCAATTACGATTGGTCCTCCATCTGTACAATGCACTGCTCGTAAACGGAGCGCTGGAACCCGGTCAGTTGGAAGTTCTCGACTGGTTACACCGCCAGTTCCAAAACAGCAAGGCCGTTTGGGAGGGTGCCATTCCAGGGAGAGGACAATTTGTGTATCGATGGTGGTTGACGTTTGGGTCGACGGCAGCGCTGGCGCGACAAAAGAGTGGCGAAACCAAGGAAAGAATCATTCACTCGACACCACAACAACAAATGAATGATGCTGCAGCACAGATTGGGCGTGCCACTCGCGAACAGACACCGATTGAACCCAAAGACCTTTCCAAGAGCTATCGGCGTATCTGCATGCATGATTTTGCAGGGTTGCAGGATCGCTATCATACACCTGAACAACGACGAAAACAGAGGCATGCGGATATCTATCGGCATGCCGTCCGAGTCAATGACACTTTGGATGCCATGGAAGCGGATCAACGGCTCTTGGCATCCAATCTTATCAATCTTGGGGAACTACTCAATGAGTTCATTACCAGTCTCTTTCGCATCCTGGAAATCGAATCAGAGATAAAGAAAGGAGTTGCTCAAATTCCAGATTCAATGAAACACACCAGACGTATCAGCGGAAAGCGGGCCAATCGATGGGAATCAGGAGATGCCAACGTGGAACGGCAGATTCTAGTGGAACTGTATTCGGAGGTGATACTTGGGCCATTGGACTTTGATCCTGCTCCGCAAAACAACAACATGGTGGTGCGGACTGCAGCCTTCATGAAACTTTTTTTCGGCAGGATGGATCCTAGCAAAGTTATGTGGTTCATTCCTACAGAAGAGGAGGGTTAATCAGGAATCGGGAACAAGTGGCTACTGCATCTCACAAACTAACTATTTTCTATGACTAAACTGCAGTATGAAACCGTTGAAGGGCACCGATTTTGTTCCTTTGTAACCTTTAGAAGGCTCGCCACTTCTTGATGCTGGTCAACCCAGGGAACACCATACAATCTCCTTCAGCATCAAAGCATGCTGTTGCCTACGTTTTCCTGCCCTGCCAGGTTGATTCTCCCTTGGCAGCTCTGTGCAGTTCAATGAAACCGCGACTCCCTGGAGCGACGGAGAAGTTGCAGTCTCTGGATTTGTTGTAGATCAGGAGAGGATTTTGTCTTGTCATCTCATCTATCTAGTTTTACAAACGCTTCTTTGCTACACTGCCATTACGATTGATTCGGTTCGGTTCCAATACCGGTAGAGGAAACGAACCTCTATGCATGCTAACGAAACCCTAGCAGCTGCTGAAGCAACGCTCGGATGCGTGTCAAGTAGACAACTGGCTCCAAGCGTAGTGAGAGAATGTCGGTAAGGCGACTTGGCAAGGCATTGAAAACTCTGCCAGCAATCCATGATGGGATGGCTCCAAGTCTTGATGTCATATAACGAGTTTTTGGATATCTGGAGAAAATGGCGTCATCAATGCTGAGACACGTTTCTTCCATGCTTCCAGTAGCACTTGCAAGTTCATCTACCATGCTCCTGTACGATTCACTCGTAACATGAGAATAGATCTTCACTACTTCTTGGTGATTGTCATCATGTGTATTGTCTGTGGTGTCCTTCCTGGATGTAACAATACTGCTCTCCAAAAACCCAGGATTAATCAAACTCACAGAAACATCCAATGGTGTCAGTTCTGCCCGCAAAGAATCAAACATGGCCTCCAGGCAATGTTTGGAGCCTTGGTAGGCTGAAATCAGGGGCGCGCCTGGAAACAAACCTGAGACGGAGCTGACTGTGACAACTCGTCCCTTGGTTTCCCTAATTAATGGCAATGATGCCTGTGTAAGTTGATAAGTTCCGATAACATTCACTTCCAGGACTGTCCGTAGCCTCTCCACACCCAGCAATTCAAATGTTTCCATGTCATTAATGCCTGCATTGTTGACAACAGCAATCAGAGGTTTTTTGGCTTGAGCAATTTCTTGGAAAACACCATAGTGCTCTTTGTTGGTAATATCCAAAATGATTTGTTTCACGTTTGGCAGGTCAAAGGGAGATCCCTCTACCTCTCTTCGCACACCACAGTACAGTGTCATTCGGGGGTGCCTCTCGGCCAACCAACCACAGGCAGCGCGCCCAATCCCCGAGGAAGTCCCACTGATTAGGATGATCCCCTCACCATCGGCATCATGCACAGGAAACTCCTTGCGAAGAACCAAAAAGTGGACCAGCACACTGATCACTCCAACTGCAACTGCTATCCACTTCATGATGAACAGACTATCTACAAACCACAGACTGATGGATTAATCATTCAGGCAAAGTACGTTGGAAGGAGCAGGATAAACCAGTACGGCAGCAAGAAGTTGCCGCTGCGTTCTGCGTTCTGTCCATCAGGACACAGGATGCATGGAAGGGATTGATTCGATAGGTTGAAGCAACGTGTGGGAAGTAGGAAGAAGAAATCACCGTTGTGTTCCGTCCCCTGCCTTCCTACTGTACAGTACGTATCGTACCGGTACCAGTCACGGTACTAGTACCTGGTACCTGGTACCGGTATCAGTCACGGTATCATTATTTTGGCATGACACCATTGGTCATTCGCGAGACCAAAGAGCACTAACCCTCTGCCATTTTGCAAGAGGACGTTTGACTGTCGGTAGTCTGCTCTAGTACCGGTACCAGTACCGGCCCAGCTACCGGCCCTTGGAAGAAAAAGTTTGTTGGCTTCCGGTAGCTAGGTGGGGAAAACGTATACAGCACTGTATTGAGGACCTCCTCACCCAGGCAACCTCGAGTCGGCACAAGAAGGAACGTATTGAGATAATGCCACAAACGGAGAGTGTCTACACGTGTACGGAGTAGAAATCCTCCAGAGTACGGTCTCAACTCAAGTGTGATGCACCTGGGTACCGGTATGTCACAACAGGAACTTTGCAGAACTGAAAGTCAACTTGGTAGGATTGCTATTGGCCCCGGTTGACTTACTTAACCTTTGTCCTTCCTTGACAGGTTAGCTACCAGTAGCTAGTCTATTTAGATGTTGCTCATTGATTAATTTTATTTGCTCTTGACTGCTTCGACGATAAACATTGGATCGTTGTAGGTTGTGGTCGGATCATTGGCCGTAATGTCAAATGCTTTGCGTGGTTCAAAACCTCCAGCATATTGAAAGTATGCATTGATAAGTTCGAGATGTTGTCGGTCATTCATTTTCAACCACATTGCAATTGCCTTGGAAGGGAAACAACGGTTGGATTGGGACACAATCACCTTTCCACCGGGTCGTAGTACCCGATGAATCTCCTTGACTACTTGAATGGGATAAATCAAATAGTCAATCGATACAACACAGGTAACCACATCGAACGAATTGTCGTCATAGGGTAGTGTGGCGTCCACGTTGAGATCCTTGACTTTGAAACCGCCAGTGAGCTGATCATTGAATCCAAGTTCAAGTCCATTCATCCCCGTGGCACAAATCTTGTTCATGGTTTTTGGAAACTCGAGTGGATAGTGGCTGACCCAAGAAGAACAGATATCCAAAAGGTCACTTTTCTTTGGAATATTGTTGCGGTAATATTGTGTCAAGGATGCCACGGCGGGTTCATCAATATGATAGTTGAGCCTCGGCACGGTGTAAAAGGACGAATCATCAATCTGATCGGCCCGAAAGAAATCTTCTGGTTTAAAGGGTGGCTCGGAAGGCCATTCCTTTACCAAGCGAACTGGATTGACTGGGAAATCATAGGGTGTCGAGTCACCTGTTAATCGTCGCACAAGCATTCCTCGAGTGCGTGGATTTCCCTCTGCAAGAAGACGAGAGAAACAGGCAAAAAGAGGCAGGCATTAGCATCACACAGAGAAACACACAAAAGCTCCACCACTAAACAAACAAATGCCTTGCTACTATTAAACTCACTGGAGTCTTCTCCATACTTCATTTCCAAATCTCGCTCAATGTACCTTGGATTTTCAGTCCCCACGGATGGTTGTTTGGCATTGCAGCTTTCCGGGTCCAGCGCCAACATTCCGCCGGTAGAAACCAAAAAGGTAGCTGCCGTGGAGGAAAGAAATCGCGAGCGAGAAAGTAGAGAGCGAGATGGATTTCTGGATGGTGTCCTCATCGACAATGATGACGACAGACAATAAATGGGATCCACAAGGAGCTGCAACAGTGACAGAACGAGGCACGTCGATAGCAAGATCTGAAAGAGTCTCATGCTGTAAATAAAGAAGCAGCCACCGTAGCTCGAAACGCAGGTTTCCAAGCAGGTAGATCAATAAATAAATAAAAATAGATAGATGATCCCAATGGGTGCTCTTGTGCTACTAGTAGCTTCTATGAATGGGAGCCCATTGGCAGCGACCTGTGTATGTCTATGACAGAGCAAAAGATCGTGCTGAAAGATCCAACCGTCATCGCTTCCAGGACTTGGGGTAAAAAACACCTTCTCGAAGATGATCCGCGATTCATAACTCGTGATCAGCTTCCTGGATTAGATGTTCCGCGCCAAGGACGAATGCGCTTTCTCTTCTTCATTCTGCAACCAACACACCACTAAATTCCTGGTACCAGGTAGCTATAGCAGCTAGCTAGCAAGAGAAGCCGAGGCCATGATGATGGGCATTAAGCATGTAACTGCTGCTGTGATTGCAGTGATGTTTGCAGCCCAAGGTGCCGTGTATTTCCACCAAGAGTTCGTGTCGGCAATTTCCTATGCCAAGGACGATGGTTCTGTCAGTCGAGCAAGACAAATTGAAGTCGTCAACCGTACCATTGGAAACAAAACCGTGCTAATGGCCACCATGCATTCCGTGGCATTCAACCAGACGTTGCATCAGAGAAAGATTGTTGATGAAAAAACAAGTGGTGAAGATGCCAGTGAGGAAGAAACAGATACAGAGGCCGATTTGGCAGAAGAGGAGTTACGGAAGGAAGAACAATCTGCAATTGAAACAACAGAACTGAAGGTGGAAGAAACATCACAAGAACAACCAGAAACAACAAACACGGATAAACCACAGACTGACAATGACATAGATCAAGAGACAAAAGCAGATACAGCTGACCCTGAACCAAAGCAAGACACTCCAGAAATAGTGCAAACCACAGAAACAACACAAGAAATAACACCCAGCAGCCCTCAGCCTGAATCATCAGAATCCACTACTCAAGTCATTAATAATAACAAGACACGGGCAGCAACAAAGAAAATTTCCACAGATGAATCAATCAAAACAATTCAACAACGGAAACCACTGGCAGAAATGACAGAGCAAGACAAGTGGGAAGCCGAAGAAGCATTCTACAAATACCACAATGAACAAATGAATCTTCTCGTCAATGACGATTCCATTGTCGACTGGAACCGAGAACGACGATCCAAGGGAAAATACAGTCGATGGTTCGAATTCTTTCAATTCTATCAAATCACCAAGAACCAAAAAACATTGAACGATGATGTCGACCAGATTGACAAGGTACAATTTGTCAGATTCGATGGCAGTCTTTGTAAACCCACAAAGTTGTTTACCAACTATCGACAAGAAAATATCAAAGCCAACAACACAAAACCACGTCTGCGTCATGTCCTACTGTCCAAACTGAATCAGGATTTTGGAGCCTTCTCCACACAAATGAATGGACTCACTGGAAGATTTGGACAACTCGTCAAGGACTGGGGCAAAGAAGGATGCACCGAACAAATGATCTTTGACTACATCAATCATCCGGACACATTAGGAGTCTTCACCAATCAGTTCCAAATATACGATCATCCCAAGGTCCTATCCATTACCTTGGGATTGTCACCAGGAAGACAAAACACACTAATCAACTATTCCAAAGTTTACAGTCCCAATCGAACCGCGCTTCTCATGATCAACATGATGGATCGTGGAGGTCGAAGATCTGCCATGTACCCCATCATGGCAAGATTCAAAAAGGAACGCAACATTGACATGGTCAACTCGTACAACAACTACGCTGATGATGGCAAAAATGGGACCAAACTTTGTCATGAAAAAGATGGAAAGGGCGATGTCAATATCAAGGGATGCTACTATCGAGAAATGCTCGACAGTAAATTCCTCATGTCTCCCAATGGACTCGGATTGGACTGTTACCGTCATTGGGAAAGTATGTACTTGGGTATAATTCCCGTCTTGGAACGAAACTCCAAGTACAAAAACACCGATGGATGGGCCAAGCGCACATTGGCCGATTTGCCAGTCACGTGGATTGACAACTACGATAATCTATCGCCTGAGTTTTTGGAAGCCGAGTATGATCGACTCATCTATCAAAAGGATCCTACTGAATACAACTTTCGAAAGTTGACACGACAGTATTGGGTGGACTTGGCCCATTCCGTGGCGAATGGAACTTTGGTGCTCTCTTCATCGTCTACAACAACCAGTCGTCGTCGTCTTAGGAGGAGGCGCCATGATGAGAAACGATGACGGGATCCTGCGGTTACGTTGACATGCTGGAAAACAATCGGAGAAGCTTGCTCCATTTCCTTGCCGCTACCGGTATCCGATTTGACAGCGACAAAACCAATTTTGCTGTGTCCGAGTCGGGTTGCCAATCCAGACGACACGAGCTCCTCATTCAAAGGAAATTCCTCGACACACTCTAAACCGACCGCCGCCAACAACGCTGGCCGCAATGCGGTTCGTTAGTGTGCGGTGCCTTTTAGTCTCTGGATTAATCCAACTGTCGGTCCACATCCAATTTTAAAAGAATGTACAGTACCGAATAGTCTTTGGAATCGGAGCTACTACTAGCTACTTTTAAAACGTAGTAGTAACACAAATGACAAGACTACCAGTCAAAAAGCCTTGAAAAGACAAATAAAAGCCCCATGATAACAAATAGTCTGAGCATAGTGTTACAGTAGATAGATCGATTCATAAGAAAGGAGGCTGGACCAGCCGATCAAGACATTTAGCTTCCGCCTTCTTGCAACGGCAGAGCTGCTACCATAAGACTAAGCCCAGGAGGCATTGGAGCTGGGGCAGGCGGGAGCTGAACTTCTGAAGCAACAGTTGTTTCAGCCGCCGGTGGCATTGCATAAGCTTGCTCCGCATGACAACTTCCCGAAGGGGGAACTGATTCCGCCGCGGCCTTGACAGCACCCGCCTGCAACGTCTCCGGCTCTTGCCTGAAACTGACTTCTTGCTCTTTCGTGACATTCACAGCTGAAAGTGCAGGTACAGCGGACTGAGGCTTCAATGCGCACATCTCCTGTGTTGTGATTGTTGCTGCTGTTGCCGATGCCTCCTTTGCGTCGTTCCCGTTGTGTAAGCTTTCGCTTGCCGCAGGCTTGACGTTTTGCCCGATCATAGCATTCAAACAATCAAGCCCCACAGCAGTTGAATTGCTGCTGATGGCACCTGCCTGCCCCAAAGCCATCGGCCAGGATCCAAGAGAAGCTTGCGCAGCAGCAAATGCAGCGAGATCACCGGAAGCCGCAAGCCAATTGAAGGATGGCAGTTCACACGGTTTTACCGTTGTGGCGACTGACGGTGCAGCGGTTATGGCTTCAGCGCTGTCAGACCGAGCGGGCGGCAGAGACGACGACAACGCAGGTGCTGGAGCCAAAGCTTGTTGGTTAACGGTTGTGCTTTGGTCGTTTGAAGCAAGTTGCGCCTCATTTGCCACCGCTTGCTGGACAACAGCACTCCCGACACTGGCAGCAGGCGTCGCAAGAGGCACGTTCACGGTAGGGGCCGACACAGGCACAACAGCTGCAGGTACAAGTTCCTCCGCGTCTGGAATTGCACTTATTTCTGGTCCCAGCATTTCCAAAGCTGTTGACGACCCAAACAATCCAAAAGGTGGCCACATCTTTGCAGAGTCCGGGGCCACCGACGCAATGAGATGACAGCATGACTTCTTTCCTTTCTTGCTGGAAGCATCAGACACTTCGTCCCAGACAATACCGCATTTCGCTATGTTGACCTGCAACGGCGATCCCGAGCAAGGAGGACACACCCAGTTCTGCATATCGTCGCTCTGTTCCTTGGTCATGTTGACACAACTACCATGAAACCAGCGCGCGCACTTGTCGCAACCAAGCATAACCCGAGCATCACTGGGTCCTCCACAAATGCAGTATCTGGCGCCTTTGTCTTCAATAACGGCGTTCAACAAAGACACTTCTTTCAGATGACACGGAATATCCTGAGCCGCCAATTCAAGCTCCTTCAGAGTTTCCAGGTTGTACTTCTTCTTCTCCCCGGGACTCGGAGCTAAGGCCTTCATCACCTTTGCCTGCCATGCCTTGGCACGTGTGAGGATGCCTCTGAGCACACGAATTGCTTTTTCTTCAGAGAACTTAAGCGGCTTGGCAAGAGAGACAAGGAGTTCGACGTCTCGATACATGGGTTTCCTAGCCAATGTCGTGCTGGCAAGAATGCACCAAGACAAACAATGGAATCCATTAATCGTTGCTGCCACGTCGGTCAAATTGGCAATGGCCAGGTCTTGTGCATTTTTGATGAGACTCTGCATGATGAAAGAGGCTGAACCATCCTTCAGCGGTCGGCTTTGTTCGGCGCCCTCGTCGGAACGCGGAAAAAGGACCAAGGATCTGACGCGAAGGAACCAATTGCGTAACAACGAGGCTTTCGCATCTTCCTGTGCCATGATCTCTTTTTTCTCTTCGGTTTGCTTACTCAACAAAGAGAGCCTGTCGTTGCATTTTCTGATCGTGTCCAGGCATTTTTGTATTTTGGCTTGCGCTGAAGTTGACAAAAAAAAAGTGAGAGAGGACGAGTTACAGCAACAAAATGGAAAGCCTTCATGAACGTACCTTCCTCTGGAGTGAGCTTGGGCTGCGGCTTTGGTTTTTCAGCTTGTTCGCTAGAGTTTTCTGGTGTTTTGTCACTCTCTGGTGGTGTGGGTTGCGGTGCTGCCGTAGCCTCGGTGGAGACGCCATTTGTCAGTACCAGTGGATTGCTCACACCGGCGCAAACGTTGTTTTCGACTTCCATGGCAATAGCCGCGGTCTGTATGCTTTCCTGTTGCTGCTGGCTTTCCTCTATGGCCTGAATTTGAGCTCTCTGCTTTTCAATCTCTTTAGTCTCCTTCCTGATCTTGCGTTGGTGCCTCTGTGACTCTGTCTGTCTCGCCCTTTTCATGTCTTTCTGGCAGGTCCACTTTTTAACAGCAGCAACCCCTTCTTTTGCAGTGTTCTTAAAGACTTTCGAGACACAGCATCGGACGCAGACAAACTTATCGACACGGTCAGCTTTGGATTCAGTGATTCCGATACAAAGGCCGTGGTACCACTCTTCGCATTCATCACAGCCAATCATGAAACCAGAGTAAGGTCGGCGACAGATGCAGTAGAGTTTCATCGCTTGCTGCAAAGTAGCGAGCTCTTCTGGCATTTCCAAGAGAAGCGATTCGTGCTCCTCGATAAGTGCTTGCACAGCAGTAGCATTCGTCGAGCCTTGATCCAAATCGCATCGCTTGACTTTGTTGGACCAGTTTCGGGCCAGACGCAAGGCATTTTTTATCACTTTCATTTCTTCGCAGACAAAGCCAAGCTTTTCGCCTTCATCAAGAATGCTCTTGGCCTCATTTCGACTCATTTTGGGCCCTTCTTTCAGAATTCGCGCCGTTGATTTTTGCCATTCCATGGCCTTGTAGAAAATACCTCGAACTCTTTGCACCATGTCACAAACTGGAATGCCAAGGATAGCACTTCAATTAGCAAAGAGGCTAGAGGAACGCAAGGTACGCTCATCGCTGGCAGCCACACTTACCTGACGGGAAGGCCCTACTCTGATCGGTGAGCTCTTTCAACTTGTCAAGAGGAGGCTTCTTTTCACCCTTCGAGCCCAGCATCGCTTCCGCGGCATTGCACCATGAGATGAACTGTTCTCGATCCGCCAGCAAAACTTCAAGGCGCTGAAGCTGATCCGAAACGACTGCACTCCACGCCGCATTGAGCTTCTCGGCCAATTCCTGATCCTCTAGTCTGATCTGCTCACCCTCTCCGGATCTGTTTGTAGGTGCTAGAAGGCCTCGTCCCTGCGCGACAAATCTATCGAAGGCTCCGAAGAATCTCTTGTCAAACACATCCCTTTGAGTTACGAGATACTTCACGGACCTCACACACCAATTCGAAACCTTTTCGAGCAGATCCGCAGCTTCTACTTCACCAGAAATCACACCATGCGTCATCGCTTCCCTGCGATAGAACTTGATCAGTTGGTTTATATTGCAGTTTCCATTGCCCATGCTCGGAATGCCCTCTTGGTCCTCTGAACCAGCAGTTGACGACATCTCCGCCTGCACCAGATCATCAGCAGACTTCTTTTCGTCCGAGTCGGACTCGCTTTTGGTGTCATCTGCGTCGCCTTCCGTTGACTCTGGCCTTTGCTTCTTACGGGTGTATTCCTGTGGAGGTCCGTACGTTTCGTCGGCCACATGGCGAAGTTTCTGAAATCCATTGTAGATGTTCTCCAGCTCCTCTCTTGCTTTAGCCCTCCATTCCTGAACGGTACTGAGCTGGATTTGGAGTCGGTTCACCTCTTCCGATGTGTCTACAGGGAGTCGTTCGGCTTCCTTGATGAGCCCAATGATGTCATCAACTGTAAGCTTCGGTTTTCGTCCACGGCTCTGTCGCTTGCTTCGTTTTGGCGCAGCATTCGTGGCGCGAGTAGTCCAATCCTTGACCTTTTCGACAAGTTTCATGAGCTCCTTGGCTTCGTCGAGGTCCAAAGATACTTCCGATGCTGCCGCCTCGGAAGCCGCAGTCATCATAGCTAGGGTAACACGAGACTTATCCTGAGGCACGAAGGAAGCTTGGTCACTCGGAATAATCTTGCATGTCAGCAGAAGGGTCTCATGTTTCTTTTGCCAGTCCTCGGCCTGTGCCAGTATTCTTGCCATCTTCCCTGCGGCATTACCAATGTTTGCATGAATTGCATTCGCTTCGTCACAAATAGTTCGCAGTGTCGTCATAGAAAGGCAACTCCGAACTTCTGATCGGCGATTATCCCAGTCGAGATACGGCTTGTACTGTGACGTGACCAGACCATCGTGAGCTCGATAATTCTCAAGACACACACTGCTAGCATTCCCGTTACAAGTGCATCTTACCTTCACAAACCAGTCATCGGCAGCTTGCACAATGGCACGAATCTCCATTTCCCCTTCCAGCACCCACTCAATCTTCTCCGATGCTGGTAAGTCGATTCTTTCCCGGAGAAGTGCTCCTTTTTCGAGATGCTCTCTCAAGTCTTCCAGCTTGGCCTTTTTGCAAGCAATGTCCTCGTCCTTTGCCAAGCACGGCACCCATTTTTTGGCTTTCATTGTCCATGTTTTGCCATCCAGCTCGATTTGCAGCAACTTCACAAGGTCAATTTCCACCGGTATACGGCTTCCCTCCGACGCCAAGTCGTGGAGTTCAATATGCTTCCCGTCCCGAAGAGCATCTCGCATGCTCCCCATCCAACGCAACAGCGCCTCTCCAGAATCCAAGCAGATTTCATCAGGCATACTGTCCGAACAAGACACGACATCTTTGAAGCGACTGATCCAGTCGTCTGCCAAGCCAACACGGGAACGAAGCTTTTCCATGAGGTCAGACAGGTTGACAGGGAGTTCTTCGCCCTTTTGTACAAGGGCTTTGATCTCCTTCAGCGAGATCCTCGACCTGATGGCAATGTTGGCGCGATCGATCCAAGCCTCCACTGTTCTGTGGGTTTCCAAAAGATCTGTCACCACAGGAAACTTAAGTTTGAGCCGATTGGCATCTCGGACCATGCCACACAAATACTTAAAATTCTCCTTTTTGTCGTCCAAGTCTTCCTCGCACTGCTCACAAGACTTTGAGAATGAATGAAGGACATTCACCGGCAATCCAGGCAACCACAAGGTCAGTGATCCAACCTCGCAAATGCGCAAAACATACATCATAACACCAAACGACCACATACCTGTCTCCATTGCAAAACTCTGTCCCGCAATTGGTAGGCTTTCTGTATTCGGTTCTCCAAGCACACAAGGCTCCTGCTACGGAAAATGAAGGACCTCCCTTCCTGAGCCAGGTCTTCCAGGCTGGAAAGACACAGCTCGTCCTCCTCAACCAATGCATCCAATCGACTCTGCCAATCCGCGACCAACGCAAGTTGTTGATGTAGCTCCGTAGCGTCATCTAATTCAACAGGGAGAGCCCGGATGCCTTGCTGATCCAACAGCTTTTGGACAATGTCCCATTCGACCCCGCCATCGTTGGTCTCGTAAAGAGTATCCATCAGTTTGGCTTGCACTTTCCGTGCCTTGTCGGCATATTCCGCAATGAAATCGAAGCTTCGGTTAATATCGGGTGTGACAGATGCGGCACGAAAGACGTCCTCTGGCATTGGCCGTACTTGGTAAGCATTGTTGAGAAAGGAAAGGAGCAAGGAGAGCTTTGTGGGAGGTACCCTGCTGCTGCTGCTGGCCTTTGTTAACTGTTCGACGATGGCCTGACCTAGAAGCAAGATGGCTTTCCAAGTTTCCCTGTGGAATTCCAGTTCACCTTGATCCGCTGGGAGAGTTTGGTGCATGGCTTTCTTGCCCTTTTTCTGTGTGTCATTAGTAGAAGTTCGATAATCCCCAGTCATGGCAGCCACAGCAGATTGTTCGCAGAATTGGCGCCAGTAGAGACCACCATGGTTGGGTGTGTCTCTTCTCCGCTTGTGATCATTGACTTTTCGTGTCATTTCGGCTGTGGGCAATAACGCCAACGTGAGGACCATCGCCAAGAAACGTGCTAGTTCCAGTTGCCATTTGATCATTGACTTACCTTTTCCCGCCGATAGCTGCACTCTGGTTTCCACTTTAGCAATACCCAACTGTCCCTTGTGCCGCAACCAAAAGTGCTGCATGGCGTGTGCCTTCCCTTCTTCCATAATACTAATGTCACAAACACTTTGAGTTGTTCTTTGTCGTTTGGTGTCGTTGCTGGCTAATAGAATGTTCTCGTCGTACCAATCCAAGGCATCCTGACATGTTTCTGGCTTTACTGTGGATGAAGAAGCGTCTTCCTTTTTTCGTTTCCTTCTTCCCCTTCTCCTGGGTTGCATTGCTTGTTGCTCTGCTTCTTGTTGTTGCTTTCTTTGCATTTCTTCGATGGCTTCTTGAGCGCGTTGTTGTTTGTCTAGGTGCCACTGTAAGATTTTACTTTGCCAAGTGTCGTTAGCGTTGTTGTTAGCCGTGACAACAAAAGTCTCCTTTGGTGGTACTAGCAAGGGTTGAATGTAGTCCCAGAATGCTTCTCCATCATCAGTGAATGTTGTTGTTGTTGTTGTCGACTCTGCTGATGATGCGAATGCTGCGCTTGTTGCCGATGGACGAACGAGCAAGCCACCTCGTTGCGTCTTGAGATTTTCTTCGGTGTCTTGGTCTTCCTTGTTGTTGTGGTGGTTTGTATTGCTGTTGTTGCTTTGAGCGTCCATGGATGAGTTGGTCTCTTGATCATTATTGTGGATGTTGTGGTTGCTTTGTCTGTCCGTCGACCCACTGCTGGTGTTGTTGGAGGCTATGGAGCTGCTCGAGTGGGGTGAAGTAACCGTAGTAGTAGTAGTGGTTGTTGTTGTGGGCATGGCATCTGCTGTCAAGGTGGCCGCTGTATCGACTTCCATGTCGCTGGGTGGTCCTGGAGGGTGAGTGAGAAAGAAAGAGACGTTGAGCGTGCGCAAGACATTGTTAGGCGGGAAAACCAACCAACCAACCAAACGCTACTCGAGAGCGGAGAGGGAGAGATATGCGAAGGAAGCGCTGCGGTTGTCTCCGCACTGAACGGTTCATCTCGTCGTGTGGTGTTGGTTGATTAACCTCAGGGGCAAGGCAATCAACTGGTGCCTCCTGTCGGCATATATCCGATAAAAGAACAACCACCCAAACCTTCCAACGACCAAAGAAGGATTCTTCTTCCGAACAACATGACCACTGGCTCCAGTCTCCAGATATTACACGACACCAACAAGAAAACCAACGACATCCAATTTAGGACTGGGTGACTGGTTCACTCCAGCTAGCTGATGGTGTCCACTCGCCAACCCATTCATTCATTACCAACCAAGTAACAAAGAACACCAAAAAAGAACGCATTTCATTCTCCAATATAGTAGAAGACAACATCTCCTTACCTTGCAGATTGTTTCCCTGAGCATCTTGTGCATTTTCTTCTTGTTGTTGTTGCTTTGCTTGGTATTCCTCCACCTGCTTTCCCGTCAAATGAGGATATTCTTGCGAGACCAGACTGGGTGGTTTCCTAGTGACAGCTCTCTGATAGACCCGTTGTTGTTGTTCTTGTCCATCTTTTGCCGACGACAATGGCGCCTTGGGAACTTTGGCCTGGTAATGGCCACCCACACGAATCTTGCGATTCTTAAAGATGTCACCCCCTGGACTGGGAGACCCCAGCACAATCCCCACAGGCAATGGCCGATCCACGATCTCCTTGGTGCGAGGACGACCTCTCCCGGAGTACACTATCGAATTCGCTCCTATATTCACGTTCCGTCTTCGACCCGACATGGTTCCTCGGATTTGGTTTGCTCAGAGGCGTCTCGATCGATTAGTTGTTGGCTCTTGGGTGCTTTTCCTGGTCCTCTTCCTTCACTATAATTTCTTCTTTCAAAACACAAAAAGCAAGTGAATGGATGATTTGCCTTTGGGATGAGAAAGCGAGATTGGGCGGAGATTTTAGAGAGAGATGTGTCGGGGTTGCAAGTTAGCGGTTGTGTAGCCTCTGGTACCAACCCTACATGGACTACTCGAGCACGGTAGAAGAAGAGAGTTCAAGCAAAATCTAGCAGCGGGGTGAACAAGATTGCTGAGAAGTTCAAAATAACTCTACCTCTACTGTGATTTTCTGCATCCGTTGCCCATAATCGTGACTGAACCAACTCAAAAAACGTTACGCGGTAACGGTTGGAAGATCGAAGGCAGCAAAGCAGCATAAAAGCCAAACATATACTACCAGTAGTATGCAAAGCAAGTAAGTTGCCCTCAACTACCAGCTAGCAAGCTGAGGGCCTTTTGAAGTTTATCTTGTGTGTGTGTGTGTGTGTGTGTGTGTGTGTCGCGTACATATGGTGCAGTTTCCCTTGCAAGGTTAAGGCTAGCGAGCAAACCAGATACATATGGTGCGGTTTCCCTTTCAAGGTTAAGGCTAGCGATCAAACCAGATACCCTTGCAAGGTTAAGGCTAGCGAACACTTCCTTCGCCTTTCTAAAGAAAAATGCAAGTTGAGGGCACTAGCCTCCGGCTGGCTGTCCTTTGAAAGATTGAACTCTTGCAAGGAGTTTCTCAATAGCATCTACCGTACCGGTGCTCTCATCAGCAAGGGTGTATCGGTACGCATGCAATGATGTCAACAACCGCCCTGTTTCCAGAGAGAGGTTGCGTGTGAAGGGACAGCATCCGTACAGCCTACCGGTATGCAAGTACGGTACTCGATTCTCTCCAGTAGATCTCCACAATGGATTCAATCCTTCACTCTTTTCGAAAAAGGTGCAATGCTGCAGTAGGGGGTGCTCCGAATATTATGACCAAGAAGTGAATTCAGTTTCGGTCAGCTGTTGGCCGTTCTAATCAGTTTTTGGGTGGCACAACGATATCCAAACATTCTGCAAGTTTCATGATTGTGCTACAGTGAACGCGGTTCGACTGGATGTCAACTATTTACTGGGATCAAGATTTAGCACAACCGAATGTGACAACAAAACAAACAAGTACAATCTCAGGTGTACCCAACAATCAACAATGACACCACCGGGATCTCTCGTGTACACATACATTTCAGCGGGAAACGAAGCATTTGAACGCGTTCGCCATCTTACAACCCAAAAAGGTTCTTCAACATGCAAGCGTGAACATGCACCTGGTCGATCTTATCCTCCACACCAGGAACCTCCCTTCCAACAACTTGATAACCAGCACCCATCAGAGCTTCAACGCAACCATCATCGCCTTGGTAGAACAGTGGAACTGGGCGAGTAGAATGCGAGCCCCATCCGTTGCCGCCAGATTCGCGGAGACCCCAGAAGTGTCCGACATTTTCGACGTCGTCTGGTGTCCAAGTAGTGAAATCGCCAATGTGTTCTCCTTGGGTCTTGGAATCATCACTATGGCGTCCTGCATTGATGGCCTCAGTCCAGGGGTTCTTGTTGGAGTTGTTTTCTGGTGTCATGTCGTGGGAAGTTCCCATGATGAGGTTCTGAGCAACTCTCTCGGGGAATTCTGGCAGAAGAGTCAGGTAGTGGTCATGATCAGCTGTTACGTAGAGAGCGTTTTTCTCCCAGCCGCCATTGGCCTGGATAAAGTTCATGATGGCTTGGACAGCTTCATCAATGTCAAGCATAGTTCCAAGCATGTCGTCCATGTGATTGGCATGGGCAGCCCAGTCGACCTAGGAAAGTGAATGTGACAAACTGGGAATGAGGACATTGCCAGATCATAATGATTGGCCAAGCTTGGGATTGAAAAACTTACATCACCCTGCTCGTACATCAAGAAGAATCCATCATCATCTTTGCTCAAGAAATCCAAAGCAGCCTGAACATGCTCGGTGATGGTAGGGATTTGGGCAACTTCTTCAGGTTCGTAGTGATTGCAGATGGTGGAATTGGGGGTGACGCCAATCGGGATTGTGTTATTCGGATCTGTATCGTCAGTCTCCACGATTCCAGCACTGCACCAGCGATTCGAGTAGGTACTGTCAAGTCCACGGTAGGGCATGTTATCTTCTCCACTGGCACTGAAGTCGCCTCCAACGCAAACCATAACATGGTCACCATTGTCTGGATCCAAGTCCCTTAGGCCATTGTAGAAGTCCTGCAAGATCATCAAACAAGCAAGATGAGTAGCATACATCAAGACAAGGATGAGTCCTAATGCATCCACAGAGAAGCACCAACCTCGGCCAAGACACCTTCTTGCTGCTCAAAGAAGGTCCAGGAACTGCTCAAAGATCCATTTCTCATGCTTTGAAGATCTTCAGGATACGGATAATAGTCACCGCCACAGACACCAGAGGCGAGTGTTGGGGCAACCTTTTGGAAGCTACCAGAGAGTTTGAAAAAATGCGTTGAGGTTGAAGTTGGGCAATGGAAATTGGCCTTGGAATTCATGTTACTTTGGACTTACGTTCGCCTCAGTTGGTCACGGTTCTTGCGGTTGTTGGAGTGGGTGACAAAAGCTCCAGGGGTAGCATGCAAAACAGGAACACTGGTGACAACGCCGCCGGCTTTCTGACAGGCCATGGCATCCTCAAGGATAGTGTTCACATCCTGCTCATAGAGATCAACACTCATCATTCCAACCGCAGCCTTGTGTCCCGTGGCATAAGTTCCAGCGGTGGAGGCACTGTCTGTAGCATGTTGCATGATGTAGGTCGGATCAAAGCCATCACTGGTGTCTGGGTTCTCCTATGAAACAAAATGGGAGAGAAAAAGCTGAAGGGTCAGACTCGGCGAAGACTGCCAAGTGCACACCTTGTCATTGAAGCTGATTGCTCCACTCCAACAAAGGCTCACCTGAAAGTACCTTTCCTCCCAAGGGTTTTTCCCACCCAAGACATCATTCCAGAGAACCATGTTTCCGCCATCAATGACATAATCTGCGGGATCGAAGTCGATGGCAAAACCACATTTGTTTAGGGCAAGAGGACCCAATCCATTGTCATGGTCTGCAGTGGATCCATTGATGAGAGAATGGGTTGGGGCGTAGTGGGCACCATCAGTTGGGGCCTGAATGACGGTTGTTGTCGTGGTGACCAGAGCAAACCCTTCGAGTTCCTGATAGGAGAGACCACTTCCCTTTCCTTGGAGGAAGAGAAACAAACGCAAAGACCATTAGCGCATTGACTGTCACTCCTTTTTTGATTTTAAGACTCTAGCCCTTGTTTCCCACCACCCCTTACCTTCGGTGTAGTAATCCTGCAGAGTACGACCAGCAAATGCCTCCATGGCAGCTGTGTTGTCAGGGCATCCGACTTTTGTGTCGCAGCCAAGCGATTCGAGCTCTTGGACGACTCTCTTGGCGATGGCTCCAGCACGGTTCATCTCCCAGCCCATACCATCTCCAACAACGAGGATCACATTCTTCGAGTTGTTGCGCCCGCAGAGTGTGGAAGGGATCGAGTCGATAACACCTTCGCGAAGCAAAAGACGCTCAGAGTTGTCCTTTCCCAAGAATGCATAGTTGGACATGCCGCTCGGGTTGCAAGTTCGGGGCGGAGGTCCGTCCTCGGACACCTCTTGTGGAGGGTCGTCGAATTGCACGCGGCGTCGAAGTCCCTGCCAAAAGGATCCTTCGACGACGACAGGGGCAGCAAGAAGGCTCAAGACAGGAAGAGCAAGTTGAATCTTCATTTTGGTTGTTTTCGATCTGTGGTCTAAACGGAACGAGAAACCAAGCAACAAAAGAAGGCAGGCAAAAGGCATCATGGAGTGAGAAGGTTTGAAGTAGAGCACGTAATCCCAGAGTTTGCTCGCATCCTGCACCATACCTTGGGCAACTCAAATCAAAATTGGCAGTTTCAAAGTCCTTGAAAGTAATTTGTGAGAAAGATTCAGAAACATACTTTGGATCCACATGCGAGAAACGAAGAGAAGGATCGCTGCAAGGATCTCGTGATGTCAAGGAATCCATCTCTTTCCCGGGGAAAGTATACTGAACGGAAGATACCTCGACGAGAGCGTCAGGGGATCCTTACACGTCCTAAGAAAAGCATATGGATCGGCTGATCCGCTCTTTTGTTGCTATTCGCAAGAGCAAGCTGAACGGAAGATACTGACAGATGGGTGCGCCATAAAGCCAATGAAGTTTGCTTCCGGGAGGAAAAATGAGGGCAAGATTCGAGCGGAGATTCCTGAACCTCCATTCGAAAATCCTCTTGGTTATCCCAATTCCAGTATCATGGATACATTATTCTCATTGTTCGGCTCTTCACCATTGGAAAGTCCTCACGTTTGGTTGGTCTTGGGTAGCTTCAAATTCTTAATGTTAATAATTTAATATCTTTCGCACGCGACGCAATTTGTCTTGGAGCTGAGGCCAAACGAATTTGAAAGATTCGTGAAAACACTGGAACTTTCATGAGACCTTGCAACATACTACCGTCGAGTGGAAGGCTCGATTGTTAGTTGAACAGTACGTACTGGTCCACTAGCTAGCTAGCTACCTGTAGAGTCGACTGGAAGGGCTGCGTGATTTGATTCGATTGATGATTCATCATTGGATCCAAAACAGCTTCTTATGCATCTATGATATTGTCATCAGCAGCCAGCAGGATGGTCTGCATCTGACTTTTCCCACTCTAGCTAGGCTGGGAGAAGCGAAGGTCTTCTCCTTGTTTGCTGCTGTATATAAGGGGTTTACTATGGATTAGAGAGAGCTAAGATGAGGATGGGGACAGAGCGTGACGGGAGGGCACAATGCAGGAACGCAAGGCAAGCAATCAAGTGCGCAAGCAGGGCAACATGGAAACCAAGGAAAGGGGTGAAGGCAGGAGCGCAGGGAGGAGCAAAGGAGCAAGACTAGCGCAAGAGATCGAGGGCACCACAGTCATCCCAACGCTTGGAAACCTTGAGAGCTGGGACACGGGAGCCTCTCAGACACATTGTCGTGGCACAGGCAAGAGCTATGCTCAACCTGGCCGAGATGAAAGAGCGAACCACAGAGTAGGGCTTGGACCACTTGTGAGCCAAAAGCTGGGAGAGCCGTTGCTGTTGTTGGGTTAGATGCATCTGTACTACATGTACATGTACGCATGCATGCAGGTACGGTTACACGTATTTGACGCAGAAAGATTTATTTGACTGAGGCTGTCATCACTCGTCACTCAGTCGGAGAAAAAACACTAACCCTAAGAAGCAATGACATCCTGCGAAACTGGGGTATCAATTTCGTTTGAGAGAGTCGCCCTTCGTCAAAGAAATCGAATCACACTCAACCTGGAGATAGAGATCGTCAAAGATAACTCAGTAAGCCACCAGTCAACGATGACCTCAACGATCGACTTGGATTCTCGCATGAGCCACCTGCCATTGGAAATTCCTGATGATGAGGTTTCCATGGTGAGCCAGATTAGCGTGGATTTTGAGAGCAATAATGATAGCGCCAATTTCCACTTGGCGTCTCGTGTAAGCCACCAGCCATTGGAAAATCCTGATGATGAGCTTTCCATGGTGATTCCTTATGATAGCGAATCCAGCGTCTCCATGGTGAGCCAGAATCAAGGAAATGACAACCGTGGCATGACTGATGATGAGGCTTCCCTGGCGAACGAATATCAGGGAAATGACAACCATGGCATGACTGATAATGAGGTTTCGACCAAGCGGCAAAAGAACGGTGTCAATCTGTCTGCTACGGTATCGCGCACAGGAACGATCGTCAAGGATCTTTTCGAAAAATTGGACCAGGAAGAGCAGGAAGAGCAGAAGACCCGAGAAGAGATGTCGAAAAAGGACCTAGAGATCCAGAACCTGAAGACCCAAAATGCTGAACCCACCAAGGCACTCACCGAGGCAAACAAGAAGTTGCAGAGCGGCAAGACACCACATGGGGAACTCGTGGAGGCCAAGAAGGAACTCAAGCAAGATGCTGTTGAGCTGCACTTCAAGATCTATACAGACGATGAAAGCTCTGCAGTCAACCTCTTCTTCCCATTGAAGACCCAGGAAGAGCAAGAGGAGGACGAAGAACTCAAAATTGTCAACACCACCCTTCGTGACCTCATCGTGGCTGTTTGGCCAAAGATCATGGCACCATACCTTGATTACATCACATCCGAATTCCCAGCTTTGAAGAAGCTTGATAAAAAGAACTTTCCCGTTGAGGTTACTTGGATGTCGATTTCACATTCCAGCTGCAAACCAATCCCTAAAGCGTCTTTTCCACTGCGGGGACTGAAGAAAACTTGCATTGCCTCCTTCCATGAGAAGTACCACACTTTTTCAAAGTTGGAAAAGGAGGCCTTGTATTTTCCCATCGTTCCGAAGGTCCAGCTGGAAGAAGAAAAGCTGGAAGAATTGAAGCCAAAGCCCAAGTCTGACCATGCAGAGTATTTTGACTCAGATTCCGATTAAGATGTATGCCAGGGAAACAAATTGGGGTTACATTGAGCATAACCATAAACTAGAAGCAGGAGGGAATGAGTCTGATTGTAGGGGCCGATCGGTTACTTTGTCTTTGACAAAGATCACCGGGTACTTTGCTGGCGATGCCTTGCGTTGATGGTCTTGGTTGAGGAGTGTGAACATGGTCTTTAAGGAGAGGAGAAGAAAGCGTTTCTTCGTTGCAAGGATGGGCAAGACCATACTGTGTTGGCGGTGGAACTGTGCAACAGGGACGCCCTCCAGATGACTTTGAGCGGGAGTGGGAAACTGACGGCTACGGTACCACTGGTTCTTCATTGATATTATTGGAACTGCAGTATACGATTTGAAGAGCCAACGAGACCCAGTGTTCCACAAGACAGCAGTAACCTGGAACTGACCAGTATGCTCGAAGGATCAAGTGCACCCACACCTGGGACACGACGTCGCCATCTGTGGAGGCTACGTGTCGCTGACGAAATTGATGGATTCTACTAGTTTGCCTGGAGTTGTCTTTTGCCATCAAGAAGTCAAATCTATCTTCTTCGAGGTTTGGGGCTTTCAAGATGAGTGAGTTGCCACGCCGATCTCACTGCATCAGCATGCTCTTGTCCACCGTACATGTATATGTACGTTGTATCGGCTCCGCCAGTAACGTAATACTAGAAGTGCCTACCATATTAACCTACCCCCTTTTCGTCACCTGTACGTAGTCTATGCTCTCGTGTAGCTCATTCCAATTTTGGATCTCGAGCACTTGCGATTTCATTGCCAAGGTTTTCATGGTCCGGATCGTCGCAACTAAACACTTATACAGCGAAATAGTCTTACAAATGGACGAGGAACGTGTGTAGTGGGAACATCATGTGGACACGTGCGCCTGGATCCAGCAGTGCGCTCGATGCTTGGCCACCATGCATGGAACAAACCAAGGTTGATGGATTGCACTTCCGCGCAAGAGGAACGGAGAAAGCAAGGTATTCGTAAGCTTTCATTCCCATCTTTCCTCCTTGATCATTCAATGTTGAGGTTCACACCTTTTGAGTTGCAACGTGTGCAAGCTGCAACGAGCCTCCGTTTCCCCGCAGATTTTTTCGAACGGGGGGAGTGCCTGCGTTCCGTCGAGCATTAACACCTGGTGCATCCATAGATTTAATGTCACCACCCGGTCATTGATCGCGAGCACCTGTCACATTCATTATTCATTGTCACAGTCCACTCACTTTGCTGGCGGTTGCTGGTTCACACTGGCACTTGCAGCGTCGTCGATCCAGATACAATCTGCACTTGTTCTTCAATTGTTGCGGGCGCCGTCGTCCTCAATAGAAACCTTATTTGGTAAAAGAGGGCCCCCTTTTGCAAGTAGAATCTCGTCCTTGTAGCTAGCAGGAGGCTGAAAACCGCGACAAAAAGGCAAGGGCAGTTCCCAACCCAAAGTCCCCTACATTTCTCGTACCCTTCCCGTTCTCCGAAGGACACTCTCTTCCAAGATGTGGCACACCATGATGAATGTAATGAGGGACCCGGTCAAGAACCGGGGTCCGCTCTTCTTGATCATTTGGGCTGCTTGGGTGGTGGTTGGTAAGTATACTCTGTATCTGCAGCAGTCTTGTTGGATTGGTCATTCCTCAGCAGTGTCGCTCACTCCAATTGTCATTACCCATTTGTGTTCCGCTCTTTACTGCAGGATTCTTCTTTTATTCCTATGCTCCGAAGATGAACCTGGGATGGCGAAGAGGATGGTATAGTGAGTTGATTGGTCTCTCATGCTGCTATGCTGTGGCTACAGGAAGATATGTGGCTGACTAATGTGTAATTTCTGTTCTCGTTTCTTTTTAGTGGCTATCAATATCGGTTACTCCATTGGGTTTGGTGAACCTGGAGAGGACTATGATCCGTACCTCTGGTTTTCAACCATCTATGTGCTGGTATGTTTTGGGGTTTGGAGGTTGCTACTACAGCTTGTTTGCGTTCAGTTGGTGCTTGACTGGTCTTACCTCCGTTCTCTCATCTTACCATCCCCTCCTTTTTGAAACAACATAGATTGGTTCCAGTTTCATTGGTGTGGCTTTGAGTTTCTTTGCTGATAAAATTGGAGAAGATCATGACAATTGGTTCACAAACTTGGTCCAGCAGAAGGCCTACGAAGAGAGTATTCAAAATAGCAGGGACCCCTGGGTCCTCCTTAAAGCGATTTATGTGCAGTATGAAGCAGTTATTCGGGCCATAACTGTCTGGGTTATTTGGATTGGAATCATGATTGTGTACTCCCTTTGGGGTCTTGGTTGGTCCTATGTCCAGGCTCAGTACTTTGCCATTACAACACTAAGTACTGGAGGTCACTGGGGTTTGCCCAAGTATGCACCTGATTGGATGTGGCCCCTTACTGCTTTTATGGCAATGTTGGGTGTTCCATTAATGGGTGTGGCAATGGCACAATTGGCCACACTCATGGTTGATCAAGGTGACATTGAAGTCACCAAGAAAGAGCTTGTGGAAGATGTCACGGGTGAAGAGTTGCTCATGCTGCGCAAGTTTGGACTTGAAAATGGTGATGGTGTGATTGACAGCGCGGAATACATCATTCTTTGTATGGTCCGCATGGGACAAGACCCTGCACTGATTGAATTCATCTCGAATCGATTCAAGGAGTTGGATGATGATGATTCTGGATATCTGACCATTGAAGAGATCACAGGTGGAAAGTACTTTTTGAAAGATGGACAGATTGTGTCCAGGGTGGGTGGTGTACTAGGAGTCAAAGGTGTGAAGCAATTCAGCATGGCAAAGCTGAACGTGGAACTCAGTGACAGCGAGGAAGATGACAAAAAGAAGGACCTAGAGGCGTAGACGGAACAGATTCCCAATCAGCGTCAATTTGTTGAGAATTGCGGACGACATCAAGTCTCATCAATTGACTGATGTATTTCCCGGAAAATTAGGAGTCACTCAAGGTGACAAGAACCGATCAGAACAGGAGCATCGGAAGAGTCTTTGCACTTACATACTGTATACTTGTAGCAGCACGATATCATTCATGCCACGAAATTCTGGGAAGTCCTCGAAATAGCAAGTGGTCGTTTCTGCATATTAATAGGCACAGCGGTCATTGATATCTTCCGCAGGAGGACTGCGACTTATGCGCTGGCTACCTCACCCTGCTACGGCTGTACCAGTAATTGGTGCCTGGTAGCTTGATTGCTACTAGTAGTTTACAGGTGGTACTATTAATAGTAGAGCTTCCTCCCTTAACCAATTCCTGAATCTGCTTTAAATCTTTCGGCCAATTTGCTTTTTAATTAATTAAAGTACTGAGTATTTATTTAGGGTAACTGAGCACTGCAACGTTGATTCCTTAAATAATTGCTGTGCCTGAGGCGTGAAGGCGAAGGATTGGATGATGGTGATTGGTGATTGTGAGAGGCCCCAACGCCAAAGGCACCCAACACCGTTTTCTCATTATTTTTTCCTCCCGCAGCGAGTTGTTCTGTGCCTGCTTCCGCACAACAAACTCTGCTGTTGACCATGGCCCGTGTAACTCGCTCTTCAGCGAAGAAGGACGACAAAGCTCCCGCAAAAGCAGAGAAGACGGAAGCAGCTGCCAAGGCAGCACCAAAGAAGAAGAAAGCCGCTGCCAAGAAGGAATCTCCCGCGAAGAAGGAGGCCAAGTCAGAGAGTGATGTGGTGATTTCGATCGAGGCGTGCAAGCAATGAGGCGCGTTTAAGAGCCGGGCTTCAAAGATTGAGAAAGCAGTAGGAAAAAAAGCCACTGTGAAAATCAATGAGGAGAAGGTATGTGTTGTTTGCATTGTCTCCTTTCATCGACTGATCATTCTGACGCCTTTTCTTGCATTCCAGCCCGGCAAGGGCAATTTCGTCGTCAGAATTTCTGGCAAGGAAGAGCCCGTTGTAGAATTACTTGGAATGAAGCGTCCTTTCCCTCCGCTAAAGCAACTTGATATGGATGAAGTTTGCGAGAAGGTCTTGGCGGCACTTGCATAGGCTATCCAATGGGAAACTAGACTATATGGAGCGACACCAGATTTGAAAGACGCAGAAATCGAATGCGACTACTTGATACAATCAGCAATCCTTGAATGATGCAGAAGATTGCATTGGAGTGTACGAAACATATCCAAACGAAATCTTCACGCTGAACAAAGGATGATTTGCTCCCATTGTATACAAGTTGTGGCGTTCCAAAGGTCGACAACATGGAATGGAATCAATCCCTCGGAATGAATTGATTACTGTACTATTCGCAAAGCACAAAAGTCAATTTTATTACAAGTACTTTATTTTTATATCTGGCTGTTCCGAGACAATAACGGTAGCTTCGCCTTCTTGGGCGAGCCTCTTTACCTTTAAAAACGAAGATATCCCCTTCACGTTCGATCGAAGTTATGAATCAGTCAAAGTTATGAATCAATAAATTGTAGGCGCTGCTTACAAGGATCTCGTAGATTCTAGCGCGCTCTAAAGAGACATATCAGACTGCTGTTTCGCGTTGCTGTTGTTGCTAGTTCCGTTCTCGCTGTTGCTGTTGTTGTTGGATTCTTCCTGGAAGCGGATACCTTCTGGAGAATCGGCCAATCCCAAAACTTTCGCGCTCTGGACCCAGTAGGTCTGAGGAGATCCAACCCCACGAGGACGTGTTGTCTTGAGACTCTTGTAGATCTCCCGGACTTCACTGGGGATCTCCGTGCACTGCTCAAAATGGAAGCGCTGCATATCTGCCACAGTTTGGTAGATACGGCTGATGGAGGAGGGGTAGCACACAGCTCTCTCGGCACGGTCCCGAGGACGCAAGTGCGAGCAGTACACGCAACGAATGCCGACTTGGCCAACCGCCAACTTTTGGGCTCCTTTGGTGTGACGGGCAGCAACGTCCTTCTCGCTAGCGGCAAAGATCTCCACCATGGTAGTGCGGACGTAGCACTGACGATCCGAGAGACTGTCGCTGTCGGTGGACAAGGAGAGCAACATTCCTCGTCGTTGCTCTGGTTCACGTTGGTGCTGGTGCTGGTGGGGATGGTACTGATACTCATCCATCTCGTACCCTCCGCGGTAGTCACCGTACCCCGCATGTGGTTGCTGCTGCATCCTGTAGTTCTTCTCCGTAGGAAGCATTGGCATGGGCGGACCAGCCCGAGCATTCCACCTTCCTCCAGGCGGCATTGGTCCCACCTCCTGACTGGCATGATAAAGGGCACCAAGCCCGCTGCCACTACCGTTCCCAAAGGAGCGCATTGGAGGACGAGGATTCAATCTCGCATAGTGCTCCTGGTGTCTACGGGCACATTGCTCCTCATGTGCGCAAGCTTCGTCATAACTGAGAAATGTTGCAACGTTGCAATAGTCGCATGCCCACCGCTTTGGGCTGGGTCGAAGGTAAACATTGTCACGCTGGCCATAGTGCCCCATGTCAACTTCAGCAGGAAAGTTGGGGTTGCCACGTGCACTTCCATTGTGGTAGCCACCCTCGGATCCATAGTATGGTGGGCGGTAGTAATGAGGTTCGTATCCAGCTCCTCCACCACTGGCCATCGAGACCGACTCGGGTGTAAGTGTTGGAGTCGCAGCAGCAACGTGAGACTTCCTGGAGGGTGTGCTCTCTGGATGAGGGGCTCCCCCAATCTCGCCCTCTCTCTGATGCTCATCCGTGGGAACAATCACATGCCTAGGGTAGGAAGATGGAGAATCCGTTTCCATCCTATCCCTAGGATACATGCTCTTTTCCCTTTTGGCATAGGGAGGAGTTGGTTGGTGTGGTTCCAGGTCGGTTGGTGATTCGGGCTCTCGATCGCTGGTATACATCTTGCGCTTCCCTGTCGAAGGTGGTGGTGACCCACTCCTACTAGATGTTCCATCCCTTGAAGAATCCCAGTCTTCCAAATCGCCACGATTCTGTTCGAATCTCTTCTTCGACGGCACAGCTACGTAAGAAAAAGAGGCAGGAGCGTGAGTTTCCAATCAATATCCCAATTCTAGTTGTTCTTGTCTTGTATTCCAGCTTCTACTCACGTTCTACTTTCGCAGCCTCATACATAGTATCCATCTTCTTTCGTCAAGTCCTGTTGTCGTCTCACAGTTTCACCTCGGCCCTCCTACAGCCAACAATCCTCCAATTCCTACTAGCTAGTGGAACCTTCCTACACAATGTATGTCCTCCCAACAACTAGATGTCAACAAACAAGAAAAGGAATGTAGTTCCTCTCACTTTTTGTTGTCGAAAATCTGTGTTGTGATCCGATTTGTGATTTTCTTTTGCAGTGGATGCTGATTTTGTGAGTCCAAAAATGCGAGAGCAGTCCCTCCGGGCGCAGTGTGGGGAAAAGACTGAGGCAATATTTTCATAATCATCGGATACAAAGGAGATCATATTTTCATGGCTCTAATATCCATATCCATGCTGGCGACTTCAGATTAAGTAATATAACTTTTATTAACTTCTTTCCTTGAAGATGTTATATCTCTTGTGTCACAATGGCGCAGGACCATAGAATTAGCAAGGAGTGCGATGAATGCTACCAGCTTCTGTAGACCCAAAGGAGAGGTGCTCGCTTCCAGGGCTCAGACAAGACCCATGCCTCACATTTTGGCTCTTGTAGGGCATTCCACAGTCCTTCTCATCCTTTGGATACCGATTGCAAGAGCCGTGGATACGATTCCCGCAGAAAAATTAATCGTTTGGGCCCAAAGCCTTTTCGTGGCCAAGTTTGGCTGCTGCGTGTTAGGAGGCTGGATGAGTTTAATGCCAAAATCAGAAGAAGTTAACTCTTTTGCGTCCATAGAGGGCTTCAGAGTGCTGTTCCGATAGCCACCGCGCCTGATAAATAAGTTTGGCTTTAGCACTGTCGCCCCAGCAATCTTTGTCGACAAGCCAGACAGCATCCAAGCTTTGTGGACAAAACTCGGAAGAGAGATAGTCGCTGAATTTTCACTTGCACGTGAAGATGAGACGAAAGAAGCTCTTGTACCAGTACTGGTACATGCAGCTGGTTAGTGACAGTTATTACTATAGGATAATAACCGTGGAAATTCATCCATGGTCCCACAGCACCCGTGAGATGTCATCATCGGATGCAATAATATAGCAGAGAAAAAGTCTGTATAGTGCCATGTGCAGCCTGCCTGAAGCGGGTGTGGCCTCTCGGCAGGAAGCACAGTCCTTTCGGACTACACAGAAAAGGAACCTGATCCCTATGTCTACAGCGTTCAGTGTAAGCTATCATCTTTGTCAGTTTTAAAAATTATTGAAAGACTGCTATGCTTTCTTCTCGCCCGCAAGGATCACTTTGTGGCCATTGGGATCCATGACGCCCAGCACTACCTTGCCGAACATTTCCGTGGGTTTCATAAACAACTTTCCAGCGTTCTCCGTGTCTTTCTCCATCATTATTTGCTGTAGTTGTTGATATAGGTCGTCCATGTCGGCTTTTGTAGCAATGACGAAATGATCCAAGCAGTTGCCCTTGTCTAATTCCGACGCGGGCTCAAAGACCAGAGTCGTAGGGACGCCGTAGAATTGTTTGTTGTTGTCTGAGGAGTCTTCACCGCCTTTGTAGCGCAAACACAACATCTTTCCGTCGTCATCGGCAGCCGCCACCGTCATGCCTAGAATGTCGGTATAAAAGTCGGTTGTGGCTTGCATGTCGGCAGTGTGTAAACACAACCGCGCCAAGTAGTCCCCCGGTGCCGATGCGCACGATTGCACTGGAATACCGTTGGGTTCGTCGGCATCATCAATGAGTTGCGCCTCGTCTTTATCGTTGCCCGCAATGACAGCAATCAAATCCTGCGGAGAAGCGTATTGTACCAATTTACTGACGCCCAGGTAGGACACGGCATTGCCCAATTGAAACGATTTTTGTCGAGTCCTTACAATTTCGAGTGCAAAGCAATCTTCTGTAGTCTTGCCATTGCCCAGTACGACAAAGGCGGATCGTAGCGTGTCTTTTGTGTTGTCAGTCTCCTGATCGAGCTTGGAACTAGCCGTGACTTGAGCATTGGCCGTCTCTTTCCAATACGCCACAGTGTCATCCACCGATGGTACTTGCAACATGACGTGGCTCAATCTCGAAGAGGAGGTTGCCAAGAGATTCTCGTATTCATCATCATTCTTGGATTCTCCATTGGTCGCCTTGAGACTAAAAAAAGATGATGGCGGAGTACCAAGACGGCATGCACTTCTGGATAAAGGATGACTATGGCTGACTACTGTTGCTTCTTGGAGACAAAATGCCGATGTGCTCCCCACAAGAAGAATGAGGTAAAAAACTGTATATACATGTAGTTTCGGAATCCAGATGTCTTGTGAATTTCTTTGTTTGAGATGATGATGTTGTTGTTGTGGACTTGGCCACCTTACAAGTGCTTCATTCACAGATGGCATGTTCATATTTTACTGGGGGCTTTTCAGAGGATCTGGCTTCCAAGTTGATTTGGATGAATGGCTCTGACTCCACTGTGACCGGCTCCTTTCTTGGAGACCTCATCTTTTTCCTCCTCGATTGCTGATGAAGTGCCGATGATTTTGTGGACCATAAGATTCTACAGTGAGGTTAGCGCTAAATGAAAGATTCGAAATCTTTCTCCTCCCAATGTCTTTGCCTGCTTTCGCGCGCCCGCTCTTATTCGGTCGGTGGTACCAGTACTAGTATTGTCATTTGACCTGTTCACTCATACCGGTACCGGTACCGGTACCATACAGCACCCTCTTCCAACCCAAAGTAATTTATCCTCTTTAGTCGAGTCGAGTCAGTGTATGGTAAATCAAATATCAAGATGCTATGTTGTGGCGGCGATACCGTCATCCTACCCAAAGCGACCGAGATGAAGCTGGATTGTTCGGATGGCATCCAGTTGGCGGCTCAATCTTGGAAGGTATCCACGACGTCATCGGAAATCATGACTGAGGGTGTGAAACCAGAAGAATTGCGTGTGTTGTGCCTGCATGGCTGGATGGACAATGCCAACTCTTTTCACATCCTGGCACCGGCTTTGATTGAATATTTGGATGCCAACATGGCTGCGACGACAGAACAACAAGTAGAATCCAAAAAGGCTGCGTGTTTTCGAAGTGTTCACGTCGTCTGTCTCGATCTACCCGGCCACGGCCTTTCTTCCCATCGCAGTCAAGATGCACCACCCATGATCCGGGCCGAATATTTGTTTTACGTGGCCGAAGCGCTCCGACAATTGCAATGGGTCGACAAACCAAAACGAGGAAACAATAGACAACCAAACGATAATAAACAAAAATTCGTCATTGTGGGACACTCCATGGGATCCGGCATTGCCCTGCTCTATGCGGCAGCATTTCCCGAACAAGTGCGACAATTGGTCTTTTTGGACGCCTTGGCTCCTTTAGTAGGACGCAGTGACACATCGACCGCTCAGAATCTACGACAATACGTGCAAACACGACAATTGGACGGACAAATGTTGGCCGATCCAGCCAATCGGTTCTACTACCCCTCCAAAGAAGCCGCCACAAAGGCACGCATTAATTCCGCCAAATCCTTTCCGGGAAATCAATACATTTCCCAAATGGCCGCCGAGCAATTGGTGGAACGAGGCGTCGTCGAAGATGAACCCATCAATAGTAATAACGGAGCTCTCAAACGTCGGTTTCGATTTCGACACGATCCGCGGTTGGCATGGAAATCCCTCCTGAACTTGACACAAGACCAGCTGGACGAATTGTACAGGGAAGTTCAATGTCCAACGTGCATATTGCTGGGACAAGATGGGTGGCCGTTTGAAGAAGCGCAAAAGCAGCGAGTGCAACAAGTGTTACAGCCAACCGTATTCAAGACAATGCCGGGAAGTCATAGTTTGCATGCCGATCCCGACGTGGCAGAAGCGGTGGTACAAGAGATTGTGGAGTTTCTGTTACAGCAATGACACAGTACTGGTATTAGCAGCATGTAATTACTTGTAGAACAAGCCACATCCACATTACCATACATTGGCTGCGGTACGATTAAGTCTACCGGTGGGTACGGTAGGAACTGTTTTGAAACAAGCTCTCTCAAAAAGTTTGTGCTATCTTAGGAAGAGAATATTTGCACAAATGACATCTCGGCTGGAACAGTGCTTTCTGCAGAGAGTTTTGCCCAATCCATGGAACGGCACAACATGATACTGGTCCTTTGCCTCGGCGATGAGGTACATAGGTGCTTTGCTTTGCTTTCGCAGATTGTCGTGATGGTGGCGTCATCTTTTTCTACACAAAGTGTACTCTTTAGCCGCAATTTTAAAATGCCATGTCTACTCATCAGTATCAGCATCCTCGTCACGCTTCCTCCATATTTTGGGTGGTGGAGGGAAATCTCCCCGTTCCACTCTTTCCATGGTCCCTGGCATGCCAAACAGAATCACCTTTTCTCTGTCGCGGATTCGAAGCAATTCAATGCCTTCTGGGGCACCGGATTCCTCTGCCAAGCTTCGAATATCCTCAAATGCCTTTTCAAGTGTACCTGGAATTTCAATACAACAAACAAAAATATCAGATCAACAACCATGCCATGAAAATAAATTGATTCTTCAAGCTTCCGTAGAGTTGGTTGTTGTTGTCTGGTCCAAAAAATATATATAACTCACCAAACTGCTTGGTATTCACTTTGACCTTGACAACTGTATGTGCCTCCAGTAGCTGCCTCAGACTGTTTCCATGCGACAACGTAGCTCCCTTGCCTCCAATGGACATGAGTGGTTTCTTGGCGTGTCGCCACGCCTTTTCCAGAGAAGATAGTTCAATTGCTGGTGTTGCTTCCTCAATGCTTTCTTCTTCTTCTTCATCTTCTTCTTCGTCGTCTTCTTGTGCATGTCTGGAAATGCATGATGACGGCCTCCTGGCCAAAGCGTTACTGCTGGCAAAAACTCTAGTGGAATCAGGCCTTGGGATGGTGCCAAATCCTTGTAAAGGTAGTGCCGGTGTCTGGAAGGAAGATACTCTTACCAAGCTGAGCAAGGCGAATTGTAGTATTATCAGTCGCATACTTGTTGATAATCTGAGAGCTGGGGCTTGCATCATCGCTTTCCCTAAAGATAGATAGATAGCTAGATAGATAGCTACTATGGTACAGTAGGCAGTAGGCGATAGTTTGCTCAAAAGCAAAACAGACAAGGTTTGGCAAAGAAAAATGAGGGGCCATCAAGCAACAGTCTCGATGTCAATGCTTTGGATCTTTGAGTCGAGTCACTGATTCGAAGGACAGGCGCAAAGACTTTTAAAAAACCTTCATCCTACTGTAGTTAGATCAGTGGCTGCATCCGTTGACCATGGCGCCGTGCCGCGATCCCATCGCCAAATCTGATCACCACACCGTAATTAGACGCACCACGGCGACGTTTTGGTTATTCTCTATCAGATGGACGGGTCCTCCGCTAAATACTTTGCTCGTCCAACCGATTAATTACCCTGACGGATTATACTAGTACATGTACCGAAAAGATATTCTTTGAAGGATCTTTCTACTCAGCAATCTGCTTTCTCGCTTGGACAGACAATCCACTACCATAAAAATGTCTCTTTGGGAGCTGTTATACACCTACCGAATAGAGATACTATCCATGACCATGTCCGTCCTTGCCACTGCCGGTGGTACCTTTTTGTTTTATCCGGCCATTCTGGCGCTGTATCACAAAGCCATTGACCATACCACAACGACTCTGCAGCAACCCGATGACAGACAAAACCCACAAGAAAACACCAACGTCCTATTATCTCTGGTCATTCCGGCATACAATGAACAAGATCGGATAACCGTCATGCTCGACGAATGCTACGAATACTTTGGCAAACAACCCAAGTGCAAGGCGATACAGACTCTCCTCCAAGCCTATCAGCAGCAACATCACGGGGGCAAAAAGAAGAGCCCACCCTCCATTTTGGTCGAATGGATCGTCGTCAATGATGGCTCCAATGACAACACTTGTCAAGTCGTTCAAGGATACGTAGACAAATTAGAAGACGACCAGCAGCCCTTTCTGTGGAAACTAGTCACGCTGCCCGTCAATGAAGGCAAGGGCGCTGCCGTGCAGGTGGGCATGACGGAAGCCACTGGATTTTACCGTCTCATGGTCGATGCCGATGGCGCCACCACATTTGAGCAAGGTTTGGAAGCGGTTTCCAAAGCCATGCTGGAAAGTATTACCGATCCCTCCAAAGAAGAAAATGCATCGCCCACCATTATCTTTGGAAGTCGAGCCGGCGATGACGTCCAACGCACGGCGCTACGAGCATTCCTCATGCATTCCTTCCTCTGGTTGCGATCGTGTGTGGTGGGGACACCATTGACTCTGCGAGACACGCAATGTGGATTTAAACTATTCGACAAATATTCCGCCATGCAACTCTTTTCCAATCTGCACTTGCGTCGATGGGCCTTTGATATTGAATTGGTTTACGTCGCTCTTTGTATGGGCATGGCCATTCAGGAAGTCACCGTGCCGTGGCATGAAGTCGATGGATCCAAATTGAATACTGGATTTTTGGCTCTCTTGATGGTGTCCATAGGGATGCTACGAGATATGATGTGTGTGCGAGCCTGTTATGTACTGGGTATTTGGACCATTCAAGCAGTTGCCACGGGAAAACTATAGATGGCAACCTCTTTCTAAACAAAAAGTAACAGCCTCCAAATTAAGGTTTTGACTCTTCATGGCTAGTTATACTGTATATCTTGCTAGCCACGAGGCGCGTTGCATCCGCCCCGCATCATCGGAATCATGCCTCTATTGTTTCATCGTAACATTTATTTGATCCGCCTACGCAGCTATCGCCGAGGCCCCTGCTCCGGACTGAATCGAATCATTCGATGGTTCGTCCACATTCAAATTGCCAATCGTCCGTCTCCAAGGAAGAGGAGACTCGGCTCGGCTCGGCTCGAAGTGAAGCCAAGTAAGTTTCAGTGCAGCGTAACTTGCCTTGAACAGACGTGGCGGCAGTGCACCCCACCATACAACTCCTGGGATACGTACCAACCGAGGGCTTAGATGTGTGTGTTCAGTCCAACGAAAGTCGCATCTAGCTAGCCAGGGCGTACAAAAGACAACTGACGGGTGACAATGGAATGGAGCGCTAGTGGCTGCGGGCCCAATTAGCTACTTCACGCCCTGACGTGTTGGACTGCAGGTTCTACAGAAGGAATCGAATCGAATCACAGTCAATAACCCAAAGCAGGCAAGCCAATGCCACTACCAGTAGATAGTGACGTGTTGAACTTCAGGCGGGTTTCTCAAGAAATCGCCGATGCAATGCAGCGTATGGGAGATGAAGTGGAAGGAACTCCTATGGAAATATTCATCCTTGGTAAGGCTTCAGTACATTGGTTGCTGAGATCTATTGAGGAACTTCAGAAAGATCGCGGCGTCGATGGTTAGAGGAGGCGTCGCTGTGTCCACGCACATCCCCCGAGTGCATTGCTGGTACTTTGCCGATGGACATGAATATAGTGACCAACTAGTCACCGGTTCATATAGATAGATTTGATATGATAACCAAATCAATAGCAACTCCTTGTCCCTATTGACTGTTTCGGTTGCTATCTGTGCGAATGTACCCGAGCATCCGGTTGGTCTTTGGTACCGGAAGTAGATTGCACACTGAATCTTTACATGAAAGGAGTGACAGTTATTCTGATGGATCCGTTAGTTCCAATACCATATGCGGTACAAGCGCAGCTCTGACGATCAATACCGTGAAAGCATCCATTGATACGATTGAGATGAATACCAGCGGAGTCGAGTCGCAAGGAATCGATACCGGTAGATGATCGTAGGGACATCGTATTGCTTCGTTGATACGGTTCGGTATAGTGCGGGCTTTTTTACAGCCACATCACGTGAGGACAAGTTAAGCAAAACTTCTTGCATCTTTGGTAGTCGGATTCTGCTCTCCTTCAAGTTAGCTTCTATATCAGTGTCATCCAGGTGGAGAGGAGTCGGCTCCGGAAGACCACATCGTCGCCTGTTTCGCACGACTTTTACTGGGGTGTACAACAAGTCTTTGACAATGCGACAATGCTAACTGGGCGAAATCAACATGGTATGCAGAGCTGATAGCGATTTTAAAACAAAATGTGAGCTGCCCAGACTCGAGTCAAGACCACCCAAGAGAATACTTAAGGGTCATGTTGTTGGGGGAAATGTGTCTAACACTTCATGTTGCCACAAAACAGATATTTTTGAGAGCTCCCTGGTTAAAAATGCGTCTCAAGTATACGTGTTCTCGTAGGATGGTATCTCTTTCGTCCAGGTTATACATGGCACTGACATTGGCACGTAGGAAAACTTTGAGTTCAAAGAAGTGTTCAACCATACACATCTAAATGTTAGTTCTCCCGTTAAAGCGAAAAGAACCCGTCTGAACGACCCCTCTTAAGTCACTAAGATGCATCATTGTGCCAAGGCTTCGTTGTGACTCTAAATAGAATACTGCATACAAAGCTTTGGGGGGTATTATCATTTAAGCGATGATGCACACCGGTCCCCTCCAGTTGCTAAAGATCTTCCAGGCTACACTTGAAGGTAAGAACCTACCAATAAGAAAGCGAGTACAAAGATTTTAAGAATGTATTGATTTTGAAATATCACAGACTTGTAAGAAAACGTCCCAGTATTGAGGCCTCAAAGCACAAGAAATACTACTAGTCTGATACCATGAAAATGCTCCTAACTTGTGCCTAACTAAGTCTGCAAAATTTTCTGAAACATTTTTGACTCTTGGCACCTTTTTTAAAAGGCATTTTGTTGTAGAAAAGTGGCATTGTATCATCTCTCAATCTCTTATGTGCTCAGGGGAGAGCACTCACTGGGTATCTTAGCTCTGGTGCAGATCTGAATGTCTCCAGTATCAGCAAATCTCAGTACTGTACTGGACATCTTATCTCCAACCTTCTTAGTATCAAGGTAGGGGCGTAGATTGTACGGCCATTTATTGCCAACGAAAGTACCATGGTCCCAGTAAGCTGTGCAAGAAGAAAAGATTGCACAGAGCACAGACGAAATCCCCTGCTCTGATGTGTCATCTGGTGCTCTTGGCAATCCCTCCAAGATTGAACCCAATCCAACTCACTCCTCTCACAAATCAAAATCTGCAGATCACAACTTGACTTGAAAACAGCACAGCACAGCCAAATCAAACACAAGCCACACATACAAGAAGCAGACAGGAAATGATGTACAGGAACTCCACTTCTTCACCCACCAACTTTGTCAACGACAGCTCCACTAGCAGCAACCGCAGCCCCAGTGGATCCATGAGACGAACAAACTCGAGAGGCTTCGATCAAATGACACCTTTGGCGCCTGGCTACGCTCCCAGCGCGGATGATGTCATGGTCGGAAGAGGGAAGCGTTGCTTGGCCCACTCTGGGAATCTCCGCTTCAAACAGATTGTAGCTACCAAGCTTTCTTCATATCTGGCTGCAGAATGTCGCGTGGACAAGACAGCCATCCTCATGGAAGTGATCGCAACAGTGCGAGCCAACAGTCCCAATGGAGGCTTTATCAAGCAGAACCCAAAGACTGGACAGTTCTTTGAAGTCGGAGATTTCCTTGCCAAGGAGAAAACAGCTCAAGCTTTCCGCGATGCGCTTCACGAGTACTACTCTTCCAGCAACCCCTCCAAGAAGAAGCGCCGCATTCAGTCCACCGTCAGTTCCGAGAAGAAGGCCAGCAGCAGTAACAACAACAACACACAAGAAGAAAGTGGTGACGGTCTCAGCTCGTCTTCTCACCACAGCAAGCAATCTTTGGTCAAGGCTATGCATTCTCAATACACTCGCAAGGCCAAGTCGGCTCCCAGTAGCCCTAGCAGAGACTGTGACGACTTGGAACCCATTGCGCTTGTGGCACGCTCAGCAACTCCTCCTCCCAGCTTTGCTCGCCTTGTGACTGTGGAAACCCCCAAGGACACCTCCAATGAAGATCATCCAGGGGCTGACTATTCTAACGGCACCACACCTCCCGACAGCCAGCAGTCCAAGCGAAAGAATTCTGCCGTCATCTTGGGCGACACCTTGGCCATGCTTTCTTCGGCCTTGATGGATACCCACTTTGCTTCCGACCACGAATCTGAGAGTGAAGATCCTTTCGAGCCCATTCCGCTTGCCATGTACGGGCAGGAGGATGACTTTGAACCAGAACCTCTCTAAGGACACGAGGCAAGCTAAACGTACCTGCCGGTACGGTACCGTTCGGGCACCAGCCCAACAGCTGGGGTGCATGAAAAGGCGGCACCCACACTCAGGATTCGATTCATAGTAGGTTTAAACCTTTTATCTATAGCACAAATACAAATACAAATACAAATACACACCTACGGTAGCGAAGGCCAGAAAGCCCAACAGCAACAAAGGCAACGAAACGATATCGCAGCTACGGTACCGATAAGCGACCACTTCAAGCGAAGAAGGCGGCTGAGAGGGGGATGTCGACACTTCCGGTACGGTACGGTAGGTACTACCAGGTAGGATCTGCACCAGCAAAGTTTCGGCTGGCTTCGCAAGCAAGCAAGCAAAGATATCGAGTGGGATCCTGGACTTTAGCAATGCTGTGCCGCTCAGGATGCGATATAAGGCCGATTGTTGCAAAGGCTTCCGTTCGACTGGCTGTTTCTTCTGGTGGCTGGTGGTACCATCCACTGTACGTACAGGACAAGGACTAATGCGTAAGTTTTACTTGTCCTGCGTGAATATAACGGTACTAGTAGTCTAGTACAACCACAAGAAAAGGTTGGTGCTACAGTCGTACCGTTCCAGTTCGTAATAAGTGTTGCGCTCTGTGCAGCCTTGCTCTCGGCCTGGTCGAAAATTTTGCTCGGCTCCCTTGTACACGCCGCAATGGCCTCCGAGTATTTCTAGCGTTTCACCTCCTGTACAAAACACTGTATGCACAACTTTGATCAGACCTCAACTTGAAGGCCACAAGCTAGTAGCGCTAGCTAGCTAGCTAGCTAGCTAGCTAGGTAGTATTGCATTGCTTCAACGCCTCGCAACACCGTACACTGTACTTCGTTGCAACAAAGGTGATCAATCAATCGTGTCATTGGAAAGATCTAAATATCTCCAACCCTAACGCAGCAACCCATCCCAACCGAGGCTACCGGTACTTGCGCTCCCGGGGAGAATAGAAAGTATCTGTGCAGGTCCCTCGATGATGAAACCAACAAACCAACCCTAACCAAAGCTGCTTGCTGATGAGAAGATGCACGCAAAACGTCTTTTATTGGGTGCGAGGCGAGTCAAGTTTAGCTTCAATTTCTCCCCCGCGTAGCTCTGAAATGCGCCCTGCACAGCCTTGCAAGCAAACGTTCTTACTTTACGATTACGGTAGCTAAACCACTACTCTTGCAGAAACTTGATCACAGCTTCTGCGACGGCAGGAGCTGATTTAGGATCAGCATGGAAGTGATGACTCCCAGGCAAAGTCTTCATAACAGACGGTTTCAAGATCTGCATGAGACGTTCCTTTTTTTCGGGCTCAAAGGGAAATCCATCCACGGCACGAAGAAGGCATGTCTTTGCTTGGATATCCTTGTACAAGGCTTCCGTTTGCTCAGCGGTGAAGTAATGCGCCGAAGGCCAACGGAGACGCGGATCGTGCAGGAACTTTACCCTTCCCTCTTCGTCAATCTCACTTCCCCTAACCACCATTTCCTTAGCAGTTTCCGTCGACAAATACTGATTGCCTGGAAAGGAAGTTGCCGTCCTACGCCTCAACTTCACAGCCATTTCCACGGATGGATACAGCATGCGTGATTCCAAGACCAATTTAACATTTCCCGCTTGACGTCGTTCAATATGACTGCGTACATGCTTGGCAATTTTTTCCGCCGGTCGGTCCAAAGGCCCCGCCCCATCCAATAAAACTAATTTGTCAATTCGTTCCGGAAAGGCAGCGGCCATGACACAGGCCACAGAAGCACCCATGCTATGGCCAATCAATGTGAAAGGAACGTTCCCAGCAGAAATGTGCTCTGGAGTTTCCGCCGACCCATCTTCATTTTTCTTGCGTTTGTTGCTCTTGGCATTATCTTGCTTCCACCATCCCAGTTTTTCGGTTACTTCAGCCACATAAAACGCCGATTCGGTTAATAGAATCGAGGGTCCATCCAAACTCTTGTGGCTACTCAACCCATGCCCAAGAAAATCAATGGCGACCACGTTGACATCCGTATTGGTCACTTGAATCCCATCGGTTTGGGTTCGACACAACGCTTCTGCGAGCTTGGGGCCCAGATGGTAGAAGGATCTGCAATTGTCTAACCACCCATGCAAGCAGAGAATATTTCGAGTGCGTGTTTCTCCCTCCCGGTCTTCGACTGGATTGGCTTTGGCATACCACTGCTGGGCAGCAATCACCATCCCATCAGAGCATTGGAGCCTCATTTCTCGGACTGGAATTGGTTCCACCATGATGTTACTACTTTCGGAAGATTTGGCGGTAGAGGATAAAGCAAAGGCGAAGGCAATGGACCGACTGATAACAAGCAGTCTAATAACCAACTTTTTCATTACACCCTCTCCAGATCGAAGTCGTAATGTACTAGTATTATGACAGCTTGAATAGCAGTTCATGTAATGGCTAGTAGTCGCCCAAGGACTGCTTCGATGCGTCGATGTCTCATCTCTCGGAATGCGTGGTTCAGCCCCATATCTCCTTGGCAGAGGTTGAGAATTATGCCACCAACAAAATACCGGCTAAGCTACTATAAATTCCTCGGGCAGGATCTCGTGGCTTTGGTTCGCAGACCCGGATGCGAATTGCTGAACACACGACACCAACCATCACCAACCACCGGTACCGCATCCAGCAGCCACCAATCTAAGGGCCGTTGGGACAGAACAATCTAGGACCGCACCATCGACCCCACCACCTGAAGGATTCTTGACGGACAACATTGATCGGTCCTACTATCTTTTTAGATGGATTCCCGTACCAACAGGCAAAGCTACCGGTATCGAAACTGTGGGTTCTTCGCGTATCTCACCTCGATGGCTCCACATCCCTGAAAGTCAAGTCAGGAGAACATCCCACAGCGGTGTGAAATGAGAGCCACCAGGCTACACTACTAGCTAGAAGGCAGTCACAAGAGTTGTCTACTAGCTAGCTAGCTAGGTAATCGTTTGTTTTTGTAAGATTCGTCCTTTGGCTTTGTAGGCGTACCTCCTGGAAGGAGATGGATACCGGTACCTGGCCGTGTCTCAGAATCTGCTCTGGGAGGCCATGCTCCACTCCAAAGACAGACTGCCTGCTGATGAGAGGCTGATGACATAATCATTGGGAACACAATCCTTGAGAGCTGGTTGCATTGGGCAGATGCATCTCTAATTGATTGTCGTCAGTCCATCCATTCTTGCGTGCTGGTACATTCGCGAACACTTGGTGCGGTTTCGGGAGGCACTTGCACAGACTGCTCGTTTTGATTGTGCGTGATACAGGCAAAGGAGCTGGGGCGAGCACCCAACTACGAATCTGGCGACCTACGCAGGCGATGCAAGTGCTTTGAGCTTAGCATTCTCTTTGGCTTGTTCGCTGGCACAGCTTGAAGCAACACACTGCCCGACCACTACAGCAAACAACTGCGTGGGCCTGTCATTGGGAGAAGTATGTTAGATCATCATGAATCTTATCCGGTGAGTGATTCAGCAAAACAAAAACGTAGTTCACGAAGCTCACCGTGATCGCTCTATGCTTGCTTTCCGAATAGCTTCTTCATCTCCTTTGCAGTCCTCTTGTGCTTTCAGAACAGATTGAATAACCTGCGACCTCAACGCGGTGCAATCTTTTGCCATTGATCGAACAATCTTTTTCTCTAAACCCATTCGTAGAGTACCTACTGTCATCCAGTGACCCAGGTACTTGCGATCAACAGGGCTGATGTGGCCGCCCTCTTCGACATCAGCAACTGCCCTAGTATCCACAACACAGCAAGCTTCGAAGATTCTCGTAATAGTTGCTGTGTAGCAAAACGGAGTCAGATGGCTCTGTTCTGCCTCCTTGAGCTCGAAGGCGATAAGGCTAGCTTCACTTTTCATTTTCTTGATGTCCTTCGAACGCCACCAAATTTGTTGCTTGTGTTTCTCGACATCCACTCCTTGTGATGGGACTACTTCTTGGACGCTACTGGAAAAGGTTACTTCCCGACGGTTCGTTTTGGCTCTCTTGATGTCATTGGATTCAGGACCACTAGTACGTGTAGCGCTGGGCAATTGTGGGCTAAAAGCTTTCTCCTCACTCCTGATGGGAGCGCGGATTTCTACCATACTGGATGCAATCAGCAAGCATGCAATCAAGCAAACTGCCCACAGTAGGAGACCATCATCAACATCGATCAGACTCGGCAGCATTCCCTGGATATTGACCACAACACGCACCATCGTCGGCAATCGAGAGTTATGCTTATGGGAGGATCGCAAAAAGTTTTGCTCTGTTGAAGCCTTGACAAGCATCATTGGATCATTGGCATTGGGAACCAAAGGGCCGGAAATCGCGATTTACAAGTAATTCTGCCATATATTTGGGTTTCAATTTTATATTTAGGATTCGATTTTATATTTAGGTTTCGATTTGATATTTTGGTTTCGGCTTGATTTTACTAGTTATTTACCATAGTAATTTGGTTTCGGTTTTATATTTTGGTTTCGGTTTTATATTTTGGTTTCAATTTTATACTTTGGTTTGGAATTGATCAATTTAATTGGATTCATAAAATCCTGATTTCCGGCCCTTTCAACCCCTTTACTAACTAAGTCTCTGTGTTCAGACGTGGCAGATTGCAATCGTCGCCGATCTGACGTGGCTTTTTGACCTACGGTACGTGACATTCGACCTGACACTATTGTGAGAGCTGAAGTCTGCCGTACCCATACAACAGCCCAACAAAACGCTATTGTACGACTACGGAGTGAATCTGCACCTACCGGTACCGTGCACAAACGGCCTTGGTTCAACTACAGGACATTCAAGCTGACTAGACTCTACAGAGTTCTAGCTAGAGAGCTCATTGGAGCCTGGAGCCAACAATGCCAACTCTCAGCAGCTCAAATGACCACTGCATCACCGAGGTGGTCTTTCCTTGAAGCCATGCACATCCCACACAAGTGATCTGTCTTGCTTTGCCTGTGCCATGTGAGGAGGCCTAGCGGGGGCTCCTCCCGCTGAATCACTGACCGTTCTTACATGAATATTCGATCCTGCATTTCTACTGTCCTTGGCAACTTTTCAAAGTGTCTACTGTGTTTAGTGCCTCTACCTGTGACATCGTTTCACCACTTCGTTTACAATTCCACTCCACTACCTTCATTCGCCTCTTCAACAATTTCCACCATCTCAAACAGCCCTTCCATCAACTTGAAGAGACCAGCACCAACGGCCGCACCAGCAAAGGGCCCCCAGAGGGGTACCACCAATCCATAGTGCCATTCACTGGATCCTTTGCCGGGAATTGGCAGCAGATAGTGTGCCAGGCGTGGTCCAACATCACGTGCTGGATTAGCAGCCAATCCAGTGGGACCTCCCAAGCCAAGAACCAACAAAGTGATGTACAGAGCAACGTACAAGGATTGGAAGAAGGCACCATCTTGCCATGTCCCGGTGAGCTCTGTTTGAACCTCCTTGCGCAAATTGAAGAGTTCCGCACCAAGCACCAAGACAGCAGTCGCAATAGCTTCCTGCAGAAAGTTCCAAGGGCGGTTGTAGATGGCTGGTCTGGTGCCAAAAATGGAGAGCTTGGCACTGGCATCCGCCTGCAAGGCGGCCTTGTAGGCCAACATGGTGGTGTCTTGCTCTGGCGTGGCCATGTTGTTGCTGGGATCTGTTGCCGGATTTTCCACATCAATAATTGTGTTCTTGCCTTCATGGAAACTGACTTTGGTCTGAACCGGCACTCCTTCAGATGATTCGTTAGTTGATCCATTAGTTCGGATGGTCTGAGAGCCAGCTTGAATGTCCTCCTTTTGCTGCAAATTATTGTCATCATGAGTATGCAAGAGCGCAGCCACTTGCACAGAATGGCGCATCTTCTCAGTGGTAGCATCTGTCTGAGAGCCAGCTTGAATGTCCTTCTTTTGCTGCATACTATTGTCATCGTGAGTATGCAAGAGCGCAGCCACTTGCACAGAATGACGCATCTCTTCAGTGGTAGCATCCGCAGGCTCCCTTTTTCGCAGTAGTTCGGCCAAGTTGACAGAGCGGTGGTCGAAATACTCCAAATGAGTGGGAGGTGCTGTTTGTAGTGTGACCTTCTGACGCCTTTTGTGTCTCATTTCCATTTTCTCCAAGAGATTGGCATCATCAGCAGCAAATGTGTTCGTGTTGTATCCTTCCAGGAATTGTTCATCATTGGGCAATCGAAAGAAGGACCTTATTTCGTTACCAATGGTTTCATTCTCCCTCTTTCGTGATGCTGGTCCAAATGCAGAGGCAAGTCTTCCAGCATTGGTTTCCATACTGACAAGTCCTTCAATATAGGTTGCTGTATCACTGGTATTGGAAGGAAGTGGAAGAGAGAATCCAAAATGTGGCATGAAAAAGATGACTACCAGGACCCCTCCCACAAAGGCTCCCGCAAAATTGGCACAGGAGCAGGCCAGGAATTCTTTCCATTCCACTTTTCCAATGAGAGCCAAAAAGAAAAACATGGCAGGGTTGAGATGGGCACTGATAACACCAAACCAAGCTATGTTCACCCCAAAGGCCAAGCCAAATCCAATGGCCACAGCGAGATATCCCATGCCATGACCCTTAGTGCTAGCGAGCAACTCATTTGCAATGATGGACTCTCCAAAGAGTATGGTGAGGGCAGTTGCAACAAATTCGGAGAGAACCTTGGCTCCTAGTGGGTACACGTATGTCATTGTGGATGTGCTTTCGTTAGCCTTATCAAAATGTTTGTGGTGGTTGTTGCGATAGAAGTACTGCAGCAGTTTTTGTTTCGTTGTTTGTGACTTCTTTTGAAAGAGAGAGAAGAGAGACGGAGCTATCATACAGTAGGTTTACAGCAGAACACCACAGGAAGATCCAGGGAACAAACCGAGGCAAAGATCCAGCAAAAAGGTTGCGTGTATTATTAGTACAGTCGTATTCTCGGAAGCAAGAAGAACGGGTGGCATTGAAACACGGATACCTGTTCTTTTCTTAGTCCCGTTATTTACCCTTTTCCTTAAAATACCCTGAGCGCTAGTTTAGTTCTGATCATCGTAAACTCTTTGTTCCGGTACCAGCTACTCTGTGAACCACCGCCGGAAAAGAACCACCACCGGAAACTAACAAATAACTAAAAACCCTTAACCCTAAAAAATCGGTGGTGATTCCATTTTTCTACGGGCTTCTACACAAAATCTACGTTTTCCGGTGGTGGTTCACACAGTAGCCAGGTACCACTGTGAAAAGGACTGCTCCTGCTCTCACTTCACACTTCATTCTCGGTCGTACTACATGTAGTACCAACGTACCAACCAGTACTGTACCCTATCGCGTTCGAGCCCATCGTGCGGCACCATCGACACAGCGACACCGCCTTTCCTGAATCGAATCGAATCCACAATCGAGAATGCGCAGCTTCTTTTATTCCATAAGCAAGATGGGATTGACCACTCGGCATCATTGAAGCGTTCTCACAAACAATAGCTGGACGAGATGCCAACAACGAATCGCAAAGGAGTCTCCCAACGAAAAGAAGATGAAGGGACGACAGTTATTGAGACACGCACTGATGCCAAGCAGAAGAAGGGAGCCAAGCAGAAGAAAGGGTTATCGCGATCTCGTGAGGAATTCGCTGACAAGCTCCTGGCAGTAAGACAGCGCCTTTCCACCGTGATCACGGGCACAAGAAATATCCAAGCCGGTGGCAATGATGCCACTGATTCTAAACAGAGAAAGGGATTAGCCAGTACTCTTGATGATGAAGTCTCCGATAAGCTCAATGCGGCAAGTGCCAACAATCATCTTCATCAACGAAGCCCTGACCTGGATAATACTGCTCCTGAACAAGCTCGATTTCATGACGCAGCTAGTGGCGTGGCAAGAATCTCGCATTTGGCTCCAGTATCACCATCAGAAGCAGTCACGCTAATGGAAACAACTTTATTGGCGGATAGTGATAAGTCAAGGATATGCGATTCGGCACATATGACTTTTTTTCGCACCAAAAAACCTTCGCCTGAGACGTCCCTCACCCAGGAAAGTGCACCAGTCGTCATTCCACAATACGAAGATCTTGACATGGAACCGGAAGTGGTGCGATCGACAAGATCAACCGCGGACTACAGAGTGGGTGCCTTGCACGTGGACGGACCTCAATTAGAAGAGGTTTCCAGCAGTGTGGAAGATCTCTCCTCCAGTTCCTCATCATCATCTTCTTCTTCAGCTTCCGATTCTGCTCCACCTCTCATTGAAGCCTTCCTAGTTCGGGCGAGCCAGGCAATACTCGGGCCGTCACAAAGACAGTATGAGGATGAGGAGGCACCCAATGTACAAGAAGTGCCTCCAGAAGAAACAATCGAAGTGGCAGAGGCGCACAAGGTGAACCTGTTTGACTTGCTCCAAAATCGAAGTATACAAGTCTTCATTGGAATCCTTCTCGGACTCGTTGTGACAATTTCGGTCATTATATCTGCATTGCTCGTAGTCTCACGAAACAATAGCCAAGATATCCCTCCACCTCCTTTCAACTTGATTGATGTCTTCCCGGAATACACCCAAGCACAAATCAATGTTTCAATGTCTCCCCAAAGCAAGTCTTACCAATGGCTTGAACGCCATCCTGCTCTAACGAACATTACAACATGGCGTCAACATCAAATGTTTGCCTTGGCTACTTTCTTTTACAGCTTCAACGGAGAGAACTGGCACCCGGAGGAACGTCAGGGCTGGTTGACATACGACAATGAATGTGACTGGGGCATCAAGGGGACCATTGATATCATCTGCAACAGCAACGGACAGATGCAAAGATTACGGCTGAACGAACCACTTGCGAACTTTTCTGGAACAACAATTCCTCCCGAGTTCACCTTGTTGACTCTCCTGGAAGAGCTGTCAATCTCGAGAAATGAGATAGCAGTCAACATTTCAACTTTGCTTCCGATGAGGTTGAAGTCCCTTTCCCTTACCGCATTGCAGCTTTCGAGAAATGGAATGGTCGGAGAAGTTCCATCAGAACCGCTCCTATCCTGGACGAAGCTGACGTCGTTGGATCTCAGTTGGAATAAGTTCAGAGGCCAGCTGCCCGAACAATTCGGAAATCTTTCAGATCTGATTGAACTTGACTTGAGACAAAACACCTTTTCTTCCGCTATTCCCAGCTCTTTTGGCGTGCTTTCCAATCTGCGAAGCCTGGATCTCCAAGACAATGCACTTGTAGGTTCCCTAGTCGGGGACGTTTGCTCGGGAAGGGCCAAGATACGCTGCGACACGACGCTAGTCAACTGCAGCGATGGTTGCAGGTGCCTCTCGGGCCTACAGGATCTGCTGGAATTTCCCAACTATACTTTGGACTCGTTGCGAAATCCATTGTCGTCTCAGTCTCGAGCGTACACTTGGCTTGAAGATGAAGACTTTTCGTACCCCATTTTGCTACAAAAGGAGCAACAGCTGAAGCAAGAATTCTATGCGTTGACTACATTATTCTATGCCTTCAATGGCCCCATGTGGCCGCAAGAAGTGCTGGCTGACTGGTTGAATCCCATCGAACCTGTCTGTGGCTGGGACATCCAAAGCGACGACGAAAGAGCAGACAGGCTCTTCGGCAACCGCTGCCACGATGACGGCACTTTCCAACGTTTGTCACTTCGGAAACCGGCCGGGGATGATAAGGAATTCCAACTTCTGGGAGCCATCCCTCCTGAAATCTCCCTCTTTAAGGGCCTTGAGAGCATCGTGATATTCGACACAGAGTTGAATACCTCCTTACAAGATCTAATCCCAACAGAGCTGAAGACTTTGACGAACTTTTCAGAGCTGATTCTGGCAAAAAACCGTATCACTGGAAACATCTCATCAGCATTTGTGTCCTCGCTTCCTCGTAGCTTGACTACCTTGGATCTACGCGAAAACAGGATTACAGGAGTCATCCCTGAAACGGAAATGGGCTTGTTGACTCAGCTAGAATCTATTGACTTGAGCTTCAACGATCTCTCTGGGACGATCCCAAGTGAGCTGGGGCAATTGTCGGCTCTTGTGGAGGTGAATCTGGCGGGAAATAAGTTTGACACGACCTTTTTGGCATCCAATGACACATCAGGGCAAAAAGCCATCATTCCTTTGGAAGTATGCAGTTTGCCTTTGCTAGAACGCTTGGTAGTCGATTGCGACAATGTGGCTTGTCCTGAATGGTGTTCTTGTGTCTGCAACAATTGACTGGACCATTGTTGCGTCCACCAGCGACGAAAGCAGCCAGGATCGGGGCCAGCTGCGACATCGTTTGCACGGCCCCAAGTGATCTACAGATATCGCAATCATCATCATTCTGTTGATAGCACGGGGGTGCTCTTCGTTAGGACAAGTAGAAACGGTACAGAGCAAAACAACTCGATGCAAAAACCGTGTACATTGATACAAAATCAATAGCAGTTGCTCGAACGTTGGCTCTGCAAGGTGATCATTCTGGTTATAGGTACATAAACCCACGTTTCAAGAGCTGTTTCAAGTAGCAACCCACTCGACGTCACTGCCATCCTCCAAATCAGAGCATCCATTTTCATTCGCCCTTGCCATCTGGGCTGTTAGGGGCATCCATTTTGGCGAACCCGCTTCCGCTATTCAGAATGCCCCTGGTTAGGGTTCCCTCAGCAGCACCATAGCAAGTCCTTGCATCCCATGAGCAAGATTAGTGGAAGAGGGCAAGTGCACCATCGGCATCCCAGAGGGGACGGTGGGAGCTCATTGTGCCAGCAGGGACATGAGAGCCTGAACTTTCCGGGGATAACGTAACCATGCGGAGCAACGGCACCAATTTTCATGCAAATCCATTCGCACGAGATTGTTCGAATGGTCGATCAAACCGGACAATTCGATTCAATCGAATCGATCTTCTTTTCCAGTCACGGAACACGTCATTGCTCGGATCATTTCAACACGCAACACTCTTGATTTGTCCTCGTTGTGATGATGTGATCAGCTTCTGATGACTACCAATGGAAGGTTGGCGAAGTACATCTTGGCAAACACATCATCTTGAATCGTGAGGGCTTCTGGAAAAGGTTGCCGTCGAGGTCCATAAAACAGCGGCTCGACAGCATAGATTGTCTTTTTGTTCCAGCGCAGCGTCCCCCAACATTCTTCGCGTAGCCACCCGCCGAGTTGCCAATACCATGGGATCCGTATTTGGAAGAGAATCCGTAGCGGAGCCAGCCTTTGAAGTTCTTTTGGAAAGAGCCCATGGTCCTGTGCAGACAACTTATGAAATCCGTCGCTACGGCGAACGATTTGCTGCCGAGACTACCTACACCGGGGATGGTGACAATTCTCCCTTTCGGCTGTTAGCACAGTATATTGGAGTATTTGGCAACCCTCAAAATGAAGCCTCTGAATCCATCAGCATGACGGCACCTGTCATGAAGAGCGGTTCGGAAGGTGGTACTGCCATTGCAATGACGGCACCGGTCATGAGATCTGCCAACCACAAGGAAGGAGAAAAGACCATGCAGTTTGTCCTCCCCGCCGAATATGATGAATTGTCTAAGATTCCAAAACCAACCAATCCCAAGGTTCACATCAAAGAGATCCCTCCACAAGTAGGTGCTGTCCACCGATACAGTGGAAGCATGGACGATTCGCACTCGGAGAAAACGGCAATGGAACTAGCTGCCCAACTTCGAAAGGACGGAGTTGAAATCTCTGATGCAGATGCCTTGAGAAGCTACAACTTTTGGGGATACAATCCGCCCTTTTGCTTGCCTGCGTTTCGACGAAACGAAGTTTGGATCGAATTAACAACGGATCAGGCAGAACAGTTGGTGAAGGAGTTCAACCCAGAGGATGTCAACTAAACTATGAATAGAATTGCAAATTAACGACACGATGAATGGTACCGTTATCGAAGTATTCTAGAGGTTCTTTCTTTAGTAAAGAAAAGAGATAGAAAATGTGTTGTGTTCTTGGCAGACCTTCACAAGAAAAAGGAACTTTTTGTTTCGCCAGTGGCGTTCTCTATGGTATTCTTCCTGTATACTTTTTCACTAGCCCATGTTCCCACTCTGCGAATGTTTTCACGGGCTACTACCAGCCAACTAGGCTAGCTAGTACTTGCTCAAGAACACAGCCAACATGGATTCTGGGGTGTAACCATCAATTGATGCTTGGTTGTGCTCCACAATAACTGGCAGGTCCGCTTCCTCGCCATCCTGCATTCCCTCGTTGTCCCTGGATACAATGGCCAGCTCCGTTTGCGATTGACTCTGGGGCTGACGTTTCTTTTGCAGCGATTTATCAATGGTGACAATGGTGTCCCTGAGATCTTTGAGATTCTTAGGCAACGAGCGATCTACAGTCTCGGCAAACGACTCGGACAATGCAAGCAGCGAGGATTCCATTTGGCGCAAGATTTTGCGTCGCGCTTCATTATCAGCCTCTCTTTTGGCCTGCTGGTTGTCGTCTTTCTCATTACCACTGGCACTTTCCTGCTGCTCTTCCACCAAGATATCGCCGGCAATCAATCGAACTTGGCGATGAGCGAGCTCTATCGCTCGCAGTAGAATCTGTGCTTGTTGTTGCTGTCGTTGTTCTGCCATGGTTCGCACTTGTTCTCGTAGCTCACGGGCTCGTTTGAGAGCGTCTCGATCCAACAATTCGTGATCATCATAATCATTGTTGATGTATTTGGCGCGTCGTTGTTCTTCTTTGCGTTGCGCTTCGTCTTGAGCTGCAATCATAACCTTTTCTCTAGCAATTTGGCGTTGCTCTGCTTCGTTCTCGGCATTGATTTTCAGTTGGATAAAGGGTCCGCGTGCTTTTTCATGGTAATCTTCATCGGGAATAGGGTTGACAACTTGTATCAATCGCTGTTTGAGGGAGTTTTGAACATCCGTCAGAAACGCCACTGTGGGATTGTTGTTGTTGTTTTCATCTTGTGCTTGTCCCTGATCTCGCTCTTCGTCCTGGTCGGTTCGTGCAGTGACATTATCTTCCCGATCTTCGGAGTCCTTGACATTTGCTGTGTCTGTTTCAGTTGATGCATCTGTTTCAGCGAATGCACTTTGCTCTTGTTCAACCGTATTGCCTGCTTTTGGTAGGACACCATGCTTCTCTGAGTCCATCACATTGTCAATGGCTTGCAGAGCTTGTTGAAAGTCAGACTTTGCCACAAAAACCTTCGCTGGTTTCTTCTTTATCGATGGAGGAGGCGACACAGAGGCCGTCTCCTGGGTGCTGACCATGGTGCGACGCTTCATTGTGTTGGAGAGCAAAATCAGTTTTTTGATGAGGAGAACCGAAAACGAAGCCAAAATGTGCCGCGCCCCAACGACTAGTTTGGTCGGCTGGCTTGATACATGTTTAGCCGGAATCAGGAATTTGGAACGCAAGGAAAACAAGATGCTTAGGGTTACGGCTACGAAGCTTAAGGATCTTTGCCGAAGGCTCCAACAACAACAATGCCCATCCGTCCAGCCACAACAGCGGCGGCCACAAGTAGCCACTGTATCCATCTCTTTCCAGCCTTTCTAGTAGCTTTGTCCAACAGACCTGATCGCTCTTTACCATGTTCCGCAACCAATACGATACTGACGTGACTGTGTGGAGTCCAGAAGGACGTCTTTTGCAGGTACGCAAGTGCGAGAATCCAATCGATGAAAGATCTTGTGTTGGTTGAGGAGGATGACACTCATTTGTACCTTCCATCTTTCTCTCCTGTTCAGGTTGAATATGCAATGGAATCAGTCAAACAGGGATCGGCCTGTGTGGGTCTCCGTTCCAACTCGCACTGTGTGCTCGGTGCCTTGAAGCGATCCGTGTCGGAGCTTTCGTGGCATCAAAAGAAGTTGTTGGAGATTGACGATCACATGTTGGTCGGAATTGCTGGCTTGACGGCCGATGCCCGTACTTTGGCCAAGTACATGCGAAACGAGTGCTTGCACAACAAGTACGTCTATGGTACTCCCATGCCGCCTCATCAACTCATGGCCGATGTCGCCGATAAACATCAACGCACCACCCAAACCTACGTCCGACGACCCTTTGGTGTGGGATTGTTGGTGGCCAGTGTGGACCCGCTGACCCAGAAACCTCATTTATATCAAACCTGTCCTTCGGGAAACTTGTACGAGTTTTATGCCAGTGCCATTGGAGCTCGTAGCCAATCGGCTCGTACCTACTTGGAAAAACACCACGAAACCTTTGGTGATGCCAGTCGCGATGATTTGATTGTGCATGCCTTGCAGGCACTGGTTGGATGTGTGTCGGGGGATGACGAATTGACCAAAGAAAATGCCAGCATTGGAATTGTCGGTAAGGATGAAAAATTCACGCTTCTGGAGGGTGATGCCCTTCAGCCATTCTTGGATCGATTGGAACTCAAGGGAGGCGATGACGATGAGGAAGAGGCTGGAGACGATGCCGCGGCTGAAGCGGAACCCATGGAGACGTAAATTCATTTATTTGAATGGCTGCTGAAAGATCCATGCTAGGCTTTCTGGTGAAGAGCGAAACGAAAGCATCCATTTATTACAGCACGAGGCTTCCATTTTTTAAGAAATAAGATGACAACAAACTTCTCGAAGCTGCCTCTTTTGAAAGAAGAGTTTCCTCTTCGCGTTCAACATAGAATTGAATATGCATTAGCGCGAGAAATTAAAACAGCAAACTCAGGGGTTTGGCAGCCCTATTTGGAAAGGAGGCTGAAGTATTGGAAAAAGACTACCGTACAACCAAGCTAAGAACATCTCATCAGGCTATTCCGATGAGATATCGATTCGATTCTAGCTAGTAGGCTTGCTTGTCGATGAGATATCGATAATAAGGCACCGGAAAGAAATCGTTGCAAGGTTGCGTCGTTGGATCTACCGTATGCATCGAACCCTTTCGGTTACAAAACATCGTTGCAGGGTGCCGGCCAGATTATGCTGGCTGCCTTGCCTCCGGAAGGTCTGGTGTGCATGCATGTTCAGAAAGGAAGACCAGCCGCTGGATATGCTACCTTTGCAAGAGTCCGATGAGGGTTGGGTTGGGTACAGTGGCTGACCATGATCGAGGTGTGCATGCTCAACCCTTCTGACAAGATCCAGTGTCATGAACGAGAACGTTTCTGGTGCGGTCGCAGATGTGGCTTGAACCGTGGAAGGTAGTAAAGGCGAGCAAGGGGAGGCACAAAGGCGCCAGGACGACGGTAGCACAGTCAAGTATCGAAAGGCAACGGACAATGACCTGCAGCTTCGGCGATAAAGGGCGGCACAAGAGGACCCCGGCTCAGATAATCGATGCTTTCTTCTAGGAGGAAGCTGCCTTTGAGCCAGAACAGTTTTGCTTTTGGGGAGGATGACAGAAAACTCTCCCCAAGCTCTCCAGTCTGTCATTGTATGCCTTCTGAGAGCTTCGTCGGGCTATTGGCTGGGCCATAGCAGACAGCAACATATATCCAGCCCCAGTTGCTAGCGGTATTGGAGATACTACCGCATTATGTTTGCCTCACATCACGTACCATACGGGTACTCTGGTACCAGTAGACAAGCGCCTTGCTGTAGTTGACTTTGTCAAACGAAGTCTCAAAGTAGTCATTGGAGTTTGGCTGGAATAGCTGGCCGTTCGAAGTTCCAACGATGGCGTTTTCTCTTTCAGAAACCCATCGCATATGAATGTTGATAGATGCGCTGCCATCGCATTGCTGTAGGCACAGCTAGATACGTACCTCACGGACCTCTTTGTGGACGAGGACCACCCAGGTACTGTACAGTGTACGGTAGTCAGATGACCCCGACATCTCCGGTTTTCGCTCCTTGGCTTCGTACCAGACCCAATTGCTTTGGGCAGTGAGAGGGACGAGAAAACCCAATCTGACTGGTCGGGATTCTTTTGGTGGAAAGCATAGGCGTACCGGTACCGGTAGACCACTTTTTCTTGGCCTTTATAGTTTCTCTGGCCCTTTCTATGATCTCCGGTATGCTTCCGCTTTTGTTTGGAGGAATTATTTCGAGTATTGCTTCATGCATCTACAGTAGCTGTGGCTCCTCAAGCCGGTGTCCCATAAAACCCACCATCCATATTTCTTCGCATGAAAAGGCCCAAGGCAAGCAGGAAGCAGCATAACAGTGAAATCATCCTTTCCACTTTCACAGCCAACTCCAGGGGGGGGAATAATAATGAGCAAAACCTAAGCTTGGTGCAAGCTCGCAACGTAACTCGGAGCACTATTATCGTACCGTACTGTACCGTATTGTACCGGTGGCAAGAACGGCTGTACGTTGCAGTGCTGATCTACAGTGGCCTTTTGGTCGTGGTATGACATAAAGAGAAATGAACTGCAATGACCGGAGATACATTCATTAAATATGAGAAAAACATTAATCGAGAGGACAGTGAGAGAACCTACTAATGGACTTTTCGGGGGTATCTGATTATAAATACATCTGTTTTGGAGCGAGTTATTAAAAGAACTCTGCAAAAAGCAGCTCAAAAAGCGAAGTTCTGCTTTGGCTTTTGGCTTTTTAGGTTCTGGCTCTTGAATGTTTGAGGATTATCACATCAGCTATCACACCGCACAAATTTATTGATTGCAGCTGCACATGCACCTTTGCTACCGCACCACCATGAGGTCGTGGCTCTTCGTTCTAATTTGCTGGTGGAATACACCGTCGGTTTCTGCATTCTTCAATATGTTTTCTGATGAAGCAGCTAGAATATCAGCTCCAACAGGAAGTGATTTTGATTTCGACGAATTGATTCTTCTGCACATGGAGAAGGAGTGGGGAATGAAAGAAATGGCCCGATACAAGAGTGTGCGAGGGGCCTGGCCACTCCGATCAGAGCTCGAATTGTACAACGACAAGGAGACAAAACAAAACGTCCGTCGAGCAAAGGAAGTACATCCTGTCAAGTTTGCCGTTGAGCAAGACAAAGAAGTCTGGGAAACCAGCGTTTTGGATTCAATCCTGAGTTCAATACCATCACTGATATGACACAAATAAGCTCTTTCGACCTCCAGCTTCAAGGCATTTCAGTGTTTCAGCACGATACAAGTTCTACATTTTCTGCATCCAAGGTGAATGCAATGGCGAAAAATTGGCTTTTGGAAAGCCATTTCAACGCAAAAAAGCAAGAACAGAGGATATCCCTTGTCCTTTCCCTCCACATATGCTTAAAACAACTTCCGATGCAGCTTCCATTTACCCTTCAATCAATCTGACGTCGTACATTGAGCTGTGTGAACTTGAAATTCACATCAGTATCATCGGTACGACATACATCCAACAGCTGTTCCAAATATCCCCTGGGCCATAGACTTCATGTACGCTAGCTAAATACAAATAGAATCCAAATAGAACTACACTCTACTTTATGTCTCCATTGGCACGCCCCCTATGGAGCTTATCAGTCTCTCCTCTCTCCCTCTTGTAGCCTGATGTGAAGTTACATGAACAGCTCATGAACATAGAAGCAGAGGAATCGAGTCTCCGGACGGAGACAACAGAGATAGTCTCCAAGGACCAGTGCCGATAGACCGATAGCCCATAGTTATCGGCAGATACATGTAGGACGATGCGGTGCGATGACCCAGTGCTCCTCTTGTAAGTCACCATTGCACCTTCCGGTAAGTCAGAAAGCATCCAGATATCCAGAATCCAGATGGAAAGCATGGCCGAAATCACCTATGTCCGAAGGATCTTTACTTAAAGGAGAAGTTCAACTAGGTAGGAAGAAAGTGACGAGTACTCTACTAGTAGAGTACGGCAGTACAACGTTGCAGTCTACCGTACCGCGGTGGTACCGGTACAGCGCACGGCTTCCCCCAACATACAACGACATGAAGCACCGGTACGAGTTCGTACGGTAGTAAAGACGCTTACAGAGAGCTGTCCCAGCCATATTTCGGCCACCAATCCTGATGAGCACCACCTGCAGAAGACATGGGGACTCTACGAAGCCAAACGGCCGAGTGTGCGTGGTGGTCGTTCACCGCACGAAGCATTCTAGCTACCGCTAGATCAGCTGTACGAGTGCAGGAGAGGAGAAAGCAAAGGGATTTTGGTGGCCGCCCACTGCATTAGATGTAATGTCTTCTTTTGTTGTTTTCCTGGGTCTATTGTTGACATATGGCATACCGGTACCTGTGCATCTGGCGAGATAGTTGCTATACGTTTGCTTTGCAACAGGGTAACCGTAGTAACTCGCTGTTCAAACTGTCTTAGTAGATGGTTGGTGGTTGCTCGCTTCGTCTGTTCCAGTTTCCAGCCAGCAAAACGAGGCGGACTGGCACGTCGAAAAACCTCCATCCCTAATCTTATGTCTAACCTTAGCGTAGATCCCAGCGGGTTTGGCCGTCGCTTTGTTTTCTGCTTCTCCCTCCACTTACTTGCTCCGTAATTGCTCTCGCCGTCCACCTTGAGAGTCGAGTCTCATCTTCCTCGTTGCTGTCACATACATCATCAAAGCAAGCTGGCCATTGGAAACCATGGGAGACCGCCCAATCCGAGACCGCACGTTGATCCTTCGGGTGCTGGTGCCTGGACTGGAGACTCGATTGCGTGATAAGATGGAGGAACGGGCCGCCGCGAAAAAAGAAGCAGATGGCGGAAAAAGCGGGGGACCCAGCCATCCCAACAGTAGCAGTGGAGGACGTGACAACAACAGTAACAAGGAGCAGCTGTTGGATTTGGAAGGTGTGAGCTGTGAACCGACATCCTTACAGGGGAACACGTTGTGGAATTTCCATTGCGATGGAGCAAAATATCCTGCTCGATTGGTCAATCTGCCATGTCCCGTCGAACTGCATAAGGTGAATGATTGCGTTGTTGACTTGATGCTGCTGTTCTGCCTTGGAAAAAAAATCCAAATATTTAACCCCACCCCCCTGACTACTGAAGACGCATGACCACGCCATGTACTACAAATGCTCCGATGTGGCGCAAATGCTGATTGTCTACGAAGACAGTACAGCCTTGGCCGAAGCCGAAGAAGATGCCCAGAAAATGGAGGGTTTTCCATCTTATTATCACTCTGGTTTGACACCGGCGTTGAGACGTGTGGTAGAACGGCGGTTTGCAGCGCGTGAACACAGTCCAGTGGCACCCCCACGCCAGGAAGTCAGTGATGTGGAAGAACAATTGGTGGATCTCATGGAACGAATATCCAAAGAAGGAGAAAAGGGAGCCAACAAACGAACCAAAGTACCATCGCTGACTTCAGCACAATTAGCCAACAAAACACTCGAGGAAGTTTCGGAAGAAGTGGTGGAATACGAGCCATGGATGGATGATTTCGGACGACAACCGCATGGTGTAGAATTTGATGCGGACGACCCATTGTGCTCGCATCATCCAGAAGTATGGTTGGATCCGGATGAAGTTAGAGAAATTCGAATGAAAGAAGCAGAAGAGGCCGAGCTCAAAAAGAAAAAGGCAGCCAGCAAAAAGGAAAAGAAAAACAAAAAAGAACGACAAAAAAAGGAAAAGGAACAACTCAAGTTGGAGGAGACAGCAGCTGCAGCGGCCACTCCACACAAAAAGAAGGGAATTGCCTCAAAGAAGAAGGCCGAAGAGGTCGATCCAGTGGACCAGATTGCTGCCAGTATGTTGACTGTAGACGACGACCTGGAACAACTCGGATTGGAAGACGACGATGTGTTGAAATTTGAATTTGATGGAGATGACATTATGGGGGATTTGCAGTTATAGATTGGGCATCAACATTTGCACAGTGCTAATAATAGCAAAGTTGTTACTTTATGTACCTGTTATCGGGGGATTGGATGATGTTGAAAATGCCATCCATGCAAAGCTGGACAGAAGCGCCACTTACCCTTCTCCCCTCCTTCCAGGATCTTCCTTCTCCAAGCAAGTCAAGATTACTAGTGTTGCAGCCAGTAATGAGACCATAACTTAGGGTATGAAATGGTACCAAAGATACCGGATGATTGGTTAGGCAAGATGTTCATTATGCAAACAGGAACAAGCCGGAGCTCCACAATGACATGCAAAAGCATAAGGAAAGGATCCTATTGTCTCCTCTAAGCCATGTTCTCCACTTTTGTCACAATTAGAGATACCACAGAGCCTGTTGGTGACAGTGCATTTGACAGTTATGATGTTTTCATTGGCCAAATCCACAGTATGATGTTTGAGACCCCAGCGGCGGACCATCCATTTTTGGAAACCTTTCCTTTGCTGTTTTCCAGTCTTGGGGTCCTCTGTGCCAAAGGACACCCCCCCAAAGACCCACTTACCATCAATCACTGTTACATGGGCATAAGACCAGTCAACGTACTTCAGAACAGCTCTTGGTTCTGCAAACAGCTTGACAGCTGCTGTTTGGAATATAAGATCATTGTCGCGTTGGGAATAGATGAGATTTGAGGCGTCAAATGCCTGGACAAACTCTGCAACTTGTGGCTGTAGCCACCAGGAAATTCTGGTTATAAAAAAGTTGTTGTAGAAGCCATACTGCCCTAGCTTGCTTTCACAGTACGGTTCATCTAAAGCGCCGTGCATTGGACTCATTTCATGCTTGTTGAGATAGTTATCCACAAAAGGCCCAAATTCATAGGAACCACATTCTTTGGACTCCTGCCTGTACCCATACACAGCCTGCTGACTCCGCAGAGCATCAAATAAGTTGTATTGGATGGGTGACATAAAGTTGGAGTCATCATCAAGCCTCATCACATATTCATATCCCAAATCAGTCAATACATTCCAAATGGTAACAGAATAGAAGCGAATCATGTTTCTGTACCCCACTGAAAATTTCATTTCTGGAACAGAAACATTGGGAGGAGGACCCCATGCTCCTTTGGGGTGTTTCAGATTGCAGAGTCTCACATTCATACCCTCGAGTTTCTCTGTGTGTATGTCTTCCCATGAAAAATCGCCTTCATGCCACAACAAGACATCTGACTTGGCGACCTGTGGATATGCCTTTCGCAGGGAAAGCAGTGGACTACTGATATCAACATTGTGTCCAATGTAGGTACTATGTTTCTTCTGGACAACCATCACAATAGCATCCCTTGATGTACGGTTGCCGCCGAAACATCCTTGGATGAACATTGGTTGAACTTTTGCTTTTGCTTGTGGGTTTTTGGGTGGTCCCATCAATGACCGCGCCATGGCCAAAAGAACAAGACATAGTGGGAGTCCTCTTGTGAAGAGTAGTCTCATGAAACTTTCCATTGGGTTAATTTTTCTTCGTAGGAATGTCCAGTGCCGGGGGTCTATTTTCCTTTCAATGTTCATGGGGGGGGGTGGTCTCAACTAATCCTTATTAATACTGGAAGGCAATGATACCGGTACGGTATGCATGATGATCAATGAGGAAATGTTGCAACACCTTCCAGAGAGTTTGCTTGGCCTTCGCCATGGCGCATCGAGCCTCGGGGCTCGCTCATCAAGAAACCAATGCCCACACTCATACATACCAATGCTACCAGTACCGGTACAATACATGTACCAGTATGCTCGCCGATTTCGAACTCGTGACTAGCTGGTCCCGGCTGTGTGCGGGTATTGCACGCACGCCATTACGTTTTTCCGCCTCCAACAGAGAAAAAAAAAGGGGGTTTTAGAGTAGGGAAATTATCTACGGAAGCCAGCCGGGGCCAGGCTTAAGCAAAGAACAGTCGAAATTCAGGACTACTAGGTTCTGTGGGATCAGGGGCAAGAAATTGAGGACCAATACGGGGGGCAAAGGGTTTGGCTTTGCGGGATCCACGGAGACATAAATGGGTAGCTTTCACAAGGGCAATTGAGATACGGGTCAACAGAGATGATGAGCGCACTGGTAAGGTAGCGATCCAAAAGCAAGAAAGACCAGCCGAAGGATATTCAATCAGTGCTTGCCCCGGAGATCTTGTTTGCATTATTTAGACTAGTTCTAGCTAGCTAGCCAGACGTCAAAGCTTACTTTGTGCGGTTGGTGAATGTTCGCTACCAAAATTGTAGAACGAGTTGCATGAGTGATAATTTGACGCAATTTCTACTATCCTACCAGTACATGTAGCAAAGCGTAGCTGCCTATACCATTGGCCCTGGCAGCTATTACGACGCCTTTTGGCCAATTCTACTTGTGGCTAAGTTATCTCAATGCTTGGGCAACAGCTTCTTCTGGTACCCTCAGAGTTTCAGATAAACACATTCCATAGCCATCATGATTATGATGAATGCAAAAGCGAGTTTTTCGTCATTACCCAAGGGTTCCAGGATGAAATTTGTTGTTTTGATCCAAACTCATTGCAGATTGTTGCGAGTACTACTACCCAAAATTTGAATATCCTCTCTAAAGTTCCTCTTGTTGATCTGCCTCGTGTCTTCCTTGTAACTTGGCCGCTCGTTCTCGTGTTCTTTTATTTCGCTCCGCATGAGCGTCCAGTTGTCGTTTTGCCCTTTCTCTCTCGCGTTGTCTCTTCTCTTCCAACTCGTCTTCTGTCATTTTTCGAAATCCTTTCTCCGCCATCAAAGCCTCCAGCCGACCAAAGTCATCATAATCTGCCAAATTGATAGAGTCCGTCTTGGTACCTTCATCAACATTGTAAATCGACAAAACAGGTGGTGCTCCCTTGCTCCATTGAATAGTGACATTCAACCATTTCTCCGCCTCTCCCTCCTTTAACCAAGAACGCAGGTTCTTGTAGCGCTTTAGCTTTCACCCTGAACAGGACCGAATGACGCCTCGCTGAGTCGCAGCTGCTGTTGTCACTTCTTCAGTTGCTACCGGTGCGAACAGGGCCACGCCCAAGAGCAGCAGTAGGAACTGTTTCATCATTGCCATGGTGCCTTTAATGTTGATTGTTTGTGTGGGGCTTCAGTGACCCCATCCAAACACAGCATCTGCTGCTTTAGCTAATTAGGGTTACAGAGCCTTCCACGTTGCCTTCAAGTTGTTTCCACGGTGCGGAAGCTCAAGTCGTGGTCCTCTTGCTTGCGAACCCAACGGGAAATCTTTCTTCATCGTTCACGTCAGATCTTGGCGAATCTTCCTCATTTCAGTCAAGCAACGCAAGAAAGAGGTTGATGTTTCCTTCTTTCATAATATCCTTGCCCTTCCATTCATTTATTTTTTAAAAAAAGTCTAAACAAAGCTCCAGATCTTCCAACCATTGCCAGCTCATCTTTCTTAGAAAATTTCCCGTCCCAACATCGTTTGACAACGCCACCATCTCACATGTTGACTGTTCATCACTTGGACCACTCGCAGAGCATTCGCATTGTTTGGCTGCTAGAAGAATTGAAGGCCAGTGGAAATAATGCTGTCGATTACGAGCTAAAGCTGTATGAAAGAAATCAGACGGATCGCTTGGCGCCTCCAGAATACAAAGCCTTGTCGCCACTGGGAACAGCCCCAACCATCACCACCAGCGAGGGCCTCGTCATGAACGAGAGCAATGCCATTTTGGAGTATATTGTCGACTTGGCAGGAGATAATGGTTCTTCCTTTCGACCATCCAGCTCCTCACCCGATCGCGGCAATTTTTTGTTCTGGTTCCATTCCGTCCAAGGCAGCATGCAACCCATGCTCACGGTGGACATTGTCTTTCGACATGCTGCCATAAAGGCTCCCTGTCCCATTGGCAATTTGGTGGGGGTGGTTGGTTCCAAAGTCAGGGACGCGATTGTCATGCCGAGACTAAAGAACATTGTAGAGCTGGCAGAAACCCAATTGACCAAACACGATTTCCTGGCAGGCAGCGACCTGACCGTGGCAGATATCTCAGCAATATACCCATTCGCCTCGTTGTTCACGAGGTATCCTGAGCTTTGCAAGCCTTATCCAAACTGCAAGAAATGGCTTGATCGGATGATGGAACGACCCGCCTTGAAAGCGGCTCAGCAGAAAGTGGGTGAGGAAGGAGGAATTGTGTTTGAAAGTGAGTGAACGAATGATTTTCAATGATCTACAGAACGAGCTATAAGGTACTATGAATGAAAGCGGCTCGAGATAAAGTCGGAAAGGAAAGTGGTCGAATTGGAAATCGTGCGCAAACAACGTGCTTGGGCTTTTGTGTTCTGAAGTGCACCTACATGCCTAGTCTGTGCATCTTAATGAAACAAGTTTGTGAAACTAATTCGGCTTACTAGTATATACTTCGGATGTTATGTCCATGTTAGCTGTGATGTGCTTGCTGCATTCAATGAATTATGTACGTTGCTAAACCCCGTGCTTGCTTCGCATGTCTATCGTCTTGGAGATCTTTTGCTGCCACCCTTTACCGGTACCCCCATATGTTCTTGGTCGAGCTCCTGGTTGTATGTATCGATAAACCTAACGATTGCCCCTTCAGCGTATTCTCCGTCGAACATTTCTTCATCCGCTACAAAGCAATGCAATATTGTCTTGATGGATATATCGAACACGCCCATGAATATGTCCGAGACAATGTAGGAGATGAAGAAGATAATCACCAAAGGTCCGCCAACGTGGTGCAATTCTGCCTCGGCATCAATAAGGGCAATGTAGGAAAGTCCAGTGGTCACGGTGCTAATGAACACCTTCCCAACCACAAGAATGGACGAGCTCACGTAGGACACTGCCCCCACACGGCCAGCGTTCCGTAGCATCAAGTAGAAGGCTTGGCGTGAAGACTGACAGAATGACGTGCCAAAGATGGCTGTCTGTATCCAAGCATTTTTGTTCATAAATCTGAGACATGCTTCAAGCATACAGAAGCAACACTGACAGCAGCATATCATCGTGTTGGCAATTTTGTTGTCTGCTTTCTTGATGGTTCTTCTGATTCGTTCTAGCAGGGCTCGTACAAGCTGTACTAGGGCAATGAGAAGGGACCCAAAGGCGAGTGTACCCGTGTGGTAGTAGAGTGTGTTTGCGAGGCTTCCCAAAACGACACAGCTCCCAATCCGTCTCTTCTCCTTCTGGAAGTACCATCGAGCTACAGACATTGCAACTGTCAGGTCCCCAACAGCCACAATGAAGTTGCTCGTCCAAAAGGCAACAAACAAGAGGAACCATGCACATATCTCGACATTCCCATCGAAACCATACGTCCGAACTGCAATCTCAGCGCCAGAATCAATGTCAATTGGGAACTCCAACACGTTGATTTTCCCCATGGATGCCAAGTAAGCACCATAAATGGCAAACGTCCCGAGAGCACCAATAAAGACCATCGACTGTAAGACTGGAACAATCAGGATTCCCGGCATCCGGTTGATTGCCCTAGCTGCAGCTCTCACGCAGCCGATAGACATTTGGATTTGTTGTATCAAGCAGCATGTGATGGATACCAAAATCGCCAGAATGACAAAGCAAACCATGCTCACCCCATAAAGAACTGTAATCCATTGATCGGATACCCGTCTGGGAGTTTCTGAGCTGAACATGGCAGCATTTGCAAAGCTGAAATACCCGGCAGCTCCAAACATGGCCCACGTGAGTCCAATGGAACCCCAAATCATAATTGACAGTAGGCATGGTAGTCGCATTAGAAACACGTAAAGGAAACTGACGCCCAGTGCCACTCCAAAACCAAATCCAAACACATAGTCAAAGGTTGCGTAGACATCAGAATAGAGATTCAACAGCAGTTCGGATGGATTTGGGATTTCCAATACTTTTTCGGCCTGAGTTTGGTTTTGAATGGCTCTTTCAGCATCCGAGGTCAAGTAACAACGCCAAAATAGCTCATAGGTGTCACCAGCGTAATAGGCGAAGCCAAAGCCTTTGCTGATCCCAGCTGAGTGCCACGAAGCAATGGCAGAATTATCTGGGAAGCACAAGCTGTCCGTGCAGAATAGTGCGTCGGAGGAGTTGACATAGTAGGGAGCAACCTGGACAAAGTCCAACGGCAGCTCTGATTCACCATAAGACGGCTGCCAAACTCCTGCATAAGTCACCAGAGTTCGGATGTCGGATACATTGTTGGCAACTTGTCCTACAAGAGAAGGGCATTCATTTACGCAAACTCCTCCAGTATAGGAGTTTACGTAGAGAAGGTATGGATAATCTGTCATGTCTTCACGAAAATCTGTACCGCAAACATTTCCGTCGTAGTCAATTGGGTGAATGACAAGGCGAATGTCGCCGTAGTTGATAGCGTAAAAGCCAATTGCTGTCGTCACCAACCACACCAGAATCAAAAGGAGTGCGCAAAGACAGTCGGTACATCGCCGGTTGGTAACGCTACCGTCATTAAAATCATCCGGGGCGATGAGCTTTCCATACATCTCATCGTCGTCGTCGTCGTCTTCATCAAAGCTGTCTTTTCTTGCTCTACTTGGAGCCATTGTTTCTCTCCTTTCCGTTCTCTTAATCAGCTTCTGAACGATCACTCCTTGTATGGTGTAGTGTGCACTGTGCGTTTACTCACTAAACAGTTGTGCAGTCCAGAATGGAGAGGCTCCTTGTATGGTGTGGGCTGTGTGTTTACTCACTAAAACGTTGTGCGGTCCAGCATGCAGAGGCTAAAAAGACGAGTACTTCTTTGCTCTCGCTCCACTCACACTCATGTACATATTATGTGTTGCCTCATTGTGAAGCTGCGTTGGAATTGGTTTGGTTTGAACTCAAAATATTCCGATTTCATCATTCAAAGCGTGGGAGTTGAGTGGTTCCCGCGTGATTGTTCTAAACGAACCTCCAACCACAAGGTGGGTCGTCTGGCGGCTATTCACACCGGTACAGGACGTAATACTTTAACCCTAGTAAATATAAGGCAGACATGACTGGCTGGCTGGGCCCTCATGATTGAACGAACGAACCGAAGGCGAGGGATGAGGGATCCTTGCAAAGCATGTCCGTCGCATTGTTAGAAATTAAAGGGGGGTTTAGAGTAGGTAGATTATCTACAGAAGCCAGCTGGGGCCAGGCTTACTAAGCAAAGAACATGCAGTTGAAATTGAGGACTGGGTTCTGTGGGATCAGGGGCGAGAATTGAGGACCATTTTGGGGGCTAAATGGTTTAGCTTTGCGGGATCCACGGAGACATAAATGGGTAGCTTTCACAAGTGCAATGGAGATGAGGGTTCTGCAGGAAGAACATCATTTGAGAGTATGAAAACTGAGTAAAGCTGGCAGCCGCAGAAGCAAGGCGTTGTAAGAGAATTTTGGCTTAGGGAGCAAGCATGTCATCCACAGAAACAACAAAGGGATGGAAGGAGGCCGATTGGATTTGCACAGGGCATTATACTTGGAAATTTCTCTTGTTCTTGGTTGGTTAAAACTTTTGTTTGGATCTTTTGTTTCGGTAAGAGGCACAGTCCAAATCTGTGACACGTACATCAATAATAGCAGTAGTACCACGTTTGAACAAGCTGCGAATGGAAAGATCACCGAGCAAGAGCTTGGGGGCTGGAGGTGGATTGCGAGGGGGGAGAAAGGGGGGGTAAGGCGGAAATAGGGTGACTGGTACTGGTACCACCGCTCCACCTGGTACCTGGTACCGGTACTATGATACAGAGCTGATACAGCCACTAGCTGGTACCGCACCTTTGGAGCGAGCAACACAAAAGAACAAGCAGCCGGAGGCTGATGCCCTCAACTGTCAAAAAGAGATTTGATTGGTCAAATCATTTACCGTGTTCAACTGGACACACTATTGATAGCAAGTCTCCACAGCCAGCCAGTACGGGCACAGTGGTATCGGTACACATGGGTCCAGAGTACTGTGTCCAACAGAACACACAATATAAATCCCTATCCTTAACAAGGAAAATGTCCCATAGGTCTTTGGCAAAACCTCCACCGTGTTTATCTGGACACACTTGCGAGTCTGCATAGCCAGCCAGTACTGGTGCGTAGAAACTACTGTGTCCAACAGAACACACAAGATTAATCCCTATCCTTAACGAGCGACGAAAACAGCTGCAACAAACACACAAACACACACACACACATACACATACAGGGATAAAAGTGTGAAAGACCCTCAGTCCGTTGAGGGCAATTCTGGACAATGACAACAGCTGCAGAAGTCATGGCCGACGATGTCAAAGAGAAGACCTTGTCTTCCTTGTTGAAAGAAAAAGTCGCTTCGACAGCCAACAGTCCTCAAAAGGGATCACCTCGCGATGCCACGGAATCTCCTCGCGATGTCAAGGAATCTCGAAAGGTATCTGCTGGTACATCTCGAAAGCGTGCCACATCTTCCTCTTCAGCCTCGTTGACAAGCTCGACCAAGCGGCAAAAGAACAGTGTCGATCGGTCTGCTACGATATCTCCCACTACGGTATCGCCCACGGGAATGATCATCCAGGAACTTTTGGAAAAATCGAGCCAGTAATTGAGCTAGAAGATGCAAGAAGAATTGGACAAGGAAGATCAGAAGACCCAAGAAGAGATGGCCAAAGAAGACCTAGAGATCCAGAACCGGAAGACACAAAACGCTGAACTCACCAAGAAGTTTCAGTTGCAGAGTGAGCTGAACACTCATGGTGCCAAGGGCAAGACACCACCATGGGGAACTCACGGATGCCAAGAAGGAACTCAAGGAAGATGCTGTTGAACTGTGTCTGCACTTTAAGATCTATTTCGATGGCGATGACCATGACCATGACCAAGGCTCTGCACTCCAACTTTTCTTCCCATTGAAGACCAAGAAAGGGAAAGAGGGCAAAACCAAGATTGTTGACACGACCCTTCGTGATCTCTTCAGGGACTATTCTGTTGAGGCGAAGATTATGGATCCATTCTTTGATCACATGAAATCCAAACTCCCGGCTTTGAAGAAGCTAAAGGAAAAGAACTATCCCATTGAGGTTGCTTGGATGTCGATTTCTGATTCCAGCTGCAAGCCGATCGCTCATGAGTCTTTTCCACTTTTAAAGCACTGAAGTCAACTTGCATTGCCTACTTTCATGGGAAGTACCACACTTGTACAAAGCGAGAAACGGAGGCATTGTATTTCCCGTTGTTCTGAAGGTCCAGCTGGAAGAGGGAAAACTGGAAGAATGGAAGTGGAAGTCTCGCCATGCATTGTGTTTCGGAGAATCGGATGATGAGTGTGAGGGAAAGTGAAAACATTTACCTGCAATGAGAAGACAAAACAAATCAAATTGGGGTTTCATTGAGCATAAACATAAATTAGTTTTAGGAACAAGATTGAAGCAGGCGAGTCTTGCCCAGGATGACATGCGGTATAGTGGATTTGCGAACACATCAGTCATTCGATCAGTAGGCATTACCGTACCGGTAGTAGGTTGCCAGGCCTCGGTTGTCACCCTTGGGTAGTAGACTACGTTTCCTTCAGTTTCGTGGCGAGCCGACAAGTAGCGGCTTGTCTCGATGCCGATGCTCGCTCATCAACTTGTACCGGTAGGCGGCACGGTACCAGGTATAGACTCGTAGAGGCATCAACAGCACGTTGTCATCAACAGAAAAGGAACGAATCCATCGAAAACACAAATCTGGAGATACTTAGTCATGCAACTTGAAACATGTACACGAAGGTTGACTTATAAGAGCACGGTATTACAATGCGGGCACTACCCTACCGGTCCTACCGGTACCGTACCCGTTAGATACGTTTTTGTTTCATCTTTGGACCAAAATGGGCCAAACGACCTAATGCCCAAGACAGAAACTGCTACTGCTGCTTCCGGTAGTAGCAGAGCCGTAGTCTTCATCGACGACTGACCATTCGATTCGACCACCAAAGCTCCACTCACTCAATGACATCCAGTTCATCTACACTCATATCTACACATTGTGCCTACAAGGCAACAGTGTCGACAGAAGCGGTATTGCAGCCGGGGTTTCGGATGCCCCACTCTGCAGGCGGCATGGCCTTTTGATGAACTGCAACTTCAGCAGTATCTTCTAGTGCAAACGCACTCTCTCCTCCTGAATCAGTCGAGGCAGGACTGCCCACTGATCGTGCGGCCTGAGGCGTAAAAGAAGCCTGCGCAACGGTGCTCCCCCATTCCGTGTCGTCGTCGTCGCGATTTTCAGTGTCACCGTCGTGGTGTTCTGTGTTTTCGCCGTGGTTGTTCCACTCTGAGCCTTCGTGGTTTTCGGTAACATCTCCTTCGGTCTCTTCAATTATAGTTTCGCCAATGATGTCATTTGGATGAATAAACGGAACAGTAGGATCTGATTGGTCTTGTAGCTCAATATCGTCTATTTCTCCTGACAGATCCATTTCCTGCTCCTCGAAATCGGCGTCATAGACGTTGGCACCATCCAAGTAATCTCGCATTTCGGCGCCAATGATTCCTTCGCCATCCAGTGCCGCTGACGTGGACTCGTCCTCTTCCGCCTTTGACTCGCAAGGTGAAAGCATGGAATCGTAATGAGTTTCCGTAGAATACGAGTGAACTCGATTCTTTCGGCCAAGAAACCAGCAGCAGCAGATAGAACTCAAGGCAATCACTACCGATGCCGACAACAATGTTCGTCTCCCCGGACCATTGGGAATCTTGCCTTCTTCGCTTGTCGGCATGAGGCTCGGAAAGGAGGAAGGGCTTGGCGATTCCATACTTGGTTTCGTTGTTGCTTCAAAGGATGCCGTTGTCGGATTGACCGAAGGAATTGTGCTTGGGAACTGCGATGGCCTGAGAGTGGGGCTGGGGGTTGGAAGTGATGATGGAAGTGTCGATACAGAGGGCATGGAACTTGGACTTTGGGCATCCGAGGGAGAACCAGAAGGAACTGCGCTAGCGGAAGGGCTGTTCGACGTTGTCGGCGAAAGAGAGGGGGCGCGAGAAGGAGCTGTAGTCAAGACTCGACGCTCGAAATCGCAGTAAGACGTGCTATTGAAAGCGAAGAACACAGAATCGGCTCCAGGGAATGGCCAAAGATAGTCGCTGTTGCAAGGTTTGCACCAAGCACGCCCATACAAGTCTTGATACGTTCCCGATGGGCAGAGTGTGCACTCGCTGTTGCCGAGACCTTGTGAGAAGGAACCCTTTGGGCATTGTCTGCAATACCAAGCGTCTACGATGTTCGAGAATTCACCAGTTGAGCACGGGTGGCGAAAGTTGTCGTCATCTCCACTGTAGTAGCCTTGTCCGACTTGCACGCACTCGATCATGTTGTTTGGGAGTTTGACTGGAGCATTTGCGTAGTAGCATCCTCTGGGGCAGCGATCAGACGACGGAAAGGTTCCACAGGTCTGTGGTACGACGACGTTGGCCGATGCCAACGATGACAACAAGCTGAGCATCGAAACAACAAGAAGGAACGAAACCATGGTGTGCATCTATCTTGTGAGATTCGATGTTGTTGAAAGAAATCGAGATCAACGACTGTCACTCGACTCGTCGTTGAGGAATGAAAAGGTTCTTGTTGGAGATTTAGGGTCCATCGTAAAAGCAGCTTTCCGTGAATTTGAGAAATATCAAATGCACGGCATCATCCCGCAACGCGTAGAATTCTACAGCGCCCAGCACCATACGCCGTGCCAAAAACACCCGATCCAGGGACCGGAGCGTCCACTTTCAAGAAATCGGCCAAAGGCAATCTCAATTTTGTCGACAAGAGAACCCATCTCAAAATTGTTTTGGTTGAAAGGAGGGCTTTCCTCATTGTTCCCGAGTTGGAAACCTTGAAAGCCCTCGATTGTATTTTCTTTGTCTGCCGCGATCCTTCTGCCCAACAACCGTAACGTTGCTTCAGCATGGCCGGTCGTATTTCCGCGGCAGCCTTTTCGGCTCTCACCCTCCTGGTCTCCGTCGCTCTGCTGGCCGTCAACACAGTAGAATCTGTCCATCTCATGGATGAGGACGGCTTCTTTTTAGAAGCTCTCAATAGGCGCCGCTCTCGTCGTCGCCGCCAACTTGAAGATGCGATGAATCTATGGTCCGCCGATGAACCCGCCGATGAACCCGCAAAGCAGGCTGACTGCAAGACTTTTCAAGTGCTACTGACGACCAACGATACTGCCGTTGGTCTAATCGATGGCTTCAATTCTTTTGAGGATGTTGATTTTGGTGTCATTCAGGGAGGCAATGTTCTCCTTTCTAATCCAGAGGATGAGAACGATAAGATTGGATCTTACACAGTCTTGACCACTTTTTTGTCCCCAGTCAACTTTACAGATTTCACGGTCGATTGCTATGGCGTCGGTGCCTACCAGTTTGGAATTGGAGAACAGATTGCTTTTGTAAGCCCTTGTTCTGGTTCACCTTTCTTTTCCATTACAGGTGGCCAAGGAGAATACAATGGTGCGACTGGTTTCGTAGAATTCATGATTCCAGATCCCGAAGGGCGAGGGTTCTTGCATGACATTCACGTTTGCAGCAGCCGCGAGAGAATGAACTAATGGAGAGAGAGAGAACAATCCATTGAGGGATTTCATGACCTCGAGATGCGTCGTTCGTGTTGCGTCAAAGGATCGCATGATACTGTACGGTATTATGACTGTCATCAGCATGAAGCGTGGCATCTCCACAATAGGTGCGAAACAAGGAAAACTTGCTATGAGCATTGCACTAGTAGTCGTAGATATCATTCCCAGCCATGAAAACGTCATGTTACTAGTTAAGGGGCTCTTATCAGAATCGAATCAGAAATCGAGAAAAGGAGGAGCCAACGGAACGATGCAATCTCATCCAAGAGCATGTCATGATTGCCCGACATTGTGTGAACTTTGATGTCAGTAGATGCTTCCTTCAGGATGACACCGTAAACTGTACTTGTACCTTACCATTGTGTACTAAAACTGCAGCCTTTGAAAGGCACCTAAGAGACTAAAACCTGTCAACCAGATGGCTTCCTGCGACATACCGGTATGCCATAGTTGTCCTGATAAAGCAACTCGAGGTCGGGAGAGATGAGAGAGTTTGAGCTCTCGGAGTGTAATCGATCGTGCGGCCCAAGAGAAAGCACCCGGAGGTACGGTCTAATGGGTAGTTGCGGTAAACGTTCTTTTCTTTTAAATCTTTCAAGCGCACCAATAATGTTTACCCCCTCTCCTTAATACGGTACGCTCTGCTTGCGAACAAAACTTACACTTCAACGCAACGCATTCATTGAGAAAAAGAGAAGAAGGAACAAGCAAGCATTGAGAGCTATCGAAACGAGAAGAAGGCAAGCACCATGGACGACGATGAATTCATTCCTCATCACGATTACTATGCGAGGCCTCAGCAACAACGACATCGACGACCATTGGGGGTAGCGAGAGACTATGGTCGCGCCAAAGGGACCGATGCTTCCTCCTATTTGAATCGTCAATATTTCGGTATTCTAATGGCCCTTTTCGTTATTTATATTTTTCATCGAGGTAGGTACTGTTGTTGTTGTCATCAGGCAGGGCTCCAGGACGACTACTGTGGAAGGCACCTACTACAGATTGCGACAAGAACAGTCAAAGCTTGTAGTGGCCGTCTGGAGTGGACTTTTGGGGGGAACAAGGGTGACTCTTGTGTGCTTGTTAGTTAATTGCGAGAAAATTGATTTGCTGACTTTTTTGTTTTCGTGCAACCGGCCAAACAGTGGGTTTTGGAAGAGGGATATCGGAACGAGGTATCATGGATTGTTTATTGGAAGTTCAGGACTATGCGTTGGCCTACGGACAAATGGCTCTGGAGTTCTGTCGAAAGCTTCGATGTTACCTCCTGGCTGGCGGCGAAGATTGGTTCCTGCACGACATGCCCATATCTCCCAATGCCTCGGCAGCGCTTCACCCCAATGGCCTCAGAGGCCGCAGGCGTAACATGGCCGCTCCCGTTGCCAGTAGGATCGCGTCCAGCCGAATGCCCGAATTGGAAGAAACAGACATCAATCCGCTTCAGCAACTTGATCCCCTGCCGGCGGCAGCCATCAACAACAATAACAAGGAAAACACGGATCCACTGGAACCAGCCTTTCTCAACGACGAAGATTATCCCCCAGGATGGTTGGTATTTGATCCTGTACTGGGGGTCGTCAGCAAGGCAGAAGCCGACAACTATAAGAGAAAGCAACAAAACGCTCAGAAATCGCCCAAACAAAAACCAAGGCAGCTCAGAGTTTCTCAACAGCAGCAACAACAACAACCAGTAGCAAATTCACCCACCGCTCGTCGGAATACCAAACAAAATATGCAGCAGCAACCTTCCCAGCAATTCAAGTCCAACTCTACCAAGACTCCTACCCGTCCCCTACGAACCAACAATGTCATGCCATCTGCCTCTGCTATGCACACGCCACAAACCATTGCGGCAAATGGGTAGACAAAAGGTCAGAAGAGCTAGAAAACAGAATAGTGCACCTTGGACAGAGGCCGCAATGGTTTGGACCCACCAAGTGCTAGAGCTGGATCGAATCGAATCAAAGGGAAAGCCCAGAGTCGAGCACAACCGAATGAGGCACTCCAAGCTGCCGTAGGGCTTGTCCTGCTAATATCGCAGTACCGTACGGAGCTTGGCGGGGCCAAGGAAACAATGCAAACAACAATTGCAGCCCTCATGGCTCATACAGACGGAAGTGGACAAGTGCGAAAGACGTTCGGAAATGACCTGGCTAGCTAGTCTAGGTTCGTCTAAGCGAACTAGTAGAACCAATTTTAGATTTGGTCTCAACTCCTACGCCACCATACATTCAAGGGGTTTCAAAACTTGAGAAAAACGCAAATCCTAGATATTCGATGGCATTATCAGTAGAAGTTACATTTATTTTAGCAAACACGCAAGTTACTAGTAACACTAACGAAGAGAAACGTGCTCGAACTGCACGCTGCTGCCCGCGAACATTGGCTGAACCTCTTCTTGCAATCTCTTCAGTTTAGCCACGGCACCCCAGTCCTTGTAGGCGGACAGAGCCTTCTTGAATGAAGCCGCTGCCAGTGATTCGTCTCCAATGCCGTAGAGGTGGCGACCTGCATGTTCGTGGCTCATCGCCTCAATCATCTTGAAACTAGCATCCACGGCGAGGGCTGTCGATGCCGTGTACTTTTCGTAGCTTTTCTTGTTTTTGCCCTGATACGAAGCCAGCTCTGCTTCCAGCAAGAACTTCATCGGAAGACAATTATGTGGTGAGTGCCTGCTCCAGTTTTTGAGCGCCTTGATGGCCTTCTTGGCCTTGTTCAGGCACCTGAACCGTTGCATGCCCTTCAATCTCCGGGCATTCTGAAGATGCGTCATGCCAACAAAAAACTTGCAAAAGATCGCGTCGATTCCCGGTGGTGGGAACGTCAACTTTTCGATTTCTGCAACCATCTTCCCAGCAACGCCGTAGTCCCCAAACAGATAAGAAATCATCATTTGTTGCAGCCGTAAGCACACTAAAGATGTCACGTTCTTGGTTTCCTCTGCGTGTTTGAAAGACTCGTCTAGTTCGATTTTGGTGGGGTCGTCGGCCATTCCCATCAAGTGGAGCGTCAACTGGTGGAAGGGCTTGATCATTGTGATCATAGAATCTTGTCCACGGGCTGTCATCATGGTGATGACATCTCCGATCCGGTTCGAAACGACAGGCAACTTGCTATCTGTGTAGAATGTTGTTCCTGCGTAGATCGCAAAATTCAACACTGCAAATTCCATGTCTCCGGTGGAAGACCCAATCTCAGCAGCTCGTTTCAGTGGCTCGATTGTTTCTCGGATGGGACGTTGCCACGGGATGATGCAGCCGTACACGGCCGCGAACACTCTGGGTGCGTACTCTTTTGCTTGAAATTTTTGCAGCAGATCCAGTGCCAACTGTCCATAACGGTTGGCTTCATCAAATCTGCCTATTGCTGTACAAAGCATACCATAGGACGCAAATGCAAAGGACGACAGATTTGAAAGGCCATACATCATTGTGATCTGGATGGCTTTGAGCTGGATGAATGGAGCAAACTTCGGTCGGGAAATTGCAGCGTTCATGAACATGATATTGAGGATTTGAAGGGCTGGAGATCAAACGGGAGAAGCGTGAGCACTGATGAGATTGAACGGCGCATTCTTCCGAACGAATGATGTCAAAACTAACCTGCGAGTTTCCCTTCATCCTTCACCATCTCCATTCGCATGATTTGCGCATTCGATTTGCCACGAAGGAGTCCCCTGACCTTTCTCATTTCTGATCGCAGCATTGTCATGCAGTTCTTAACCGGAAAGGTTTCGTCCAATTCAGATAGCACTTTGATTCCCGTTTCAACTGCGACGCCAAAAACGAAGCACAAGTCGGTCAGTCAGGCCAACAAAATTATACGATAATATGTCCACAGGGAAAACAAGCAAACAAACTCACCAGCAAGGTGTTGCTGATCTTGAACGCCGTACGCATAGATGAGTGTGTTGAAGCTTTGAAGCCTATCCTTGCAGTTTGGTACGTTTGCAAAGACAATCTCGATGAGTTCATGCACCCTCTCAAAGTTGGCAATTGTGAGCTCCATTTCAGCTGCAGCATTGTAGAGTGCAAGCTTGAGGCTGTAGTCTCCTCTCCACAAGAAAGCATCCGTCAATTCAATACCAAACTCAAAGTACCCGGCAGCGGCACCAAACGCAGAGGCCCGAGCCGATGCTCGGCCTGCTGACAAACACAGCATGGCAACCGATTCTTTGTCTTGGCGGTCTTGAATGAAATTCTTTGCCAGTTGCAATTGCCCAAGTATCAAAAACATGTGTTTTTCTCGTTCTGCTTCGGAAAGCCCTTTCAATAGCTTCCGACCGAGGAAATAATGCATCGCTTCCTTCTCTTGCGGAGGGATCAACGCGAGAGCAGCCTGTTGCAGACCGTCGTGTCGAAAGGAGTAACCTGTGTCTTGGTCAAAGACAAGAATACCTCGGGATGTGGCATCATGAAGGTGATCAGTAATGGGATCTTGAGGTAGGACGACTTTCAAAAAATCTTCCTTCACATCGTTCCCAAAACAAGCCGCCACTCGCAACACGTGCTGCACGTCTGTGGGAAGCTGCTCCAACACATCCACCAAGAAGTCCCCCAAACGACACGAATTGATGGCCAGCCGAACATCTTCGTCAAGTAAAGTGCATGTTCCCTGAGCCGCGTCATACATCAGCAAGCCATTGTCCGACAGCCATCTCAAGAACTCCAATATATATAGAGGATTTCCCTGGGTCTGTGCACAAACCAGTTGAGCCAGGACATCATGCTTGTCCTTTGGCATTGGTAAGGCTGTCGTCAAAATATTCCAAATGGCACTGCATGGCTTTTGCGAAACTTCAATCTGGAATATCTGTTGATGATTCTCGTCTTCCAATTCCCTGAGCAGGTTCGAGACTGGGCTGCAGGGTCCGACACTGTCATCGCAAGTTGCCACAATGAAGAGGCGTTTGTTATGTAAACCGGTCAAGAACCACTTGAGTATCTTGCCCGAGCATTTGTCCATCCATTGCATATCGTCGAATAGAAACACAACTGGCCCACTTTTGCAAATGACGTGAATCAGATCATGCAGGGCAAAGACAAATCGCTTTGCCATTTGGCAGGTGAACTGTCCGTTGCGGGGTTCATCCGGTGTCCCCACAATCTGTTCCAATTTGGGAATACCACACAACAAGACACCCAGTTCATCCCCCAGGGCTTCTCGAATCTCCTGTCTCATGGATTGGACCATCTCTGGTCCTCTGGATAGTACGGCATGAGTGAATTCTGTAAAGGCCTCTGCAAAGATACGAATAGGCTTAGCTTCCTTGACCTGATCAAACTTGGCACTGAGGAAAAAGCCACCATCTTCCTTTACCGGTGCTTCCAGCGTTCTTGCCAACCTAGTTTTTCCCAAGCCCTGCGCCCCACTAATAAGACACAGCTCCCCATTGCTGCTGGCACTTCGAAAGGAAGAGGAAGATCGAGCGTTGTGCTGATAGGCTCTCAACAGGATGGCTTCTTCTTCTTCCCTCGAGTACAGTCGATGCTGTAGCTGACAAAGCCAATCCCCATCCGAGGGGTCTTCCAGGACGCGGACAATCACATCTTGGGAACTGGTTGAGGACGACGACCTCATTTCCGACATGGCGACGGTAGACGCCAGTGAATCATCACGATTCAAAGGACCCATATTTCGTTTCATCATCATCATCTTCATGTTGCCATTATTCTGGCTGCCCATTGTTGTCATCTTGGCCGCCATTGCTCCGTTTAAAGGCGGCATACCCACCATGTCCATGGTTGCAGGACTTGGTGGGCTGTGGGAAGCCTCTCGGAAAGCTGGCAGCTCCTCGTCATGGCTAATGTCAGACTCTGCTTGGTGATTGTTGTCATGGTGGTGGTGTAGTGGTAACACAATGATGGGATCGTTCATTTTGGAATGGTCGGGTTGATGGAAACTCTGCTACCCTTGAATTCGCTGGTGCTAACCGAATGTTTCTTGTTGTTCTGCACGAAGCGCCTCTCTTTCTGGCACCAATACTGCTTGAGCTTGCTGGTATGCCTCTCGTTTGGTTGGTTTGACCTCTTGCTTAGCTTGCTTGGGTCGTGATGTCGTGATGGGAGATGCAGGAGGGAAGTTTAGTCGATGAAAGGTCGCTGTGTGGTGCGTGCAAACGGAGCGTGGGAACAGGATAGAACCAAATGGATCCACAATGTTCCATGGATCCAATCGTGCACATCCCCCAATGCGAATCTTTGAAGGGGATTAAATCTATCAAATCGCACCGGTACTTGATAATATGGTCTCGAATGAATTCTTCGGGCTTCCTGTTTCTGGATCGAAATTTCCGTCAAATTCCATGCCACCCTTACTACATCGTACGACTGTACAGCCTGCCACATATTTATTTGCATTTCACTCACAACCACCAAAGTCAAGCTCAGGCTAGCTAGATAGCAGCAAGCCCAGGTATGACCAAAGGAACTTGCTCCTTGTGAATTCAAGAGGGTGCATGGTGATTGATTGCTTGGGATTTTGTAGGCATGAGAAATCATTGGCTGGACGACATCATTTGATCGAGTAACTACTACTGAGTAGTATCTTTGAGACTCTTTTGAGAGAATGTTCTATAAGAGGCTCGACAACATGTATTGTACTTGGTTTGGCAAGTGCAATGCAGGTGCGATGTTGCTCGATTCCGGAGGAGTGGATGGACGTCTCTGGCCAATCTTCCCTCTCAGCTTGCGTTCCGTGTTACATGTACGGTACGGTACCTGCGCTATGCGGTGAACATGGCCTTGTCGGGTCTATTGAATATTTGGCAGCTCTCACTGGCTCATACCTTGGGCATATCTTTTCCCCTTCTCACTTGCTTTCGTCAGGTGCATGCTTCCTTTCAAAGCGTCGAGGTCGTCTGCCCTACATGATGATGATCCGCTCTTTGGTTCATTGTCTGGATTGATTCGCTGCGTTCAAGTCAGTTGCCAGCAGGATGACCCTCTCTTTGATTTCTCTTGCCAGCAACTTGCTGGTAGTATTGGCAGTGGCACCAAGACTGGTCTGTTCCTTCTCAGCGTCGCCACTCCAATCGACAGTACCCACATCCAATAGTAGACAAGGTCCGGTTCCTCCCAGATCACTACTGCAGAACTGGTGGCCCGTGTCCCTGACGAGTGCTCTAGATCCCACCAAGCCAAACAGAGTTGATCTTTTGGGTCAACAGTTCTGTTCTACGATGCTACCGAACCAGTAGAAGAGGTCGGATGGAATTGTCTCAAGGACCAATGCTCTCATCGATTTGCACCCCTGAGTGAAGGAAGAGTGGTTTCAGACGGCCTACAATGTGCCTATCATGGATGGGAATTCAATGGAGAAGGCACATGTACCAAGATACCCCAATTGACAAACAAAGAGCAGTCAGCTGCATCCACCAACGCAGTTCCGAACTACCCCGTGCGCACTGGAGCCAACATGGTGTGGATATGGGCCGATGCCGATGCACACGAGTTGGCAGAAACCGTGCCTCTTCCGATCTCTCCGTTGCTACAACAATTCTTGAAGGATTATCCAGATTCTGGTTACATGAGAGACTTGCCATATGGCATGGAACTCTTGGGCGAAAACCTGGCGGATTTAAGTCATTTGCCGTTTTCCCATCATTCCGTGGCTGGATTTGATCGAAATGATGCCAAACCGCTGAATCTCAAATTGTGGTCCGAGGAAGAACGCACCAAAGCTGCCAAAAAAGAAGTAAAGGCTGTTCAAGAGGCTTCCAAGGGCTCCTTGTCCCAACCAATTGTAGTACCCAGGTTCCAGACCAACGTCCTCAATGCCGCTGAAACAGATCCCTCCATGATTGCGCGCTCCAAATTTAAACGGGCGACCCCAAACAACAATACAATGGCCACAACTGCGTTTTACGATCCGTGCCACATTCGATACCGACGCTTGTTTGGAGCTAGTAACAGTGACAAGACAAACGGAGCCAACATTGAAATGTTCTTGTGCCCCATTGGACCAGGAAAGAGTCGCGTCATGCTTTTTAACAGTTTTGAACGATTCTTACAGCACAATTTGGAGGCTGCAGTCCAAGAGAAAAAGAGCCTTTTCGGTCGATGGAAACAACGCTTCATTCACTCGCGCATTCGCAACTACTTTCTGGGGGCTTCTGCCCGGGGACACCGCGATCTCAATGGCATTTTTGATGGGGATGCCGTCTTTTTGAATCAACAAGGATTGCAAATGGCTACAGAAGGCTTGAAGCCTTCGGGTTACTCTACGCCCTCGACTGCGGACGTGGCGGTCCGTTCCTTTCGACGATGGCTTGATGCGGCCAGTGCTGCCACCGACCGCACAGCAATCATACCGACCCACGCTGCCAAAATGGCGGTCAAGTCTGTTGCGGGGCCTTTGATAACGGATCCGACAAGGGCGGATCGAACCACCATGCTAGACCGCTACAATCAACACACAAAGAATTGCAAGGTGTGCTCCGAAGCCTTGGCCGGATTGCAACGACGACAAAAAGTGCTTGCCAGGCTATCCTCGTTTCTGCTAGGTGTTTCAGGGAGTGCCGTGACGCTTGCGGTTTTTTCCGCGGTGTCCTCACTCGCAGGAAACCTGGCCAAGCGTTTCAGTTCAATCCTTGCCATCGCCTCAATTTTAGCTTCCTGGTTGGTTCGCAGGCATGCTGGAACTCTGTGTCAAAAGATTCAAGAGTTTCACTATGTAGGTTATGATCATTCTACGAAGGACTACTAGTAGCTAGCGGGCGTGGTGGACTAACTGCTTGAGGAGTGGCAGGTCATGGCCCAGCCATCGTCATAACTGTTTCTGAGCTGATCCTGAATGAAAGGGACGTTGTGTCAGCCAGCACTATAGTAACACACGGGAGCTGGCCTTTCCCCATTCCCTACTAGCTAGTAATGCTAAAGCAAGCTATTGGCAGCCACTTGACTTGCATGAGCCGTATCATTATAGCTCGCCAAAGAATAGTTCGGGCTCTTCACTTGATGCTAGCTAGCCAACGAATCTTACAACTGCTTTTAGTGCTTTTAGTGTGCGTTTTTCTTCAACCGGAACCTTCCATTGATTCCCCCTTGCTCAACCTGTTGGGTATTGTCTCCAGCCAGCGCCGTTCGCACCCATCGGCAAGCGCAGGATGTGATGTTTCCAGTTTCAACTCCGTCTGGAGCCAAGATCCAATCCACTCACAAGAACATGCGTTTCACTAAAGCTTGCTTGCCTGGAAACATTCGTGTGCTGTACCGTACTATTTTAAAATATAATAGCTAGCTAGTAGCTTGCAACTTGCTTGCATGGCATGGTCACAATGAACTTGGCATAGATGCACAAACGCTACCGTATCGTTGTGTCAGGCGTGTCAGCTCGGGATTGGTGGGTGATGGGTGGTGTGGTGGTACTAGCTAGTACCGTAAAAGTATAATGGTACTGGTACCGCAAAAGAGAGGCTCGACCGGCTTTCAAGGTTCTTTTTTCGGAAAGGAGTTCACTTCTGTGACTCAATGTTAAGTATTCCGGTTCCTTCGTTCTTGTTAGTGATTTATTGTGCAAGAAATCAGCATACAATGATTTAACGAAAGTCATCTTGGGAGAGGAAAGAAGCATTTTTATGCTTCACTCACTTTTTCGGGGGTCAAGACCGAAACTTCTTGCTTCACTCCAAGGTTCACGTACGGCTGTACGGAATAGTGTCTTTCGTGGTGCTCTTTGCCTGCCACTGGCTCATTGCAATGAAACAGTGTTGTTGAACGGGGCAGAAGAACGGCAGACTTCACTCGTGTCGCTGTCCAGTAAAACTGGTAGTACATTTTGCTTGATCATTTGGCAACTGAGAGCCCTCACACGAAAGACGAAAGGGATACCCATCATTCCATCTTTCCTCATTATTTTACAACCATCTGACCTGAAGAAAGGTACCGCTGATCCAAAGATAGAAAGAGCATCATGCAAGCCTACCATCCTGAAGCCAATCTGTTCAATCGACAGGCATTACACGATCCTTACATGAAGATGCGAGATGGTACCGAACGAGCTAGTGCCATGGACCTGATGAGCGTATCAACACCACGCGCATCGACTTTGGGGAGCTGCCAGCAACTGGACGCTTGGACCTTGTATGAACTGACAAAGGAGAAACAAAAGATGAATCTGGCGTCAAAAACGGCAAGTGGGAAAGGGCAGCCAGAAGTTGTTGGAGTCACAAAGCAAAGCAAGAAGAAGAAGACTGACAAATCCAATAATAAGTCAACGAGCTTACAATACAATAACGGGGAATCCATCACCACGGAACGACGAGACGCCCCCGAAAGGGACAATGACTTGGACAGGGTTGGCAGCAGAAGCCATCGTCGGAGTGTGGTCCTTCCCTTGAGACTTTCCCACGCCGACAGAGAAGTGGACCAAATGATTGCCAACGCCAAGTCGAAACGAAACAGCTTACTCAGTGAAGTCACTCTCAAACTGAATGAGCAAAGTGGACTAGTAGTAGTAGCATCGGAACCGGAATCTCTGGGTGATTCCCTATCCAGTCTCCCCGACTTTCGGTGGGACGACATGAAACAGAGCAAAGGATCCAAAAGAAAGAATAGAGGCTCCAAACGAAGGAGCAAAGCTTCCAAGAAAAAGGGGACTGTCGAATTTGAGTTTCTAAAAGAAGATGAAGACTACCACAACAGTTGCTTCTTTTGAAGCCTTCCATCGACCACAGAGCAGCAAAGACCATATCTTTGTCTGGTTTAGCATTGCTTGCCCTTTTTGATGAACAGAACGGGCTGACTTCGAATAGGTAATCCGTACGGTATATAATAAGGTCCAATATAAACAGAGATTAGGAGAATTTGGCCTTAGCTCGTGTTTAGCCTTTAGCTATCATAAGTTTGGTGCTATGGACGACTGTCAGTGATCGTCTTCGCCCACTGTCGGATTGATACAGCGTCTTCACGAGAAAGATTGAAATGCCAAGTTTCTTCTCTAGAGCGCGCAGTTCTTTTAGCAACGTTGGGTTTGTCTTTGACATCAAGTCTGCGTTGAGCTTGTTTGCCTTTGGAAAACCATCTTTGACGAATGCACATATAACCATTTCCTTGATCCCAGCTTCCGACGCCGCTTGCACACCAAGTGTCCATGGTGCACCGTCATCTTTCTCAAAGAGAGCGAACGAGGAAGTCACCCAATGGGCTCGGTGGCACCCCTCGGCGGCCTTGATGAGCGAGGCTCAATCACCAGTTTGCACCAACTTTACAACGACGTTCTGGAGCTTGAGGAGCTCTTTGGCCTTGGGCCCGGTGTAGACGCGCAGAATGGCGACTACACAAAGGCCTCGTTCGGACAAGACACGAACCAACGCCACACCTTCCAAGCTGTTTGCATTGAAGACTAGACATTTGGGAGCGTCCAGGGGGGGGGGGGCTCGTCGTCAAGCCGCCTGAGAGAAGGAGGTTTGGTCAGGCCAATCGGCCATGGGATGCGGACCTCGTCACCTTCACCACCAGGGACTACAGTTGGAGTCTCGTCGACCATGTCTAATCGCATTGGCTAGCTAGTCTGGATCCAGTAAGGGCGAAAGAAAATATGGAGGAGTTGCCTGCCTGCTAGCTAGTCTCTGGTGCAGGAGTGACAGTCGTGGTTGGGTGTTTGCACTTTGAAGCGTCGGAATGGCAGAAAAAATGCTCTGAGCAGAACACACCAGAACGTGCACGGTCACTGCTGCTTCTCCTTCACAACAACGAGCCACCTCTGATGTAAGAACTGACGGACTGATGGGGGTTTCTTTCAGGAAGTTGCAACTCGTATGATACAGTCATTGTGGTGCTTTAGCTTTCTAACTGTTACGAGGGTTCATTAATTACCTACATCGAGTGCGAGTACGAATACCTTCCTGCTTTCTGCTTGTTAGCCCATTTGGAGAAATCGTAGATTTTGGGAGAGCTCAGCAAGTTTTCAGTAGAACTGAAGTCGGTTGCCAGAGTCATGTTGTCGTGAGTCCTGTGGATATGACCATGGCAAGCCCCGCAAATACGGCAGGTTCTCTTCAGCAAATCTTTGATCGCTCCTCTGTCAGAATCTGCTCTGGTCAAAGGTTCCAAAAGATGCAATAATCCTGGACCCAAGATGAGACCAGCTCGGTTCACATCATTCCTTGAGAGCGCCTCTGCGGCGTTTGTCAACCGAGGCAAAATGCGTGGCCAGGTCGACCTCGGGATGAGGTGATGATGCGTGAGGCGAATGAACCTTTCGCAAAGCTCACATTCGCCCTCTCCAATGTACTCCCCATCGTCATCGTCGTCATTTTCTGCCTCGCGTGCGTCTTCCCCCGCGGTTTCTCCTTCCTGAGAGGAGTTGTCATTCCCATCTTTCTTATCTTCTACCGGTAAAACTAAATCCAACAGGCTAGACAGAGTTGTCATAGCTCCCTGGCGAGACATGCTGAAATAGTCTTCGAAGGCTGCAATGCAAGCCTCGTTCCGCGATAGATCAGATTCTTCAATTTCTGCTACCATGGACTCGGCTAGGCATATCGATTCCTCGGGAGACGAGACAAATCCCTTGGCAAGCAAAACAGTCGCGAGGCGCTTATCAAAGCCTCCCTCATTTTGATTGAGGTTTCCGGGCAGCGACTTTGCTCTCTTGTTCTTTCGTCCCATTGATCAAAAAGCACTCTGGGTGGAACGTCTTCTTTTCTGGGTTTCGGCTCGTAATTCCGTCCTCAAACCTATTGTGGGAAGAAACAAGAAACCGAATGGATTGAGGATCAACGTTTGGGCTCAAGGTTGGCTCTGCAAGGAGGACGGAGGAACAGCGCTGACATCCAGACAACACAGGCTGCGCCATGGACAACCAAGGTCTAATAGCATCTACTGTAGTAACCCCATCACAACAAGCTACGGCACAGCTGCGGGTCTCGAGTGACAGTCCTGTGGCATCCAACAAACAACCACAGCACAGAGAAGCGGTGGTTGAAACCTGCGTGTCCCGACAAGCCGGCAGAACCGCTATTTAGTGATTCATCATTCATAGAAACTACGAAAGCATCACAGTACTCGTACAGCCATGGCAGAGCCACCATCGCTTCAAGCTACGAAAGCATGTGGGAAATGAAAGACCTCGTGGTTTATCTATATACATATATTTATATGCTTGCCAGTCCTATTTACCACTTGCCAGTGCAGATGTCAAAGACTCCTTCGATCAAGTCACTGCCTCTCTTCACCACAGCCTTCTCCATACTGGATGCATAGGGAACTGGTGCGTCATCCATACACAACCTCTTCACTGGAGAATCAAGAAGATCAAACAGTTCCTCAGAGATCCTGGCACTAATGGTTGCTCCAACTCCTCCAGTCTTGGTAGATTCATCCAAGATGACAAGCTTGTGCGTTCTGGAGAGACTCTTTTCAATTGTCTCCATATCCAGAGGCTTCAAAGAGCGCAACTCAATCAAATCAATATCAAAACCTTCCTCTTGGATCGATTCAATGGCCACCATGGACTCCTTCACTCCATGCAAGTATGTCAAGACTGTTACTGCCTTGCCACTGTCAACACTGGCCTGTGAGGCTTCATTCAACAGAGCAGCCTTGTTCAGAGGCATGCACTTGCCAAGATCCACAGGTCCCTTGGCCTCCTTCATCATCTTCACTGGAGCAAACAAGAAGCATGGGCCATTGTCACGGATCATACTCTTGGTCAGACCATAGGCAGCGTCTGGTGAGGCAGCTGTTCCAATCTTCAATCCTGGGATGCCCATGACATAGGCATGGAAGGGCTGACTGTGCTCAGCTCCAAGGGCTTGGTTGGGAGCAGTTCCACCAGCACCAATGATGGTCATTGGCATGTCAAACTGACCTCCAGTGGTGGCATAGGTGTTTCCAGCAGAACTGATCTCCGCCATACCATAGATACCAAAGTTGGTGTTCATCAACTCCACAATAGGGCGGTAGCCATTCAATCCCTCACCAAGAGCCTTTCCAATGAAGTGGCCTTCATCAATGATCTCATCAGCAGCACGCTCCTTTCCATAGGTCTGCTGAGTCAATTTGGGAATATCATAAGAGGATCCTGCCTGCAAATCCTCAGCATGGATGGTAGTGTGGGATCCCTCAACATCTCTTCATGGATAGCAAGGTTGATGGCGTCACCAATAGAGATGTCACCAGCCTTGGCCTTGGCCTGGAGATCAGCAATGTGTGCCTGGACAGTCTCCATCTTCTCAGGACTGATGGTTCTGGCATTGACCTCATCAGCCCATGCAGGGCCCTCCTTCAAGTTGTAGTCTGTGTCCACAGCATCAGGGTACTCAAGTTCCTTGGCAAGATCCACTGGAGGCATGGGAGATTCATCAGCAAACTTAACACAAGCCTTGACATCAGCAAGGACCTGCTTCTTTGTGGCCTTCAGTTCGTCTTCAGTGAACATGCCAGTGGCAGTGTAGTGGTCTTCAAAGATCTTGATGGGATCTTGTTGAGCACGAGCCCAAGCCTTCTCATCCTTGCGACCACGCTCATGCTCAGGGTCAGCAGGGGAGTGACCGTTGAATCTGTAGGTGTGCACCTGCAAGATAGCAGGGCCCTTGCCACTGCGAATGTAGTCAATAACCGCCTTGCCTCCCTTGGCCACATCAGCTGGGTTGTTTCCATCAACCAAAAGACCAGGAACTCCATAGTGCTCTCCTTGCTTGTAAACATCCGAGTTCTTTGCAACATCAGGAGTGAAAGTGTTGATGGCGCGACCATTGTCAATGACAATGATAAGCAAGGGGAGGTTGTCCTTGGAGGCAGAGTTGAGAACTTCAGCCATGCGGCCATTCTGGGATCCACCCTCTCCAATGAACACAACAGAAATTCGGTCATCATCCGCTGGTGGGGGAACATTGTCCTTGGCCTTCACTTCGGCATCATCTGAGATTCCCAAGTGTCTGTCCAACTGGATGGCCTTGGCCAAACCACAAGCATATGGAAGTTGTTCACAGACAAGAGCCCAGCCACCCTGGAAGTAAGTTTCCTTGTCAAAGATGTGCATGGATCCACCAGCGCCACGGCAGGTTCCTGTATCTTTCATGAAAAGCTCTGCCATGACCTCTCCCATGTCTACACCACTGGCAATGGCGTGAGTGTGTTCTCTGTAGTAAGAGATCTTCTTATCCTCTTTCTTGAGGGCATATTCCAAGAGTCCTGGAATACTCTCCTGTCCATTGTCAAGATGCATAAAACCACGGATCTTTCCCTGCATGTATTGTTGGTTACATGCATTTTCGAATTGTCGAGCCACCTGCATGGATTTGTAGAGTCCCATCAGACCTTCCTTGTCTCCATCGAGGACAGTGTAGGCTTCGATCTCTTCCTGGCTGTACCCAAATGCATCTTGGAGCTGTATTAAAAAATGGAGGAGACTGGTCAGCATTCTGTGTCTCCACTCGATCATCGAAATACGCGCTCGCCCAACCAATGCACCCGCAAAAATTTACCTGTGCAGCTACCTGCTCCCACTTCATGTTGATGGGTGGCCTCATCACAGTAACAGCCGACTCGCCAGTGGCCGACTCGTCGACAACGGTCGACATGAAAAGCTTGGTATTGAAGCCGATCGGAGCAGAAACCTGTCGACCCATGTTGTGGGCAGGACTAAAAAATAACAAAAGTATTGACAGAAGATCGCAAATCAAGGTGAGCTCACCAGGCCCAATCGCTCGTGCATCTCGATGCGGAAACTACAGGATAAGGAACTCACGCGAACGCCGCGGCAGTCGCCAGAGTCGCTGTCAAAGCTGCGAGGGAGAACTTCATTTTCGAAAATCTTTAGTTTGTCGAGTTACCGAGAAAAATTGTGAGAGTGGTGTGATGGGAAGGATGAAAGATTCCTTCGAAGGCGTTGCTGATGTGCAACTGACTTGATGGGTTGATGGCTTGTAATGTGCTGACGACAATTTCATTAACGACGTGGGTGTTACCATAAGAAAGCTGCTTGCTGGAAGACACGACGACAACTTGGTGCTATTTTAGTATCCTTTTGGTTCTCCATTAAGGTAGGAGTTTGTGATGACAGTTGCCGCCAATAGTGAGAGGTTCAATCCGGGGTGGGACTGACGACCACGTCACATCTTTCCCGAAGACACATCCGCAACTGCAAATTTCACTTTCGTCAGAACTTGGCGAGCGAGTGTGTTGTGCCTTTCCGATGACTGATGAAAGGGGGTTGAATCGATGTTCTCCTTCCCAAAACGAACATGGGAGTTGATGTCGTCTACCAGTATGATAACCTTTCGTGGCCGCCCGAGTTGTGGAGGCCAATCCGAACGCCCAAGCAACCAACAGTAAACCTGAATTTGTACAGTGTCGAATGATGTCAAATGACGAGGGCGGCTGTCGGGCAGGCAACAGGGGCCGGAACAATGGTGGTCGAAAGGGAGGTCGTGGTGGTAGGGGTCGCCGTGGTGGTCGGCGTTAGCGCGGTGCAGAGCAGAATCAGGATACCATCAACAACAACACGACGTGGAGCAATCTCAATCCGGACTACCGACGGTGGCTTAAAGGTGGGGGATTAGCGGCCAATCCAACGGAGTTCGGCAATATGACCCATGACAAGAAGGCAGCCTTGTACAAGGTTTTCTCTGACGGAGAAGCAGCAAAAGCACAAGCAGAAGCAGCAAAAGCAGAGGCGGAAGCACGAGTAGCAGAAGCGGCAGCACCAGCACAAGCATTACCCGATCAATATGCTTCTGTTCTCCTCGATATGGCTGTGAGAAACATGTCAGTCGGCTGGGAGAAAATCAGCGAGAACCGCACAACGCATGAGTCGCAAACCGTCAGGAACGAAGCCATAAGGTTCTATGGTTTGCATTCAGAAAACACCTGTCAGATTCTGGGCGTTGGGACCTTACACGTACAGAACGCCCATATTTGGCCTTACAACAACAAAGAGAATTTGGTTTTGTGTGACTTGAACGAGACGGACATTGATAACCCAAGGAATGTACTCCGGCTCCACAAAGATATTGAGCACCATTTCGACAGGATGCATCTCACATTAGTCCCAGACGGCGACGGTTTCACTCTGAAGATTTTGGATCCAACGGTGAAGTCCTCGCCAATCCAAGATGCCAAGAGCAACCAACCCAGTACCATTGGTGAAGTTGAGGGCAAGCAACTCATATTGAGCCCCAAACACGGGAAGCCATGGCGACGCCTTCTTGGCACTCACTCCATTCTTGCCCATCGGAAAGCTCGACTGAACCGACACATTGAATCAGAAGACCTAAGCGCTGCAGAGGTGAACACAAACGAATTGATGAAGTGGTCTTTGGACAGGGAGAAGCAGGAGCAAATCCAATTTCTGCTGCGAAGGTCTGCAGTGCAGACTGAAAATCCCGAATGAGGAGGAGTTTGATCGTGCTGTTGCTGAGTCGAAGGAGAAGAAAAATAAGTCGGAGGAGAGCGCTGAGTGAGGAGAGAGGTCGTTACCGTGCATGGCGCGTACACTTTAGCTTAATGATAGATGGATTTGGTTAGGTTTAAATCTCATAGATCTTGAACGATCACGAGTTAGGTTGATTTTTCTGAAGCGTCGGTTCCTCCTGGTGGGTAAACTCATAGCATGCCCTTACACCGCTGAGACGCCTCTAGACCACAAGAGCCACGAATTCATGGAAGGTACAAAGCAGCATTGCTTGCTGGAGCCATCAATTCACCCCTCAATAAGTTCAATCCATCAAACTTGCAGTACAACTATGTACAGATTCAGCTAGCTAGCTTCTTCGTACAATATGAAACAACATGTAAGTGGAAGTGCGCAAAATGCCATTCATCTATTCTATTAATATCCTCCCGAAATTACCATTTGCCTGTGCAAATGTCAAAGACTCCCTCAATCAAGTCACTGCCTCTCTTCACCACAGCCTTCTCCATACTGGATGCATAGGGAACTGGTGCGTCATCCATACACAACCTCTTCACTGGAGAATCAAGAAGATCAAACAGTTCCTCAGAGATCCTGGCACTAATGGTTGCTCCAACTCCTCCAGTCTTGGTAGATTCATCCAAGATGACAAGCTTGTGCGTTCTGGAGAGACTCTTTTCAATTGTCTCCATATCCAGAGGCTTCAAAGAGCGCAACTCAATCAAATCAATATCAAAACCTTCCTCTTGGATCGATTCAATGGCCACCATGGACTCCTTCACTCCATGCAAGTATGTCAAGACTGTTACTGCCTTGCCACTGTCAACACTGGCCTGTGAGGCTTCATTCAACAGAGCAGCCTTGTTCAGAGGCATGCACTTGCCAAGATCCACAGGTCCCTTGGCCTCCTTCATCATCTTCACTGGAGCAAACAAGAAGCATGGGCCATTGTCACGGATCATACTCTTGGTCAGACCATAGGCAGCGTCTGGTGAGGCAGCTGTTCCAATCTTCAATCCTGGGATGCCCATGACATAGGCATGGAAGGGCTGACTGTGCTCAGCTCCAAGGGCTTGGTTGGGAGCAGTTCCACCAGCACCAATGATGGTCATTGGCATGTCAACTGACCTCCAGTGGTGGCATAGGTGTTTCCAGCAGAACTGATCTCCGCCATACCATAGATACCAAAGTTGGTGTTCATCAACTCCACAATAGGGCGGTAGCCATTCAATCCCTCACCAAGAGCCTTTCCAATGAAGTGGCCTTCATCAATGATCTCATCAGCAGCACGCTCCTTTCCATAGGTCTGCTGAGTCAATTTGGGAATATCATAAGAGGATCCTGCCTGCAAATCCTCAGCATGGATGGTAGTGGTGGGATCCCTCAACATCTCTTCATGGATAGCAAGGTTGATGGCGTCACCAATAGAGATGTCACCAGCCTTGGCCTTGGCCTGGAGATCAGCAATGTGTGCCTGGACAGTCTCCATCTTCTCAGGACTGATGGTTCTGGCATTGACCTCATCAGCCCATGCAGGGCCCTCCTTCAAGTTGTAGTCTGTATCTGCAGCGTCAGGGTATTCAAGCTCCTTGGCAAGCTCAACAGGAGGCATGGGAGATTCGTCAGCAAACTTAACACAAGCCTTCACTTCAGCCAAGACTTCTTTCCTTGTTGCCTTTAGTTCGTCTTCAGTGAACATGCCATTGGCAGTGTAGATAGCCTCAAAATTTTTGATGGGATCTTGTTCAGAACGAGCCCAAGCCTTCTCATCCTTGCGACCACGCTCATGCTCAGGGTCAGCAGGGGAGTGACCGTTGAATCTGTAGGTGTGTACCTGCAAGACAGCAGGGCCCTTGCCACTGCGAATGTAGTCAATAACCGCCTTGCCTCCCTTGGCCACATCAGCGGGGTTGTTTCCATCGACCAAAAGACCAGGAACTCCATAGTGCTTTCCTTGCTTGAACACATCCGAGTTCTTTGCAACATCAGGAGTGAAAGTGTTGATGGCACGGCCATTGTCAATGACAATGATAAGCAAGGGGAGATTATCCTTGGAGGCAGAGTTGAGAACTTCAGCCATGCGGCCATTCTGAGACCCACCCTCTCCAATGAACACAACAGAAATTCGGTCATCATCCGCTGGTGGGGGGACATTGTCCTTGGCCTTGACTTCGGCATCATCTGAGATTCCCAAGTGCTTATCCAACTGGATGGCCTTGGCCAAACCACAAGCATATGGAAGTTGTTCACAGACAAGAGCCCAGCCACCCTGGAAGTAAGTTTCTTTGTCAAAGATGTGCATGGATCCACCAGCACCACGGCAGGTTCCTGTATCTTTCATGAAAAGCTCTGCCATGACCTCTCCCATGTCTACACCACTGGCAATGGCGTGAGTGTGTTCTCTGTAGTAAGAGATCTTTTTGTCATCTGGTTTGAGTGCATAGTCAAGAAGACCAGGGATGCTCTCTTGTCCATTGTCAAGATGCATAAAACCACGGATCTTTCCTTGCATGTATTGTTGGTTGCAGGCATTCTCAAAAGCTCTGGCTGTTTGCATGGCTTTGTACAATTTCATTAATCCCTCCTTGTCAGAGTCAAGCATGGTGTATGAATCCAGTTCAGTTTGGCTGTATCCAAATGCTTCTTGCAGCTGTAGATAAAACATGTTGTTATTGAGTGTGAGCTTTGCAATAGCATCAACAAAATTAATTTAGAGACCACTCTTCCTTCCGGCACATACCTGAGCGGCGACCTCTTCCCACTTCATGTCAATCGGCGGCCTCATCATTCCAGGTGCTTCCTCATTTGTTGTCGCTGGTGCTTCGACGGTGGTAGACATCCGAAGTGGAGAAGCCAAAGAACTAGCTGTCGACAATGTCTTTGCTGTTTGGTACTGAGCGGGGCTGCAATCCAACGCGACCATCAAACCACACGATTATTAAGGTAAGAATCCATAAAATCGGAGTCATCACTTCACCTATTCGTCGCATAACAAACAACTTACGCAAAAGCCACCGCAGTGGCCAAACAAAGGCTCAAGCATGCTGCAGAAAACTTCATCTTTTCTATAGTTGGCAGGGTGCTCCTATTGACTCTTGGTCTTACTTTATGCGATACGGACTTCGAGCAAGGATTTCACAAGCAAACCGAAAGGACCCATCACTTCTGATGATCAGAGACGTCCCACCGCAGAGAGGCGACGATTGAAGATGTCGGCGGTTTGCTGTTTGACATCAGCATCTTCCTCGACACAGTGACGTCTTTGAAAGAGCAAACAAGTGCGTGGTTTGATTTAGTCCCGGCAATTCATTCGTACTATTGGTTCTAGGGAAAGGGATAACCTTTGGTACCGTAAAAGTATATCCCTGAACTGAGAGAAATACTGAGAGCCTGTACCTGTGGTAGTGGATCCTACAGGACGTATTGATCAAGGTATCCAACACCAGGCGACACCTGGTGTATGCTGGTTGACCGTTCGTTTATACCACTGAGGAGGTCACGTCCTCGACTGTAAGAAAAATGAGGCTCGCACCTCTACTACTCACTGTTAAGATAACGTCGCACCTCTTTGGTTGAGTACGTTTTCGAAAAGACCAAGTCCACGAAATCGCTCGCTAGCTACTGGTTGCTAGCTACCTGTAGTAGTAGTAGCACGAAAACGTTCGAAAAGCACAAGTCCACGAAACGAAACCAAAAGCACAAAGTCTCATGTAACAAACTCACTATTAGGCATGGCTACCATGCTTATCAACCTAAGGTCAACTTTACTGAGCATGAACAATACAAAGATCCTCATGCAGACTGCCCATAATGGTGTCCTGCTTGATGGCAGCAGTAATATTCAAAACACTTCCTTTGTAATGCTCCTCAATCTTGGAGATGACCCAAGCTGGAGCTTTCTGAGCATTGACAAGTGTAGCCATGAGAGTCCAGAGTGGCTTCCTCCTGGAGTAGGTTGACTTGCAAGCCCTGATATCTTCAGCAGTGAAGTTCTTGGCTGGCTTGTTGCCACCAATACCATGCATCCACTCTTGCCAAGCAGAGCCAAAAGTTCTGTACTTGGCTAGCTTGGCAGGCCTACTATCAGCAGGGGTGGTGGCCACAGCTTGTCTGTACCTGAAGCTAGTCTGGCCATTCCGGCGAGTCCTTTCCACAGTCAACCCATTTCTAAAAAGATTACCATCTACCTGATCAGGTGTTGCCATCCTTGGAGGCTGAACAGCAATCCTAAAAAGCATACAAAAATACATAGTTAGCAGCAGTAATAGCCATAGTTGCAATAGCCAACAGCCACAAGTCCACACTTACCTGCAAATATTTCCATTGAGTTTCGTCAGCTCCGCGCCAAGCCAAGTCTCCAACCAACCTCTCAAAGCAGCAGCCGAACTGTCGCGGGTCCTACCTTCCTGCGCAATGAGCTGCTGGAGCTGGTTGTGCTGCGCAATAATCCTTGTCAGAATCTCCTCGTTCGTTCGTACCTGCTATTGCGTTTGCATAGCCGTCACCTGCCGAGACTGATTGGCAACTTGACGAGTGCTTGCCTGGCCGGTCGTTCCCGTAGTGCCACCAGCCGTGCCACCGCCACCTCCCGTATCCATCGGCTCGATTTCGTTGATGTGGAGCTTGGTGTTGTGCGTCCAAATAGAGAGAGGCACTTTCACCACAGGGTTGACGACAACAGGAATATCGGCCTTGATGCGCTCATACGCATCTTGGATCCTAACACGAACGGGAGGCTCCATCCTCTCCTCCCAAGATTCGTCAAGAGCAGCCCACAAAAGAGGCAGAGCCAAGTGAAGGGAAATGTCGTTGACACCGTCGTAAAAGGCATGTGTCCTTGGCACCACATGCTCAATCAACCAGTCGGGAGTCACTCTCTTGGCATCCGGGTGTAGCTTGTAGGCAATAGGAGCCCCCATGCAAAGCTTTTCGGCAACACGGGCGTCGATCCAGGGCTGTTCAGGCGAAATGTAGGCATCAACAACCCGTCCAGATAAGCGAGCCTTCCAGCGACCTCGAATGTCAACTTCGTCAGCAGTAGCACCCATCCCTCTTGCCAGAGTTGCAGCAAACTTCCGAATGCTGTGACTCCCAAGAACACCGGCAATGAGGACCGCCACAGCCAGAAATAGAGCCGACAAAAAGACAGCCTTGAGAATGTTGCGGTAGGCTGCGTTGCAGTGCTTGGGAGCCAACTTGGGATCGCTTTCAGGAGTAAAGAGGAATGCATCTTCCCGACCAGCAGCCGTAGTTGAATGACGCCTCCATGTAATTCGCCAATCCGAGCATAGCACAAAAGTCGGTATCCATCGACCCAAGAATGATTTGGTCAGGGCATTGTCGTTCTTCGGAAATATTCTTGGACCAATGCACCTTGCAACTGAGCGCAAAAGGGAAGTCTGGATGCGGCTTGTAGTCGGAATACTTCAACTTGGAGATGTCATCCGTCCTGGTGATGAGATGGACTTGCTGCTTCAACATGCAGGCTGTACGGATGGTCGATTCAAAGCTCCCTTTGCCGTAGAGTTCATTGCGATACTCAGTTTCCGTCAAATCCCTGGTGGCACAGGACTTCTTGCCGCGGTGTTGAGTCTCCGCTTTCTTGACTTCCTTGACCACTTCGTTCACAGGATCGGACTTGGTTGGATTGCCGGAGGTTCCATTCCATGTGGCACCTTTGGTGGGCATGTAGAAGGAGATAGCCTTCTTGTCTTGCTCAAGAGTAGAGGAGCGGCAAGTTGGATTCTGCTCCAGATCTTTGAAGTCAACATCGGTCGTACCATACGCACGCCATTTCAAGTAGTCGGCAACGTGATGTGGTTGGATGCCGCCCAAAGCACTGGGTTGGAAGCGAGCCGCCTTGGTGTACGTCCTCTTGTGCAGCCAGCTCATGAATTTGATGAATAGTCTGTGGTAGTCCCGGTTGTACTTGGGCTGTTCCGTGGGTGCTTCAGGAAGTTCCGGCACGTCGTCCAACCCAAGGGCTTCTCCATCATTGGCATTGTTGGCCATGGTGGAGGAATTGTTTTGTCAACTAAGCAATTGTTGGTAGAGCTTGAGCTGGAATTTTGGCAGAGTTCCTTTACAAAGTAGAAGGATTGAAAATAATGAGCTAGAAGTGAGGAAATGAAGAACTGAAAGCGGCTTGTACGGAGCGAGAGGATCGATCGATCGCACGGGATTTGCCCGTTGGTTGCCTCTTTGTTGAGTATACTCGAACGTAACGATCGATCGTACGGGGCTTGAGTATACCCTACTGCAGCGATTGGATCTTTGAACGATTGGATCTTGCTTGAGTATACGCAACCTGCAACGGTTGGATCGGAACGATTGGATCTCATTGGAATGGTACGGTATGTTTGGTGTTACTTAAGCGATTATTGGAATCCTCTCAGTATGTGCATCCTCCTCTATTTATCCAGGCACGAGCCTTATGTCTAAATCCTCTCAGTTTATTTAATAGTGAGAGTCTTATTGAGAGGATCTTTGTTTCAATGACTGCCGATACCATACCTTTTCTACGTAGCATACTGTCCTTGATCCTGAGGGTATGTAGAGTTACCTAGGAGCAGAGGGAAGCACATACTGCGGCTGTGCAACTACTGTTGCAGAAATGTAGTACCGTACTAGTACGGTGTACCAGGTGGTACTAGCTAGTAGTAGCTGGCACAGCGTACCGTACGGTTGTAAGATTGATCATTCTTCCCCATACCTGGTACCCTGCTCGGATTGTTGCTGTCGCTCTCCTTTGGCTTGGCATGACACCATGTTTGCATACTGCCCACCGATCCTTCCCTTCTTTTCACGCTGGCTCGAGTCGAGTCTAGCTACCGGTAGGCAGTGAATCGAATCAACTTGTCTACAATGGTAGTGCCATTTGATGACATGAAGGGTTTCAAAGGATCAGGTACAGTCGTAGCAGAAGCAGCAAATTAAGGTCAGGTAGATAGCTAACTGCTTAGAATATTCCCAGTGCAGTTGTCAGGGCAAACACAAGAAATAGGCAGCCACCAATAATGCCGATGACTCGTTCCGATATGTACTTGGCAATGTAAGACCCTCCGGATACAGCAATGCCAGTGGCAACACCATGAGCAGCAATGGCGCCGACTCCGACGCTGACCGGGTTTTGGGCTGCAGACAAGGCGATTGTCGAGAGGAACGAACGGTCTCCGAACTCTGCTGCAAAGACAAGAGCAAAAATGCTGACCAGTTGACCCCTGATGACAGAGCATTGTACAAGTAATGAGTTTGAGAACACGCCGCTGTTGAACATCGTAAAGCTGCTTGAAAACTAACTGTCAGTATCATCTTACCAAGCTGTGGTTCTCTTGACCGAATCACTGTTCTCAACTTCCTCTTCTGCTTCGGCCAGCTCTTCATCCATGACACTTTCTCCCTCTTCCATATCCAAAGCATCCTTCAGTGTCTTGAAACCAAAGAATGCGAAAGCAATGCAAGCTGCAATGTCATCGAGTGGGATTCCTTCGCCAAACCCAGATGGCACTGCATGAAAGATTTGCCCAATGAGGACGGATAGCACAGTCATTGCCCCTAGGGCACCCATGGATCCCAAGAAAGAAGCTAATTTGGATGTTTTCATGGCCAAGAGGCCAGCAATGAAGAAGGTTTTGTCGCCAATTTCACTTAGGAACACCAGAGTAAATGCCTGGTAGAATCCAGTCTCGGTAAGCCTGTTCAATAAACCGCTAGTTGTTGAAGCCATGGTAATGGCACCTCCGTGCATGCTTTCTAGATCCACCGCATGGCTGATTGCTGGGAATGCCGTCATGGACGCAGATGCGACCAAGGCCAAGCTTGCTACTGTGGCTGCCTTTTTGTTGCTGTCAGAAAGCTGTTCCATGTTGTTGCAAGTCCATCCTTGTCTTTGAATTCATCATCATCGTGAATTGGAGATCGACCCCAAAGCCGTGTGGTGATCATCTTTGATTGTGAATATGAATGCCTGGAGAGGACATGTGGCTGGATAGCATCCCTTGACAGTGATGTGTCAAGGTTGTGGGGGCTGCAGAGCAGAACAGAAAGACAAGATCCAATGAATAGTTTAGATATCAGGAGGTCCAGGAAAGAAAGGAAAACCAAACCAAAAACGACAAGTGTCAGTACGATTGGTGGATTGTTCGCAATCGGACGCCACTCATTCTTCGATACCCATCGGTACTCTGACTGTCCCTGTCCGCAAACCAGCAGGTATTGGAATGCCTCTGCGGTGTGGTGCTCACCTGAAAGCCGAAACAGCGGCCGCGAGACACAAAAGTTGCACCAGGCGAACAGCCAAGTTGTGTTGTCTTGCCATCATTGCCATCCTGTTGGACGATACCTGGTACCGCACTTTGTGGTGATGTCTGTGTTGAAGCTGAGGTGCTTTCGACAGGAGATTGGAGGGAGGCTGTCTGTCGTTCAACCTTTGCTTCCACGTGGAACTATACCGCAATTGCCAGCTCGCTGCCATCACAACGCTCACTTCGAGAGACTTGACTTGTTGAGCTCTTGTTGCTACCGGTGATACTCTACTGTACCATCTCTATTATCAAAACTTTCTGGGCCATGTCGCCTCAAGGTTGCTACCACGGCTCACGGCTCTGAAGTCAAGTCCATTATTTGTGTTGGTTTGGATGTGCTGGAACTCTCAGATTCTGTGCTAAAATGGTGTGAGGACAGTCCTCTCGGGAGCGCTTGACCATACCGGTAGCGGTACAGCCCGATCATGAGTCAATGACTTCAAATAAATGTCTACACCATCAATGTCAGCAACGCCTTGAAAGAAAACACAAACATAGCCTGGAAGACCTGAATCTTGAAGAATTTTACCGGAATCCAAAGTCTGGTCGAAACGTTGAGGCATATTTCTCGTCTCACAGAGACACTAGAAGAGCTTGCATTCATTATTGCAGAAAAACATGAGAGACAATGAAACTGAGAAGAATGGAAAGGATTGGCTTTCCAAGAAACAGGAGAACGTTCTCTTGCAGTGGAATGGTATATGGCCACGGGTCGATGCCTTGTCTACGGCATTTGATAGTGTGCCTGCACTGTGCCACATGCTCTCCAAAAGTCCAGCTCTTTATGGTATGAGCCATCTTTGGATGACAATAGGCGTAAGACCAAGCGACAAATTGAATTGACTGAGCAAGTCGGGCCCACAATTTCCAAGTTTAACACTGCCACTCGGAAGAGCAAATTGGTGAGTAAGTGGGTGTTGTGAGGTACTGTATATTATTGTTTCGTATGTCCGCCTCTGTAGAGCCTGCGCCTTCGTCCTTTGCCAACGAATGTGCGTGGGTACCACTTTTGGAACGGGGCTAGATGAAATGTTTTTTGGGGACGCATTTTTCACTCGCTTTGGACAACCAATCATGGTTGGATGACACTGCGAGTAGCCCAGCTGTCCGCGCATTTATTTATTCCAATGGACGGCAATGACTTACCGACTATGGTGTTCCTTTTCCTTCTATTGAACAGGAAGGAAGGGTGGTTATTGAGTGATGAAGCTGAATGTTCCACCACCGAGTGACATGGATCGATCCCCGAGGTAAGACACATCGAAAATAAAACACAAAAAAGGTTGGAAAAAGCGCGTCGCGAAAGGGTGCTTGGAGGAGCTTCTGCCATGGACCTGATACTACCGCGCGAGAGAAAAGACAACACTGGGCGGCATGGGAGAGAGTGGTCACTGCAATGGGATGACGCTGACAATTCACAATCACGCTGGTATGCTGTTTCGATTCATTCTGAGAACACATTGAAACTCTTTCGGGAGGAACAGAAAATGTACTAGCCTCTGGGTCTTGTTTGTACCTGGAGAATGGCTCAAAAGGGAGCCGAATCAAAGCCACCACACAGCTGCAGCGGTGATGAGTTGGTCGACTCTTGGAACAGTGTGCCATCCAAAGCTCTTTCAACGATCCATGCCATTCCAGTGTCGTTTTATGTGGGGACTAATGTGGTTCTGTGAAAGATATCCAGGCCGCAACTAACGCCACGAACAATCGTATCTCGATCTTGTTGTTTGCAAACGTACTAACTTTGTTTTCTTATCGTGCTGACTTGTGGAGCGCTCAGAGAGCCGAAGATGATCAATTACGCCGGTGACGGGACAATGCCTAACCTTTCAACGTACGGTACTAGCACTAAGTCAAGTAAAAATTTACCCTCTTCTATACGATGTATTACTTTATTACTGTGGTTCCACCTCTGGCGTGGCACCTTCAATCGTCAGCGGAGATTCCTCTGGTGGATCGGGAGTGGCTCGAGCCAATTGCACCAGCAGTGCTTCCCACGTTTCCAATTCCACTGCGGCATAGTCGCGTTCGTCTCCTTCCAATGCCCGTAATGTCTGTACTCGTTTGACTCCGTGTGCTACGAGATTGTCTTTGCGGTCCAGCACGATATTGACACTCTTTTTCTGTTCGAGGATTTGGAGCAGCAGTTCCAGTCCCATTTCTCGAATTTCTGCCGTAGTGTCCTCTGAGGTAGCTGTGACCAACTGATCCGCGACGTATGCCACGGAATGGCCAAAGAGCCGCACTCGCTCCCGTGTGGAATCGTCCGAGGTAATCAATGCTCTGAGAAAGAAGAGTGTTCGTTTCTGCAAGACTGCACTACTATTTCCAGCTGCTGTGGATTGTTGGAGTCCCTCGTAAATAATTTCCTTGGCTTGATCGACACCACAAAAGACTTGTTCGGACAATTCGTCGCTCCGCACGGCACCACTGAGCGCTTGAATGATTTTGGCCCGAAAGGCAAATTGATCGGCAGGAGTGGATTGAAAGACTTGCGAGAGCGTCTTGATGGCTCCCATTTCCAATAACTCTTTTTGAATCGGTGGATTGTTGGACGCCATGGTGGCCAAGACACCCAGACAACTGGTTTGAATGGATCGTGGTACTTCCGGCTGTGCCACGGCTCCCAAGAGAAAATCCAATCCCTTCATGGCCGCAAAGGCTCGTGCATAGTCAATTTGTTCCACAATATCTCGTAATTCTTGCAGCAAGTCTTGCATGTCAATGTCATCATCCACTTGTGCTTCTTCTTTCTGTTGTCGAATGTCTTCCAGCCCGGTCGTGACTTGTTGCAGAATTTCCTTCATGCGTTCATTTTCGTCAATAATGCCCTCTTTCATGACTTTTTCCAAAAAGGCCTTGTCTTCTTCCGACATGGGAGAGTGAGAGGACGGAGTAGTTCCGTCTTGATAGGCCAAGCTCCATTTCAACAATCCCAACCACCCCCAAGGTGTATTGCCGCCGCCTTCCGTGTTGCTCATGGTATTTCTTATTTTGTTTTGATTCCTGTCTACGAAGCTGTTTGGTTTGCTTTGTGGGATCCTTTGTGGTTGACTGAGCGAGACGAAAGACGATGGGACTAGTGGGTTTGAGGAGCTCGAGAAACAAAAGTTCCAAGAGCTTCGAAAATACCGCGACTAAAACAGTCGTGAGAAGCAAGCAAGACTATGACGTCATACCGGAATGCTGACTCAGTGTCATTATTTTTCTTTCGACCAAGACACCGACCTCTTTTGGTGATGATGGGGTGATGGAGAGGTCCAACAAAGCCATCGTTCTTTTCTTCTTCATGATGTGGGGAAGGGGATGTCATTTCACAACACATCGACTTACCCAGAACACTTGAGGCAGAAGCTGAGCCACGGACTCGACTCGTCTCCCCCTTGCTGCCGCTGAATGCCGAAGTCAAACCAAAACGAAAACAACAGCAAGGCTGGATTCACTGCCCGGTGCCACCGTCATTTCTCTGCGACTGCTCTGTGGACTGGCATGCTACTGCTTCTATCTCGCTCTACCGTCCGTGGGTTGTCTAGTACTAGTAGACGCATTCCTCGTTTGTCGCGAACTGCCCTCGCTGTCACCAACGGTTGTGATCGATTCTTTGCCAATTATCCTAGGGTTAGCGGACAACAACAACAACAACAACAACAACAGCAACAACAACAACAACAACCCATCATGACGGATGCTATGAATGGCATGAACGAGCAACAACAACAACAAGAATTGCCCGTCGAAATGACTCCCGATCAACGATATCTGTTTGATCTCAATGGATATATTGTGGTCCGAGGTGTGCTATCACCAGACGAAGTGGCCCAGGCCAATGCGGCCATTGACCGCCGACAAGACCAAATGATTCAACGATCCGGAGGGGCCTTGCGCAATGCCAAGGCAGGTACCAAAATGTACGGGACCGGACCAGGACGAAAAGATTTGGGAGGCGTCCTGGAATGGGGTCCCCAAGAATCGAGAGTGTTTCAATCCATCCTGGCACATCCCAAACTCGTCCCCTTGTTTCACGGGATTCTCGGCAAGGGATATCGCATGGATCATTTGCCGTTTGTATTGGCACAAGATCATGGAGCCGAAGGATTCCAGTTGCACGGTGGCACCGTGGACTGCTCCTCGGGAGAATACAATCCACATTTGGCGTACACATGGTAAGTTTACAATTCAAGACAGTGCAACAGAATGCATGGTCTTGCTGCTGCTTTTAGGATACTGTACAACTCAACCTTCTCTTTTCTGTCTTGACTTTGTAGCATGCATGGGACCATCCGATCGTCTTTGTTGGGCTGCAATGTAATGCTCGCTGACCACAATCACGGCGATGGTGGATTCTGCGTTGTTCCTGGTTCACACAAGAGCAATTTTAAAATGCCAGAGGGAATGGTCGATGGCGAAAGGTACGCAGAGTTTATTCAACAACCCGCCACCAAAGCAGGAGATGTGGTACTCTTTTCGGAAGGAACCGTCCATGGAGCGTTACCATGGACCTGTCAAGAACGACAACGACGAGCCTGTTTGTATCGATTTGCACCGGCTACCATGAGTTATGGACGGTCGTATTTTGGGCATGAAGGAGGCGGATGGCCCGTTGCCATGTACAAAGGTCTGACCGATGCGGAAAAGGCTGTCCTGGAGCCTCCTTATGCCAACCGATTGGATCGTCCCAATATAGTAGAGTCAGATGGATCTGTGGAAATTACCAGAAGGAGTGCTGCTAAACGACAACACGATCAAGACGTGTTTGGAACCAAATACTTTTGAGAAAACTATAAGGACTGTAACAAAAGAAAAATTATTGCGAAGCAGAGCTACGACAGTGTCAACATGATCCTCTCTTTCATTGTAGTGGCAAGGTCAAAGGGCTTCGCTTGCGTGGCTGCCATTATCTTGTGGCTAGCTAGACAATGGAATTTATAGCTACGGGTACCGCGGAGTTAGACAGATAAAAGTACTTGGAAGACCTCAGATATGGGGAGCCTTTCTACGTGGGATATGCTTTGTTTACAAGTCTACATCATTGAATGATGTTTGGGCACTTTTGCCCTGCCACTGGTCCGCCCAGATCTCGCCGAGCCCAGCCCTGACTTTTGCCTCTCTTATCTTGGCCTTCTGCCACCTTTCGTCTACTAGCTAGCTAGCTGCAAATGATTCGATTCGATTCATGCCCTCTTACCAGTAGCCTTGTCAAAAAGCACCTCGCCTTCGCTCCGAGGAGAAAGGCAGATGGTCCTCCCGGAGTTAATCCGGCTTGCTGGCTTATTAGGAGCACACAGTTATAATAAGCATCAAATTTTCTTACCCAACGCCCTTTGAAAGTTCCGAAAGATCAGAAACACAACAAAAGGCAATGGCCGGAATGGACGCAGATAAGAAGGAACAATCAAGTGGGGGAATGGAAAGAAGAAGTATTATTGCCGAAGAGACAGAGCTCCTCTGCCGTCAGAGGGTATCATGACCAAACTTGTCATTGCACAACCAATTCTGCCGTCAAGTGCCAAGTGGCACAGCTTCAAAGTAAAGAGGATGACATTGGGTGTGGTATTGATATTAGCCACATGCGGAACATTGGTTCATGGCGTCGTTCCTTGTATGGAAGCATTTGATAAGGCCGACGCCAACGCGGACCACAAACTCGACAGAGATGAATATGTAAATTTTCTTGCTACGCTGCAGGGAGACCCCTTTAGCAATGATCGATTCGAAGACTTGCTACACTCCCTCCAGGAAAACTACGATCAGTATTTACTGGTTTTGTCAAACATACAAGGTTTGCATCTGAAGCAAGATGGCCAATCCGTTCCTTCTGGATTGAACGACGTGGTAGAGGAGTTCTGCTTGAAGATCATGCTTTCAAATGGCATTCAAGCAGCAAGAAACCAAGCACGATCATTTAGACCAACAACCGCTCAAGAGCCTAAAACCTTAGCTTTCTTGGATACCTCCCTTACTAGTGCAAGCGAAAGGCAGCTCGGGGATGCTAGGCGCATGTTGGAGGAAGCATCCGATACTCCTAGAAGAACATTGCGCAACCAGGAGAACATCTTCGGCCCAGCGATGCGGAAATATACAGCAGTTGGTGCTCGGTCGGAACAAGCTATTTTAAGGCAAGATGATGTTGTCGACCCCAAGAAAAACGCAGGAATACCTCGAATACCACCCAGCATCTCAAATGGTCCACCTGTGGCTACCGGTACTGCAGCTGTGTCGCGTTCCAACAGCCAATCTACTGGGATCTCTTTACAGAGTTCCAGCAGCCCATCCCACGGCCCTTCCAATCAACCATCTGAAATGCTTTCTATCATCAAGCCTTCAAATGTTCCCTCTGCTCAAATCATTTCTCCATCTTGCAGTCCCTCGCATTCAAACAGCCCAAGTAGTGCACATGACGATATATCTGGCGGCCACCCACAAATTCCGCTGAACAGGCAAGGAGAAAGTTCTCTTCCATCATCTAGTTCAAGACCAAGTGATTATTTGAGTCCACTCAGCAGCAATAATCCAACTCAAAGCGGTGTGCCAAGCTCTAGCCTGTATCCAAGTCAAAGTCCAACCAAGAGTCAAGAACCAAGTGATCATGATTCATTGCTTTTGAGAATCCAAGGCTCCACAGCAAAGCCATCTGATCGCAAGAACTCAATAGCTCCATCCTCTAATCCCAGTGCCAGCTACTATCCCACTCCAACATTGAATCAAAGTGTTCTTCCTAGTCCAACTCAGTCCACTACCAACAAATTTTCAATCAGCCAAAAACCATCATCAAGAAATGTCTATCCCACCACTTCCATCATCCCAAGCTTGGGGCCCAGCTCAAGTCCTTCCAAGGGCATGACCCCTCCAAGCCTTGGTCCTTCTTTGATACCAAGTCAAGTCAAAGACCTTGTGCCAAGTGTTGGCTCTTTGTCTGGTTCAAAGGGAACTGCTCCCAGCATCAGAATGAATGTAATGCCTGTGCAGTATCCTGCCACAAGCCAGATGCCAAGTCTATGGGAACAAGAGCTTCCTTTGCCCAGTTACAGTCCATCCCAGGACCCTAGCCACATATCTGTTAACAGAGCTGCCTCAAACAGACCAAGCCAGTCCTTCTATCCCACTGCTGGCTCCTCCACAACTGAGAGTGTCTATCCCACCACTTCCATCATCCCAAGCTTGGGGCCCAGCTCAAGTCCTTCCAAGAGCATGACCCCTCCAAGCCTTGGTCCTTCTTTGATGCCAAGTCAAGTCAAAGACCTTGTGCCAAGTGTTGGCTCTTTGTCTGGTTCAAAGGGAACTGCTCCCAGCATCAGAATGAATGTAATGCCTGTGCAGTATCCTACCACAAGTCAGATGCCAAGTCTACGGGAACAAGAGTTTCCTTTGCCCAGTTACAGTCCATCCCAGGGCCCTAGCCACATATCTGTTAACAGAGCTGCCTCAAACAGACCAAGCCAGTCCTTCTATCCCACTGCTGGCTCCTCCACAACTGAGAGTGTCTATCCCACCACTTCCATCATCCCAAGCTTGGGGCCCAGCTCAAGTCCTTCCAAGAGCATGACCCCTCCAAGCCTTGGTCCTTCTTTGATGCCAAGTCAAGTCAAAGACCTTGTGCCAAGTGTTGCTCTTTGTCTGGTTCAAAGGGAACTGCTCCCAGCATCAGAATGAATGTAATGCCTGTGCAGTATCCTACCACAAGTCAGATGCCAAGTCTACGGGAACAAGAGTTTCCTTTGCCCAGTTACAGTCCATCCCAGGGCCTAGCCACATATCTGTTAACAGAGCTGCCTCAAACAGACCAAGCCAGTCCTTCTATCCCACTGCTGGCTCCTCCACAACTGAGAGTGTCTATCCCACCACTTCCATCATCCCAAGCTTGGGGCCCAGCTCAAGTCCTTCCAAGAGCATGACCCCTCCAAGCCTTGGTCCTTCTTTGATGCCAAGTCAAGTCAAAGACCTTGTGCCAAGTGTTGGCTCTTTGTCTGGTTCAAAGGGAACTGCTCCCAGCATCAGAATGAATGTAATGCCTGTGCAGTATCCTACCACAAGTCAGATGCCAAGTCTACGGGAACAAGAGTTTCCTTTGCCCAGTTACAGTCCATCCCAGGGCCCTAGCCACATATCTGTTAACAGAGCTGCCTCAAACAGACCAAGCCAGTCCTTCTATCCCACTGCTGGTTCCTCCACAACTGAGAGTGCCTATCCCACCACAACCATCATGCCAAGTTCGGGGCCCAGCTCAAGTCCTTCCAAGGGCATGCCCCTCCAAGCATTGGTCCTTCTTCGATGCCAAGTCAAGTCAAAGACCTTGTGCCAAGTGTTGGCTCTTTGTCTGGTTCAAAGGGAACCGCTCCCAGCATCAGAATTAATGTAATGCCTGTGCAGTATCCTACCTCCAGTCATTTGTCGAATGCAATGGGTCCAGCATCATCAGTACAAAACATTTTCTCAAGTGACAACACTTTTTCAGTGCAAGTAAATTTGCATCTGCCAAATTCCAATCCTGAAATGGCTTTTGACCCAACAGAAAGTCCATATCCTTCCGATACTCTGATAGCAAGCACCTTTGAGCCAACTGAAACACCAATCCCCACAAGTTGGCCATCTACAAATCCTTCCTTCACTTCCACTTTCAAGCCATCTTCAGGCATCCCATCATCAAGTCCTTCAGTAGATCCATTTGAGCTTCCATCTCAAAATCCATCTGCTGTTCCATCTCAAAGGCCATCTGCAGTTCCATCTCGAACGCCATCTTCAGTTCCGTCTCAAAGTCTCTCTGCAGTTCCATCTCGTAGTCCTGTCAACCTACAAGACAGTCAAACCTTCATTCAGCATGATGCTAATGTCAGTCCTACCACTGCACCCCCTTCAAGTAGACCAAGCAAAAAATTGATCACCATCAAAGCAAAGCCTTCAAGTGCCCCTTCTGGAAGCTTCTTGTCCATGAATCCTTCCTTCGCTCCATCCCAGGAGCCTTCCACAAATCCTACCACTGGATCGCCTTCAGTTGGCCCATCTCAAAATCCTTCTCTCCTTCCATCTCAAAATCCATCTGCGGTTCCATCTCAAAATCCATCAGCGGTTCCGTCTCAAGATCCATCTGCAGTTCCGTCTCGAACGCCTTCTTCGGTTCCGTCTCAAAATCCATCGGCAGAGCCATCGCAAACGCCATCTGCAGCTCCGTCTCAAAATCCATCTGCAGAGCCATCCCAAAAGCCATCTACAGCTCCGTCTCAGAATCCATCTGCAGTGCGATCTCCATGGCCATCTGTACTTCCGTCTCATAGGCCTTCCAACAAACCTACTATCAAACCACAAGAAATTCAAATCTTTATCCCACATTCCATTGATGTCAGTCCTATGACTGTGTCTCCTTCAAAAAGGTCATCAAGCAAAAAAGTGATACGTATCGAAGCAAATCCTTCAAGTGCAACTACTTATGGAAGAATCCCGAGATCTTCCTTGACTCCATCACAGGAGCGCACCACAACTCCAACAACTGGATCTCCTTCAGTTGGCCCATCTCAAAATACTTCGCCAGTTCCATCTCGACACCCATCACATCTTCCATCTCCAGAACCATCTCAAAACCCTTCCCAAGAACCATCTATGGGGCCATCTCAAGGTCCATCTATGGTGCCATCTCGAGGCCCTTCAGCTGCAGTATCTATTCATCCGTCTGCAAGCCCTTCTAGTGATCTTGCTGCAATGTCATCTGAAGCAATACGCAGTCCATCAAGATTTCCAAATGAAAGTGCTAGTCCAACAACAAAATCTTCTTCACAACACCCATCGCCAAGGTTGTCCATGCTCCTATCTCATGCACCATCTGCAATTCCTACAAAGAGAAGTCCATCAAGTAGCCCAGTGGGCGTCCCTTCCAGCAACCCAACCAGTGCCCATTCCAGTTTTCCCGCTTGGAGCCCATCACAAAACCCATCTGCACTTCCATCTCAAAATCCATCGGTCAGCCCTTCCATCAAACCTACTGCCAACGCACAAGATGTTCAGTCATTTATTACACATTCTATCAATGCCAGTCCAGTTTCTGCGTCTCATTTAAATGTGCCATCAAAAGGGGGAAGGATACCTGCAAATCCACCGAGTACGTCCTCTGAAAGCATCCCTTCCATGAGCCCTTCTTCCACGCTATCACAGGAACCTACCAACAATCCATCAACTGGATCTCCTTCAGTAGGTCCTCTTCCATCTCAGCAACCTTCTCCTTTTCCATCTCAGCATCCATCACCTGTTCCATCTCAGCATCCATTGGCACTTCCGTCTGCAATTCCAACTCAAAATGCATCTGCAGTTCTGAGTTCGCAAACCACAGTTCAAGGTTCAAACGAGAATATCAAGATTTCTGAAGCCACTAGCAATCAAACAGGGCAACAGAACATGTCAACACATATGCCATCTCCCACACCAACAGCTGTTCAATCAAGCAATGTGGTTCGTGTGTTTAACTCTTTTGTAGTCGCAAACACCATTGGACTGACAAGTCTGGAGCTGTTGTCAAGTCCCCAAATCACAGTGCTTACTACTGCCTATGTTGAATTTGCTACTGAAGTGTTGGCCAACTGGACTGCAAATCAAAATCTGGTCCATCCTCAAAATCGCAGACATCTTGTGGTTTTGTTATCCCAAGGGAAAATCCTCAAGGTAATGGATTCCCCATGTCCCCAAACGGTGTCCCAAACAACTCTCTGCCAACAGGTGTTTGCCTACACTGATCTCTATATCTCTGATGAAAACCCAACAATGGTCTACAAACGGTTTGTCAAGACATCTCGGCTTGCAATCAACAGTGGCGAACTACAATTGAAACTTGCGGAGATTGACCCGATGTCATCTATGGTCATACTGGGAGCGCCTCAGTCACAAACAGAAAAAGCTATAACAACAATACCTGAGGCCCAGCGAAATAGGGTGCCAATGGATACCAAGGGAACAATGGAGTTGAACGAAGAACACAATATTGTAACAATTTGCTTGATCCTAGCCGGTGCAATCCTTGCAGCAGCATTTTTGGTCTTGGTTTTACTGGTAGCCATAAAGCGAAGAATTGTGTCAAGGGAGAAGGGAAAGCTACATGGACAAAGTGAAGGCAACGACCATAATGATGATGATGACGATGACGACGGCATGAGCAAAATCTCAGGAACCTCCGATACATCCAAATCATCAAAGATGTCTGAACTCCAAAGTGTGGAATCAAACATCTCTGTTTTGGAAGCATCAACATGTTGCACAATTGAGGACGAAACCCACTTGGTTGTTTGCAAAGCTGCAAGGAGTGCTGATGCGTTGTTGGCAGCCAATGGAGGTGAGAATGAGTCAATCTCGGACAAGTTCCAGCCAAAGACCAAGGAATCTGTTGTATCGAATATTGCGGGTAGTCGAAGAAGAAGTACAAAAACAAACTGCCTGCCACCAACACAGAGAAGTCTTAGAAGACAGTTGTTCGAAGAACTCGCTCAGAAACTTGCAGTCAGAAATGTAGGTGCGAAAAGAGCCTCTCCTACACAAGAAAAGTATGTCAGAGGCAGATCTATTGCTTCCGGGACTGGACAACCAAATCCTTCTTTGTCTTTGGCCATGCACGATGCTTCAACTGAATCAAATGACGTGACTGTCAACAGCTCCATTACGGTGGACTCGTTGTTTGAGCCTGCGGCAAGCAAGAAAGACTATTCTCATGCCCAACCAGCATTGTCACGAGAGCATTCCTGTCCACCAATCAGTTCATGGTTGGACCAACAGCCGCATTCTACCCCAACCATAGGCACAATTCTGCGGACGGAAACTCCTGCAAGACATTGTGGCATAGACTATGTGTGGGAGCAAGCAAATACACTAGATATGACTCGCAGCCTGGGAACCAGCGTAGAAGAATGTCTTCGTGCATTGAACCCTTCCCAGGTCAACCAAGCTTGGCCGCCCACTGCACCAACTAGCAGACTCTTGGAACCTGACGCTGGGACCATCAACAGCCCGATTGGTGTGGATTATTTGTCGGAGCCAAGCGTGGTAGAAAGTGGGATCAGAACACGCTCGAGTTGGATTCAGAATGGTGCTCAGTGGGTACAAGTAACACATGCAGAGGACTTGGATGACAGCAACAGCAAAAAGTCATCAGATTATGACAGTGATGAGACAGAGGAGGTGCCGAAAACAAGTTGGACGCAGAGGGGATCACAGTGGGTCCAACTTTGGGGGGAACACAATGATCACCATCCCAGCAGAATGGAGAAATCAAAATCAGACCCTGACAGTGGGGGGGTGTACAGCCAAAGGGATGTAGTGGTTGGGGAGCGAATGGGATGTGCTTTTTATAATGACCAAACCAACAATGCAGGTTATGGTGATTCTGAGCACAACGAGGAAAGTTACATCACCCAACATGAAGGCTCTCCCTATGGTCAGTGTCCTGGTCATAGCTTCTGGGATGAACCTCCCTGGGATGCGCAACATGATTGATAGCTAGTAACAAAGCCATCATAGCCATCAAACTGATGTGTTGATTCCTGAGAACTCCCACCTACTAGACTAGTTGTTACTAGTAGCTTTCATGAAGGCTCCGGTTCCTATTCAATATCCGTTTCTATTTTTGCCTCAGGCAGAGTCTCCAGCTCAAACTTTTTAAAAAAGCCCATCTTCCACCTCATGCTCTTGCTCTTATGTTGATTTGATCATCGTGCGCGCCTGCCACTTCGTCAATATCTGAGTTGCCATCAGAACTATGAGAGTCATAAGTAGAGAATACATGTAGTCATCACAGTCCAAATCGGAAGAATCAACTTCAGATCAAGCTCATCTAGCTAGCTTGAGACAGTATGATTCCTCTCTGGTTCCAGCCTTGATTCCTTATCTGCATTGGCATGGATATGGATACTCTGTAGGTGGGCCAAGTGCGGAATAGAATCTCTTACTTTGGTGACATGTAACATCAAGTGAGTGGTTGTTGAAATTTGGTCAAGCAAGTTATTCGGGATCTGTAGGAGAGAATCAAAAATTTGGTTGACCATGGGATCCTCTTCTATCGTATAAATCGAGATGAAGCAGATTCAGTAAGACAACATCTTTGTGGGACATGGGACTCACCTTTGCCACAGCCGTAGTGAAACTAGCTAGCTAGAAAGCACTATCGGTACATGGGCCTTGTCTCTGAATCGAATCCGCTCTACTCAGCGTCCACATTGAACAATACGTGTAGACTACTGTGTCTGCGCATTCGAACCGCTAATAGTGATTAAATAAATGAAACACGGAATCTATTGGGAATACTAGTACTGCTGCGATTGTTGCTTATCCAACACTATGGCTTCTCTTGTCTGCCCGGCGAAGTATCTTTATTATCATCGTCTTCTTCGGATTCGTCGCTTTCGCAATCCGACTCCCACTCTTCGTCGTCTTCACCGTCTTCGACGACGTCTTCTGTGACAAAATCGCGTATCCAGTCTGAACCTCGCTTGATCCAAGACTTGTTCTTTTCGTCTTCTTCAGTTTCATCGCTGTCACTCTCATATTCCGAGTCGGACTCGTCCGATTCTGATTCCTGCTGATTGTGTTGCACCCAAGACCCATCAGGATTTTGCGTCCACACAGTGTTGGGTCTTGCGTATTCGTCATCATCGTCTTCTTCCTCAAAGTCGTCACCTTCGTCCCCAGTGAATTCCTCTTCGATTTCTCGTTGCCCTCGTTGCTCCATTGTAGTTTGCGGTTCTATTCCTTCTTCTTCCGCGACAAAGTCTGCCTCGTCATCTTCTTCGTTGTCCGTGAATTCATCTTCTGAATCAAACTCGTCCTCTTCTGCCACAATGGCCTCGGTAGGAATTGCACCGCCCATGGCAGCCGGTAATGACTCGGACTGTTGTGCATCTCCAAGGACGTCCTTTGATGCGTCGTCCTCCTGGATTTGCACACCAATCACCAAGGATTCATCAGTTTCATCGCCTTGCTCGATTGTGTCCTGGGTTTTATCATCCAACGTGGCACTTGCCACAGCTGCGCTTACTGCAGTTGTGGCGCCTATCTCAGCAACGTCACCTCCTGCATCCTCCATGCCTTCGCTTAGTACACGTTCTGCCATGTCATCGTTTGTAACTTGATCTTGTTCGTTCGTACATGTTTCCAAGTTTTCCAAATCATGTTGCCTTTCATGGACCTCCTGCACCTCCTGGCTGGATGCATCCATGCTAGTAGTTTCTGCTTTGACTGCGGGCGGATCCTGACTGACTCCGTCCTGGACAATAATGGTAGTTTCAGCTTCACCCACAGGTGTCTCTTGACTGGATGCATCCATGCTAGAAGTTTCAGCTTCAATTTCAGGGGCGTCCTGACTGACTTTGTCTTGGTCAATAACCGCTTCGACCGCAGGCACCTCTTGACGGGGCGTGTCCTGTTCAATGCTCGTAGTTTCAGCTTTGACATCTGGCGTCTCCTGGCCAATACTAACAGTTTCAGTTTCTGCCTCTGGCACCTCCTGGCGGGCGGTATCCTGTTCAAAACTTGTACTCCCAGCTTCGGCATCCGGCGCCTCTTGACCAATAATTATACTCCCAGCTTCGGCATCTGACGCCCCTCCACTGGCTGTATCCTGGTGAATGCTAGTAGTTGCAGCATCAACATATGATTCCTCTTTACTGGCTGCGCTCTGGTCGATGATAGTAGTTTCGGCTTCGTCCTCTGGCGCATCTTGACTGGCTGCATCCTGGTCAATGCTAGCAGCTTCCACATCTGATGCTTCTTCTTGACTGGCTGTGTCCTGGTCTATGATAGTAGTCGCAGCTTGGACATCTGACTCCTCTTGACTGGCTGTGTCCTGCTCAATGCCAGCAGAATTTTCCAAACTCTCATTCAGTGGCGCTCCTGAATCTACAGTCAAGCTCTCCTCCTCTGAGGGCTCTTCACTGTCTCCCTCCACTTCGCCACAGAAAGGCACTTTTCCAACACTTCCATCCTTTGAGTCTGCAAATGCATCTTGTTCATTCGTAGATGCTAACATCATCCCTGTACCTGTCATGTCATCTTCCGCTTCGACTGATGATGATTCCTCATGACCACGAGCTTGATCTACCTCTTCAGCCTCACTTTCAGCCTGCACGTGGTCGTCTGGTGTGTCCTCGAGTTGTGCCTCTTGACCTCTTTCTTCAATTTCATCACCTGAAATGGCTTCCAATTCATTTCTCTCTTTTTCTGGTGTTTGCCGGGGAACGAACGACGCTGCGTCCTCTATGTCCCTATTAGTCTCAGCAACTATATCTTCACCATCAGACCAAGAGCTCTCGTCGTCGTCGTCATAGTCCTCATCCTCACCAAGGGCCTCATTGGGATCATAATCAGCAACATTCTCCATGTTTTGCAGTGTCAAGATCAATTCTTCTTCGCGAGATTTGAATTGCTTCAGCAACGCGCCAACATTCTCTTCCTGATCTGGACAGTTCTTCTGAAGGAGCGCCAGGACTTCTTCATAGTACTCGTTATCTTGTATGTCCTTTTCTTCGTGACCGTCTATTCCACGGTGTGTCTCCATCTCGGTTGATGAGAAATCCTCCGACTTCTGCTTGCTTTTATTCGGCTTCTTCCTTTCCTTGTTCGGTACGATCGTAGACACAGCAATAATAATCACTAAGACAGCTGCACACCCCGCTGCAATGAGAATGATACCAAGCAGCCCAATTCCGTTACTACTCTCATTAGTAGTTTGCAAGCTGGGATCCACAATGGCTCGGCTTGACACTGACGATAATGCTGCCTCCGGATCTGAGGGTCGTTCAACAAAGAAAGCTGATCCAGCGTCCACTTTTTCCAGCTTCCTCTGAAGTCTTCCCTCCTCAATGGCAGCTTGTGTCGCATTCACATATGCAGCATATACTTCATTTGCATCTTCCCCTGGAGGAACATGGAGGTTGAAGCGACCATGCACTTTGTGGCATGTTGACTTCTCCACAGCGGAAGGCGGGCATGGCGTATCGGTAACCTTGTAAACTAGAGCCGACGATGGATCATAGGAAACCAACCGCCGTCGTTGCTCCGAGAGTTTCAGCCTTCTCCTATTAGTTGTCAACTCCGCCACCACTTCATTGACGAACTGTACATACGCATTGTGGAGACCTTGTCTGTCAGGCCCGCTGGTCAACATACCGGTAGTCAAACCAATTGAATTGGAAACATCCCACGCATTGTAGGCCTTCACAACCTGAGTGTTCATTGCTGTTGGTGAGAGCGTTGGTTTGGGGGTTGATGTGGGAGCTGGTGTTGTTGGAGGAGGCGAAGAAGGCTTGGCCGTCTGGGGGGTGGTTGGGCTATTTGTGGTTGGAGTCGGGTTGGAAGGATTGCCAGTCTGAAGGGCAGGGCTGCTCGCTGTGGCGGGCGCAGTACTCGTTTGTGTGGGGCGTGGGGACACCAAACTCGTGGGGCTAGATGTAGAACCACCCTTCAGCAAGTGAGTAGGCTGGTAAGTGCCAGAGCCTCCTGTAGGACTGGATGTCAGTGGACCTGCAGCAGTTGGGAGCATGGTGTTTCCTGATGGAGCCAATGTGGTAGATGAAGCATTTGCAGTACTAGTAGATACAGTTGTTGTGGGGTTGCTTGTAGTTGGCGCTGCACTTGGGTTCCCTGGAGTCACAGTTGGAACAGCTGTGGTTGGTTGAGCAGTGGTGGGGCTTAATGAAGGAGCAGCTGAAGTTGGTGAGCACTTGGGTTCCTGGAATCACAGTTGGACAGCTGTGGTTGGCTGAGCAGTGGTGGGGCTCAATGAAGGAGCAGCTGAAGTTGGTGAAGCACTTGGGTTTCCTGGAGTCACAGTTGGAACAGTTGTGGTTGGCTGGGCACTGGTGGGGTTTAATGAAGGAGCGACTGTAGTTGGTGCTGCACTTGGGTTCCCTGGAGTCACAGTTGGAACAGCTGTGGTTGGCTGAGCACTGGTGGGGTTTGATGTAGGAGCGGCTGTAGTTGGCGCTGCACTTGGGTTCCCTGGAGTCACAGTGGAACAGCTGTGGTTGGCTAGCACTGGTGGGGTGATGGGGCGGTGTAGTTGGCGTGACTTGGCCTGGATCACAGTTGGAACAGTGTGGTTGGTGAGCAGTGGTGGGGCTCAATGAAGGAGTGGCGGAAGTTGGTGAAGCACTCGGGTTCCCTGGAGTCACAGTTGGAACAGCTGTGGTCGGCTTAGGACTGGTGGGGTTTGATGAAGGAGCGGCTGTAGTTGGCGCTGCACTGGGTTCCCTGGAGTACAGTTGGAACAGCTGTGGTTGGCTGAGCATGGTGGGGTTTGATGAAGGAGCGGCTGTAGTTGGGCTGCACTTGGTTTCCTGGAGTCACAGTTGGAACAGCTGTGGTTGGCTGCATGGTGGGGTTTGATGAAGGAGCGCCTGTAGTTGGCGCTGGACTTGGGTTTCCTGGAGTCACAGTTGGAACAGCTGTGGTTGGCTGAGCACTGGTGGGGCTCAATGAAGGAGCGCTGAAGTTGGCGCTGCACTTGGGTTCCCTGGAATCACAGTTGGGACAGCTGTGGTTGGCTGAGCAGTGGTGGGGCTCAATGAAGAGTGGCGGAAGTTGGTAAGGCACTTGGGTTTCCTGGAGTCACAGTTGGAACAGCTGTGGTTGGCTGCGCAGTGGTGGGGCTTAATGAAGGAGCAGCTGAAGTTGGTGATGCACTTGGGTTTCCTGGAGTCACAGTTGGAACAGTTGTGGTTGGCTGGGCACTGGTGGGGTTTAATGAAGGAGCGGCTGTAGTTGGTGCTGCACTTGGGTTCCCTGGAGTCACAGTTGGAACAGCTGTGGTTGGCTGAGCACTGGTGGGGCTCAATGAAGGGAGTGGCGGAAGTTGGTAAGGCACTTGGGTTTCCTGGAATCACAGTTGGGACAGCTGTGGTTGGCTGAGCAGTGGTGGGGCTCAATGAAGGAGTGGCGGAAGTTGGTATGGCACTTGGGTTTCCTGGAATCACAGTTGGGACAGCTGTGGTTGGCTGCGATGTCACAGGACTTGAGGAAGGAGTAGAGGTAGTTGGTACTGCACTTGGATTTCCAGGAGTGACTGTAGGGTTGGAGGTGGTTGGCTCGGCCGTGGTTGGGTTCACAGTTGGAACGGCCCCTACACCTCTTGGTGCAGTTGGTTGTGCACTTGGGCTTCCAGGGTTGATAGTTGGTGTGTTTGTTGTTGGGTTTGCCGTTGTTGGTTGGACTGTAGATGGACTTGCTGTGGTGGGCTTGGTTGTACTGGGTGCAACAGTTGTTGGACTTGCTGTTGTGGGACTTGCACTTGGACTTCCAGGCTTCACAGTGGGCTTTCCTGTACTTGGTGTAGCTGTTGTGGGATTTGCGGTCGTTGGAGCCATGGTGCTGGGCTTCAGCGTTGATGGGGCAGCTGTGGTAGGCTTTGCGGTTGACGGGGCAGCTGTGGTAGGCTTTGCTGTTGATGGGGAAGCCGTGGTAGGTTTTGTTGTTGATGGGCTTGCTGTAGTTGGCTTTGCTGGTTGATGGACTGGCTGTGGGCTTTGCAGTTGATGGGCTTGCTGTGGTGGGCTTTGCGTTGATGGGCTGCTGTGGTGGGGCTTTGCGGTGGGGACTTGCTGTGGTGGGCTTTGCGGTTGTGGGACTTGCTGTGGTGGGCTTGGCAGTGGTCGGTACAAGTGTAGTTGGTGTGGCGGTTGTGGGGCTTGAGCTTGGACTTCCTGGCTTAACTGTAGGTGTCCCTGTGGTTGGTTGGGTCGTTGTTGGAGTTGCAGTAGTTGGCTGCGACGTTGTTGGACGCAGAGTAGTTGGTGTTGCCGTGGTTGGCCCAACAGTGCTGGGTGTTGCAGTTGTTGGTTGTGCTGTAGTTGGAGTTGCAGTAGTTGGTTGCACTGTACTGGGTCTTGCTGTAGTTGGTTGCGCTGTGGTGGGTGCAAAAGTAGTTGGTCGGGTTGTTGTGGGTTGAAGTGTTGTTGGAGCAGCACTTGGACTTCCCAGAGTAACAGTAGGCGCTGCTGTTGAAGGGGCCAAAGTGGTGGGCCTTAACGTGGACGGTGCAGCAGTTGTTGGCTTCAGCGTTGAAGGTGCATTGGAAGCTGGCGTTGTTGTGATAGGGGTGATTGTGCTATCTCTATTGCCTGAAGTGGGGTTGGCATTGCTGGGACTCAAGGTCGTGGGGCTGGCACTTGGATTACCCGCCTTGACAGTGGGTCCAGTTGTGGATGGCATTCCTGTGGTTGGGTTCCCCCTATTAATAGTTGGATTGGCAGTGCTGGGGGTCAGGGTTGTGGGAGTAGCACTGGGCTTTCCCGCCTCCACAGTTGGAACTGCCGTTGTGGGTACACTTGTGGTCGGTGGCCCCAGCTGTGGATTCGTAGTGGTGGGGCTCAAGGTTGTTGGGCTGCCACTTGGATTCCCCGCCTCAACCGTGGGTCCGGCTGTGGTTGGTGTTTCCATGTTTGGTGATCCCTGTGTGGGCGTGCTTGTGGTCGGTGGTCCCTGCGAAGCATTCCCATTGGGTCCGGGGGTGGCCTTCGGTGCACCGGAACTTGGAGACTGGACAGTGGGTGAGCTCCAGCATTGGGAGAAGCCGATGAGTCGCTTGCCACAGTCGGAGATGTGGGAACCCCCGTTGGACTTGGTGGGTCCTGGGGTGGCCTTCGGCGCATACCGGAACTTGGAGACTGGATCAGTGGGTGAGCCAGCATTTGGAGAACCGGGTCCTGCCACGAGTCGGGAGGCTGTGGGAACCCCCTTTGGGTAGTGGGCGAATTGAGCGATTGGGTCCCGGGGTGGCCTTCGGCGTACCGAACTTGGAGACTGGACATGGGTGAGCCAGCAGTTGGGGGAACCGTGTCCTGCCACAGTGGAGATGTGGGAACCCCGGTTGGGGTACTGGGGCAATTCGCATTGGGTCCGGGTGTGGTGTTCGGCCCGGGTGTAGCCGAACTTGGAGACTGGACACTGGGTGAGCCAGCATTGGGAGAATCGGGTCCTGCCACAGTCGGAGAAGTGGGAACCGTCCGGTTTGTGGGTGTAAGGGCTGTGGCGGGCCGGGGCGTGGAACACTGTCGGCCCGTACGCTGGCGGAGTGCGGGAGCCGGCCGGTTAGGGGCGGCGGTTCTGGAGGGTCCTGGTGGGTTTCGGCGTGTACGAACTTGGAGACTGGACAGTGGGTGAGCCAGCATTGGAGAACCGGGTCTTGCCACAGTCGGAGATGTGGGAACCCCCGGTTGGGTACGGGGCATTGGCGTTGGGTCCGGGGTGGCCTTCGGCGTACCGGAACTTGGAGACTGGACGTGGGTGAGGCCAGCATTGGGAGAACCGGTCCTGCCACAGTCGGAGATGTGGAACCCCCGGTTGGGGTACATGGCATTGGCGTTGGGTCCTGGGTTGGCCTTCGGCGTACCGGAACTTGGAGACTGGACAGTGGGGTGAGCCAGCATTGGGAGAACCGGGTCCTGCCACAGTCGGAGATGTGGGAACCCCCCTGGTCGGGATTGCTTGGGTCCTGGGGTGCCTTCGGCGTACCGGAATTGGAGACTGGACAGTGGGTGAGCCAGCGTTGGGAGAACGGGTCCTGCCACAGTCGGAGATGTGGGAACCCCGGTGGCATTGGCATTGGGTCCTGGGGTGCTTCGGCGACGGAACTTGGAGACTGGACAGTGGGTGAGCCAGCATTTGGAGAACCGGGTCCTGCCACAGTCGGAGAGTGGGAACCCCCGGTTGGACATGTGATTGGGTCCTGGGGTGGCCTTCGGCGTACCGGAACTTGGAGACTGGACAGTGGGTGAGCCAGCATTGGGAGACCGGGTCCTGCCACAGTCGGAGAGTGGGAACCCCCGTTGGACATTGGCATTCGGGTCCTGGGGTGGCCTTCGGCGTACCGGAACTTGGAGACTGGACATGGGTGAGCCAGCATTGGAGAACCGGGTCCTGCCACAGTGGAGATGTGGGAACCCCGGTTGGACATTGGCATTGGGTCCTGGGGTGGCCTTCGGCGTACCGAACTTGGAGACTGGACAGTGGGTGAGCCAGCATTGGGAGACCGTCCTGCCACAGTGGAGATGTGGGAACCCCCGGTTGGGTACGGGGCATTGGGTTGGGTCCGGGGGTGGCCTTCGGCGTACCGGAACTTGGAGACTGGACAGTGGGTGAGCCAGCATTGGGAGAACCGGGTCCTGCACAGTCGGAGATGTGGGAACCCCGGTTGGGTACAGGGGATTGGCGTTGGGTCCGGGGTGGCCTTCGGCGTACCGAACTTGGAGACTGGACAGGGGGTGAGCCAGCATTGGGAGAACCGGGTCCTGCCACAGTCGGAGATGTGGGACCCCCGGTTGGACATTGGCATTGGGTCCTGGGGTGGCCTTCGGCGTACCGAACTTGGAGACTGGACAGTGGGTGAGCCAGCATTTGGAGAACCGGGTCCTGCCACAGTCGGAGATGTGGGAACCCCCGGTTGGGGTACAGTGGGTCATTGGCGTTGGGTCCTGGGGTGGCCTTCGGCGTACCGGAACTTGGAGACTGGACAGTGGGTGAGCCAGCATTGGGAGAACCGGGTCCTGCCACAGTGGAGATGTGGGAACCCCCGGTTGGACATTGGTGTTGGGTCCGGGGTGGCCTTTCGGCGTACCGGAACTTGGAGATGGACAGTGGGTGAGCCAGCATTGGGAGAACCGGGTCCGCCACAGTCGGAGATGTGGGAACCCCCGGTTGGACATTGGCGTTGGGTCCTGGGGTGGCCTTCGGCGTACCGGAACTTGGAGACTGGACAGTGGGTGAGCCAGCATTGGGAGAACGGGTCCTGCCACAGTCGGAGATGTGGGAACCCCCGTTGGGGTACAGGGGCATTGGCTTGGGTCCTGGGGTGGCCTTCGGCGTACCGAACTTGGAGACTGGACAGTGGGTGAGCCAGCATTGGAGAACCGGGTCCTGCCACAGTCGGAGATGTGGAACCCCGGTTGGGTACATTTGGCGTTGGGTCCTGGGTGGCTTCGGCGTACCGGAATTGGAGACTACAGTGGGTGAGCCAGCATTGGGAGAACGGGTCCTGCCACAGTCGGAGATGGGGGAACCCCGGTGGACATTGGCGTTGGGTCCTGGGGTGGCCTTCGGCGTACCGGAACTTGGAGACTGGACATGGGTGAGCCAGCATTGGGAGAACGGGTCCTGCCACAGTCGGAGATGTGGAACCCCCGGTTGGTACATTGGCATTGGGTCCGGGGTGGCCTTGGCGTACCGGAACTTGGAGACTGGACGTGGGTGAGCCAGCATTGGGAGAACCGGGTCCTGCCACAGTCGGAGATGTGGAACCCCCGGTTGGGTAAGGGCATTGCGTTGGGTCCTGGGGTGGCCTTCGGCGTACCGGAACTTGGAGACTGGACGTGGGTGAGCAGCATTGGGAGAACCGGGCTGCCACAGTCGGAGATGTGGAACCCCCGGTTGGACATTGGCGTTGGGTCCGGGGTGGCCTTCGGGGTACCGGAACTTGGAGACTGGACATGGGTGAGCCAGCTTGGGAGAACCGGGTCCTGCACAGTGGAGATGTGGGAACCCCCGTTGGGGTACAGGGGCATTGGCGTTGGGTCCGGGGTGGCTTCGGCGTACCGGAACTTGGAGACTGGGCACGATGGTGAGCCAGCATTGGGAGAACCGGGTCCTGGCCACAGTCGGAGATGTGGGAAACCCCGGTTGGACATTGGGTTGGGTCCTGGGGTGGCCTTTCGGCGTACCGGAACTTGGAGCTGGACAGTGGGTGAGCCAGCATTGGGAGAACCGGGTCCTGCCACAGTCGGAGATGTGGGAACCCCCGGTTGGGACAGGCATTGGCGTTGGGTCTGGGGTGGCCTTCGGCGTCCGGAACTTGGAGACTGGACAGTGGGTGAGCAGCATTGGGAGAACCGGGTCTGCCACAGTCGGAGATGTGGGAACCCCCGGTTGGGGTACAGGGCTTGGCGTTGGTCCTGGGGTGGCCTTCGGCGTACCGGAACTTGGAGACTGGACAGTGGGTGAGCCAGCATTGGGAGAACCGGGTCCTGCCACAGTCGGAGATGTGGGAACCCCCGGTTGGACATTGGCATTGGGTCCTGGGGTGGCCTTCGGCGTACCGGAACTTGGAGACTGGACAGTGGGTGAGCCAGCATTGGGAGAACCGGGTCCTGCCACAGTCGGAGATGTGGGAACCCCCGGTTGGACATTGGCATTGGGTCCTGGGGTGGCTTCGGCGTACCGAACTTGGAGACGGACAGTGGTGAGCCAGCATTGGGAGAACGGGTCCTGCCACAGTGGGAGAGGTGGGAACCCCCGGTTGGACATTGGTGTTGGGTCCTGGGGTGGCCTTCGGCGTACCGGAACTTGGAGACTGGACAGTGGGTGAGCCAGCATTGGGAGAACCGGGTCCTGCCACAGTCGGAGATGTGGGAACCCCCGGTTGGACATTGGGTTGGGTCCTGGGGTGGCCTTCGGCGTACCGGAACTTGGAGACTGGACAGGGGTGAGCCAGCATTGGGGAACCGGGTCCTGCCACAGTGGAGATGTGGGAACCCCGGTTGGGGTACAGGGGATTGGCGTTGGGTCCTGGGGTGGCCTTCGGCGTACCGGAACTTGGAGACTGACAGTGGGGAGCCAGCATTGGGAGACGGGTCCTGCCACAGTCGGAGAATGTGGGAACCCCCGGTTGGACATTGGCATTGGGTCCTGGGGTGGCCTTCGGCGTACCGGAACTTGGAGACTGGACAGTGGGTGAGCAGCATTGGGAGAACCGGGTCCTGCCACAGTCGGAGATGTGGGAACCCCGGTTGGGGTACAGGGGCATTGGCGTTGGGTCCTGGGGTGGCCTTCGGCGTACCGGAACTTGGAGACTGGACAGTGGGTGAGCCAGCATTGGGAGAACCGGGTCCTGCCACAGTCGGAGATGTGGGAACCCCGGTTGGACATTGGGTTGGGTCCTGGGGTGGCTTCGGCGTACCGGAACTTGGAGACTGGACACTGGGTGAGCCAGCGTTGGGAGAGCCTGCTCCTGCCACGGTTGGAGCTGTGGGACCCTCCTGTTGGGCTACTGGGGAATTCGCATTGGGTCCGGGTGTGGTGTTCGGCCCGGGTGTAGCCGAACTTGGAGACTGGACACTGGGTGAGCCAGCGTTGGGGGAACTTGCCACTGGTCCTGCCACGGACGGAGCAGAGGGACCATTTGCTGGAGAAGTTGGGTTGGTTGGGGTTGTAACAGGAGTCATATTAGTTGGACTGGATGGGCTTGTCGGTGTACTGGCCGCTGTTGGTGTATCCAGACGCCGACTGGCTAGGTGAGATTGCTTGGTGTGTAGTGTTTCCTTGTCCAAACGTTTCTGCATTTCCGTGTAAGTTGTCGTCATGATATTCTCTCGTGAAACATGAATGGCTTTGATTGCTGCGTCACAGAATTGGTTTATTTCCCTTTGCACTTTTTCGACCCCATTCGACCCCTCTCCCTCCACCCGCTGGATCACGATGTTGATTTGGCCAGTGTCAGCCTCCATGTGCTGCAAGTAGGTCTTTCTGAGGAGAATCGGGAGATCTTCAAAGTTGTCACTGTTCGCAAATGAGTCTCCCGAGAGAAAATTTAGGAAGCGGGTGTACTCGGTATGACGATTCATGCGAGAATCTCCATTTTCGTCGGACAGGATCATCGCATTCTCGCATTTGTTGATTTCTTTCCATTTTATGTTTGTGTTTGCTACGACCAGCGGCAAGAAGTGGAAAATCATTGCCATTATCAGAGGGCTAAGGAAGGAAAGACCAAGCCGTTTCGTCTTTCCAGTGAAGGCTACGGAAGAGGGCTTTCCGTCATTTCCAGATGATGGGATTGCCTCCAGTGATATATTCCTGTTGGCGGCACGGATCATGGTTGCTTAATTTCTGTAAAATTGTGCCGGGTTTCGAAGTTTCTAGCTACTAGATGTACAGTAGCTTGAGATCTCTACTTGATTGTGCTAATGAGGCGTCAGAGTGGCTTTGGTAGCTACCGGTAGCTACTAGTAGAGCTCGAGAGTTGTGGTTGGTATCCTTGAACGTCTTGGACGTTGTTTGATCACTGCGATGCTTCTTTGCCACTTTGCACGTTTTGCTGTCCTCTTGGGGGAACTCGAGCAGTCTCGAGCCCAAAGCGAGATCTTGGGTGGCCTGGTCACCAAGTCACTGGAATGTGGTGGCATGAATCGCATGATGGCTTGTGAATGAGTTGAACCATCGGGTCATTCGCGCACCCAGCCATCCTTCTTTTCCTCTTCTTTCGTGTACAAAAGTTGGACAGTATAAACCTAGCAGCACAGAAGATTTACACCGAATGGTTTGACACTTTAAACTTGTCATCTCATTTTTTGCACGAGTGGTCCACCTTTTCCCTTTTAGTAAAGTTACCGAAAGCAAAATCCATGTGCTCTGTGCTTTGCAGCCAGGTCATGCTAGCATGAACGTTTCCTTATACGGCACACCTTGCCCTATTCGGACAGCAGTGAACCAGGGGATTTGAAGCGCAAAGTTTCTATCAACTCTTGAGAAACGAGTTTACAGTACGAGGGATCCAGACATGAAAACCGATTTGGATCCATCTGCGCGCTTCTCCCTGCTGATTGCAAGTCTATATAGATAGATTTCAACTCTGTAGCAACTTACTCTTGCAGTTGACAGAGGGTGCGCTAGGATCATCATCGCCAATCTATGGGCCCTGCCTGCATTGGCTTCCCCGATCACACCCTACCGTACCAGTAACCTCTTCGAAAATTGGCACGCTGCGATGAAGGACTCGTCCCTGCTCTCGGGCATGCCGTTACGAGGCACAAAAATAAAATGTAAAGTATATCTTTACATGGCATTGAGGATTGCTAAATCCCTCTTTTGCAGTTTTGCAGACACTGCTTCTAGCTTCTAAAACTAGCTAGTGAAACAAGCGAGGAGAACTAACCATTTTTTCTCTAATCGTGGCAAGTTCGTCTCTGCTCGAGCTCTGGGCTACCGATACATGTACGGTAGCTAGTTCATCTCTTTGAGGACGCGTTGTGGATTCCAAATGAGAAGTTGTCTCCCCATATCTGTCATCCCTGCAGGTCCAAAATTTCGGGTCAACTCGCTCTGGTTTGCCGTCCCAACTGCACCCATTGCTTCATTCGACATCATGGCCAAGCCAGTATCTTGGTTTTTCAAACCAAGACGGTAGGCCCCGCCTGAATCATCCGGATAGTGACAAACAGCAAGCACAGGGTCCGGCGTCATGGTTCGATACTTATCCTTGATTCCCTTCCACAAATCATTGGGAAACCACTCCTTTTCATTCGGGCGGTTGTCGTGAATGTATCCCGAGACCAAATCGAAGGAAAACTCACCACGGAGAGCTGGCGCATCTCCATAAAAGTCAATTTCCAAGAGGATGTCTTGCTTCCCGACGCCGTGTTCTTCACAAAAGGCATGGGCCTTCAGAAGGATACGGAAGTAGTTTTTGTGTAAGAAACCTGTCAGCAACTGTTGGTGAGAGTCAACCTCTCTGTCCGTGAATGTCTTCGCCTTGGTTTCCATCTTGCACTGTTTCTTGTGTTTTTTCCAGTCCTACAACAATGCCAGGCTTCTAGGTCAGCTTTTGGTCCAAGTGAAGCAACTAAATTATAGCAACGGATGGCAGTGGTCGGAAACTCACCTGGCACTCGCGTGAGCAATACGCTGTGGTCTTGCACCTGCTGCATAAAAGGTTTTTGCTTGCCGATGTTCCACAGTTGCGGCATATAGATGTTGTCGTCTTGTCGTGATTGCTGGCCATGCCGTTTGCCGATGACAGCATAGTCTGCAGCTTTGCTTTGATAGGCATGGGAAGTCTATTATTCGACTTTAGTAAATCCTGAATAAGTTCTGCCAGAGGCTCACCTTTGCAGCAACATGTGCGCAAGAACCACGTACTCTCTTGCAGCCGATCCAACAAACTGAGGACCTGGTCCATATTTGTTCCACTCAAGTTGGCATATTTGAAACACCGCAATCCTTGATAAATGAATCCGGACTGCTCCAACTTCTTGGATGCCTTGTTGACTCTGTCATATTCTTTGCTCTTGATGAATGTCAAGCAGAGATGCAGATTGCACAAAATGTTGATGATCACTTGAGCAATCTTTGAATCGATACTCTTCTCGGCAGCTTTGCAGAACAATGACATGGTTTCATCTGCTTTTTCTTTCAAAAGGACCTTGACGAAGGACTCGTGAATGCACAGTGGAGTATAACACAGTTCAGGAGCTCCAAAACGTAGTCTTCTGGGGTTCCTTTCTTTTTCCAGGCTTTCTTGTCTGCAGCTGATCGCAAGACTGCTTGGAAATGATTCACAAAGATCTCGAGGTGCCATAAAATCCATCTGATCCTTACTTCTCTCAATTCTTCTTTTTCTCTTTTCCAGCGGGGCGACTTCTTGAAACTGGAAAGCGGATTGCAGTCTGCAGTGACACTTTGTATTCACTGTATCCTCCCCCCAACAAAGTGAATTGGAGAACAATGAACTCCAGATATCGATGAAAGTATTCTTCTGGAAGGAATCGAATCTTCAGGATCGGGTTTCAATTTCCAAACACCAATACACCCTCGGAAGTGCCCGTACGTACCGGTACACGGATACAATACACGGAGGGGTAGGTGCCAATAGTTTGAAAACTTTTTGTTGGAGGGAACGAAGATTTTAACACGACAGTCACACTCTACAACAGGGAAGGTTGTTGCAGAGAGGTGTAGGCAGTCCACAATACAATAGATGTTCTAATATCAGCAAGAGAATCCTATTTTTTCACCACTGGCCCCAGCTGGACTCTTCCTATTCTTCCGCCTCAGATTCTGTGGTATCAGCTTAATCTCCGTCCTCTGAATCTTCTCCATCTGAAGAATCACCCTTGGCAGCTTCACTGGTCCCTCTTTCTTCGGCCTCTAATTCTGTGGCATCGGCTTGGTCATCATTCTCTGGATCCTCCTCTCCCTCTGAAGCATCACCCTTGTCAGCTTCGCTAGCCTCATCCTTTTGTTCAGCCTCAGATTCTGTGGCATCAGCATGGTCGTCATTCTCTGAACCCTCCTCTCCCTCTGAAGCATCACCCTTGTCGCTAGCCTCATCCTTTTCTTTGTCCACTGGTCCTGCATTATCAGCTTGCTCCTCATTCTCTGAATCCTTCTCTCCTGATGAAGGATCAACCTTGTCAGCTTCGCTAGCCTCCTCCTTTGCTTCGTTGGATGGTTCTGCGGCATCAGTTTGCTCTTCGTTCTCTGACTCCTCTTTTTCTGCAGCATCACCCTCCTTAGCTCCACTGGCCTCCTCCTGTTCTTCAGCGGCTGATTCTGCAGCATCAGTTTGTTCTTCATTCTCTGAATCCTCCTCTTTTTCTGATGCATCGCCATCCTCAGCTTCACTGGCCTCAACCTTTTCTTCAGCCAAGGATTCCACAGCATCAGTTCGATCTTCATTCTCTGCATCCTCTTCCCCTTCCAAAGCGTCACCCTTGTCATCCACACTGGCCTCCTCCTTGTCATCAGCTGTTGGTTCGGTGGCATCAGGTTGGTCTTCGTTGTCTGAATCCTCCTCTCCATCTGAGTCATCAGCCTTGTCAGCTTCGCTGCTCTCCTTTCCTTCCTCCTCCTTTTCTCCTGCCTCTGATTCTGTGCCATCAGGTTGGTCTTCGTTATCTGAATCCTCCTCTCCCTCTGAAGCATCACCCTTGTCAGCTTCACTTGCATCCTCCTTTTGTTCATCCGTCGACTCCATAGCACCAGCTTGGTCTTCATCGTCTGAGTCCTCCAATTTTTCTGAAGCATCACCCTCGCGAGCTTCACTGTCATCTGATTCACTAGCATCCTCCTTCTCTGCCTTTTCTTGAGCATTCGATTCCATGGGATCGGCATCGGCTTGGTCTTCGTTCTCTGAGTCATCCTCTCCTTCCTCAGATTCACTAGCCTCCTCTTCTTGGGCCTCTGGTTCCGTGGCATTGGATTGGCCTTCATTGTCAGAGTCTCCCTCTCCCTCTGAGTCATCACTTTCATCAGCTTCACTACCATCCTCTTTTTCTGGAGGCGTCGATTCCATTTGCTCTTGGCTTGTTTCAGAATCCTCGGCATCATCTGCCATGCCTCTTTCTGCAGCTGCCACGGTAGCACCTTCAGGTTCTTCGCCATGAGTATCAGACGGAGGGTCAGCGGCTGGCTCGTCTTCAAAGACCTCTTCGTCCTTCTGATCGTCCTTTTCGGAATCGGAATCAGACTCAGACTCGAATTCCGACTCTTTAGCCACCTCGTCTTCCTCAATCTCGTTGACATCTCCCTTCTCACTCTCTGATTCAAACTCTGATCCGTCTTTGCTGTCTTGTTCCACCTTTTCTTCCTCCACCTCGTCTTCGGTGATTTCGGCAACGGCCTCTTCATTTTGAGGTTCGTCCTCGAATGATTCCACCGGCACTGCATCCTCGTCGCTAACAACTCCAGGTGACTTGTCGCTATCTTCAACATCAGGAGCTTCATTTGATAGCAAGCCAGAACCTTCATCATCAGTCATCGCATCATTCTTGTTGAGGTCACCGCCTTCATCCTTTTCGGGTGCCTCTTCATCGACTGCCTTCTCGTCAGCTTCATCACTCACGGCCTGATTCTTCTGCATGAAGAAGAAGAGCAATGCTCCGCCTCCACACAGCACGAGAACACCGACAACAATACCTATGATCATACCCATAGGCGAGCCTCCACTGCTCCCATCTTTGTCCTTTTCATCTGGTGTTGGTGCTTTTGTCGCGTTCCCCGTATTGTTTGTTGTGTTGCCACGAGGTGCTTCTGTCTGCTCCCCAATTGAAGGCGGTTGCGTGGGCACAGGCGCGGGTTCGGTTGACTCTTCCACGACGATACTTGAAGTAGGATCAGTTTTCAAAATACTCTCTTGGAGCTTGCCGTCGTCAATTGCTTGATCAGTGGCTGCAGAAAACTGTGACGCTACTTCATCAGGATCTTCCTCCGGGTCCAAAATGACGTCGTACATGGCCGACAGCTTGCTGCAGGTCTCACCGGAACTAGCATTTGCCTGGAGATGACGGAGATGACGCTGTGTGGTTGCTGCTGTTTGCGGACAGGCGGCTGGTTCCACAGCATAGATTCGAATACTTCCCTCATCCAAAGTCGCCAGTCGCCGTCGACTGACCCGTAGTCGCCTCCTGCCGGCAGCCAAGCCTGACGCAACTGCGAGGAGCATGTCTGAATAAGCTCCTGCCAACGTAAGCACGCTAGCGTCGGATGCGGAGATTGGTTGGTCTGTCTTGACGATGACACCAGAGGTTACAGTTACTGTTCTTGCTCCTGGAGCATTGCCGTCAACACTTCCTCCCAAATTTGCTTGCCCCAAGTTCGTTCCATTCCCATTTGCAGGAGGAGTCAGAGGTACAACGCTTGTGCCATTTGGCACTACCGAAGGCGGCTGCGCTCCTTGATTTCCAGTGCCGGCATTTTCCCCTCCGGAACTGGAATTTGCTATCGTTTCAATGTCAGACTCATCGAGCTCCTCCTGCCAATCTATCTCCTCGATTGAAGATTCTTCCTCAGTGATCGTCTCGTTTCCTGAGGAAACATCTCCGGCCACAGGCATTTCAGCAGCCACTGTTCCGTTGCCTGTTGGCAAATCAGGGGGTACTTCGGGTTCGTTTTCCTCGTTGTCTATTGGTATCGGAATGGGTGGCTCGCCAGGAGAGGAAGCATTGCCGACCCCAATCGCCACAGGCTCACTGTCCCCGAGTCCTTCGGTTCTATTCCCGCCCGGTGCTGCTCCATCCGGAGGGCCAGGCGGAGAAGGAGGGGCATCTGGTTGTGTGCCAATAGATCCGTTGCCACCTTCTGTTGCATTCGTGTCACTATTTCCCTGAGCTTTTCCACCAGCTGGAGGGCCTGTCTGTGTTGCATTTGATCCGCCAGTTGGCGGACCTTCTGGCTTTGTGTTGTTTCCACCATTGCTTGGACCAGGTCCACTGCTTCCTTGAGTTGAATTCCCGCTCCCTTGGCTTTGAGGCCCACCGCCAACTTGTGTTGCATTGCCACCTTGATTTCGTGGGCCGTTGCCTCCTTGCGTTGCATTTCCACCTTGATTTCGTGGGCCGTTGCCTCCTTGCGTTGCATTTCCACCTTGATTTTGTGGGCCGTGGCCTCCTTGTGTTGCATTGCCACCACCACCACCACCACCATTGTTTTGGGGATTACCATTTCCACCTTGTGGGGGGCCAGAACCATTCCCTCCTGCAGAGTTGCCAGTAGAGTTTGTGTTGGGCCCGTTTCCATTTTGCGGCCCTCCCTGTTGTGTTGAGTTGGATCCACCACCACTACCAGTAGGACGACCACCACCACCAGGACCCCCATCAGGTTGTCCGGTCGAGTTTGAACTCACAGGTCCACCTTGCCCACCACCACCACCAGTTGAGGTGTTGTTTCCACCGTTGTTCCCGCCACCAGCATTGTTTTGGGGACTACCATTGTTTGTCGAGTTGGTACTAGGATTACCAGATCCATTCCCTCCAGCACCATTTCCAGTGGATGTGGAGTTGGGTCCTTTCCCATTCTGAGGTCCTCCACTCTGAGGTCCTCCACTCTGAGGGCCACCACCTTGTGTTGCGTTGCCACCACCACCATTATTTTGGGGACTACTATTTCCACCTTGTGGGGGGCCAGAACCATTCCCTCCTGCAGAGCTGCCAGTAGAGTTTGTGTTGGGCCCGTTTCCATTCTGTGGCCCTCCCTGTTGTGTTGAGTTGGAGCCACCACCACTACCAGTAGGACCACCACCACCAGGACCCCCATCAGGTTGTCCAGTCGAATTTGAACTCACAGGTCCACCTTGCCCACCACCACCAGCTGAGGTGTTGTTTCCACCGCTGTTCCCGCCACCAGCGTTGTTTTGGGGACTACCATTGTTTGTTGAGTTGGTACTAGGAGGACCGGATCCATTCCCTCCAGCACCATTTCCAGTGGATGTGGAGTTGGTTCCTTTCCCACTTGAGGTCCTCCACTCTGAGGTCCTCCACCTTGTGTTGCATTGCCACCACCACCACCACCACCACCACCATTGTTTTGGGGATTACCATTTCCACCTTGTGGGGGGCCAGAACCATTCCCTCCTGCAGAGTTGCCAGTAGAGTTTGTGTTGGGCCCGTTTCCATTCTGTGGCCCTCCCTGTTGTGTTGAGTTGGAGTCGCCACCACTACCAGTAGGACCACCACCAGGACCCCCATCGGGTTGTCCTGTCGAGTTTGAACTCACAGGTCCACCTTGCCCACCACCACCACCACCACCACCAGTTGAGGTGTTGTTTCCACCGTTGTTCCCGCCACCAGCATTGTTTTGGAGATTTCCATTGTTTTGGGTATTGTTGATGTTTGTTGCGTTGGTACTAGGAGGACCAGATCCATTCCCTCCAGCACCGTTTCCAGTGGATGTGGAGTTGAGTCCTTTCCCATTTTGAGCTCCTCCACCTGACGTGGGACCCGTCGAGTTGGAACCAGCGTTGCCATTCTTATTAAGCGTCCCATCCGTTTCCCAAGATCTGAACACTGGGAGCTCAATTTTTTTGTCAGTCGCAGTTGGGTCGAAAATATAGTTGATTTCGTTGATCGCTTCCATACAGGCGTACTGCAACTCCATGGCTCGATTTTCTGACATTTCTTCTCCTGCTCTGACGCCCACAATGTTCAGCTCGCCACCCAAACCAAATGTGTGCTGATACCGATCGGCTAGGCCTTGAGGTAAGTTTTTAAACGGCGTTTCTTCTGGGTACATCTCCCTCAAGAAGTCATTCACCACGAATAGATACTCCTCTTCTGTCAAGACGTGATGGGGGAACTTTGTATCTGCCAATTTCATGAAACGATAACATTTTGAATCAAAGTCGAGCTCCGATTCTTCCGAGGGTTGGCTTGTCACTACTACCGGAAGCAGAAGCAAGGCAAGCAATAGATGCCAACAAGTCCTCATGGGATTCATAATCGTCTTCATTTCCCACCTTTCGGCAAGGTTTGTCGGCACGCTTTTGAACCGCGTTTCTTCTGGATAGGTCTGTTTTGACAGGAGTAGATCAGTATAAAGAGAAGGCCAGCCTGCTAGCTAGCTAGATTTGTTCTTGCGAGCTAGTCGTAGCATGCGAAGGTGACTGCTGTTTCCTTTTGCTGTCGTGGTGGTTCTGATACGGTATCTGTTGGGCTCTGTGTGTTGCTTTGTTGCATTGTGTTGCCGTGCTTGTTTCTTTCGCTTCGCTGGGTTCCTACTGTGCGAGCACTAGTACACGTGTTGATGACTGGCAGCTTTCGGTACTCAGTACCTTTGGTAAGAACAGCTCGTAAAACAAAGAAAAAGTCATTCTGTAATTATTTTAGCGTGTCCCTGGTGAATCAAAGATTTAATGCAAGGTTCAAGATTGTTGATAGGGAGAATCGGGAGAGACCGGCAACTCCACTCACTTTTTGCGGGGAGAAGTGCATTTTTTGGACCAAACGGCCAAACGGAAGCCAGCTGTAAGTTGCTATCCAGAGGGCTATGCATAGCTACGGTACCACAGCGTTGGAAAAGATCAGATAAAATAAACCGAAAAGCTTGGGGGTCTAGCTAGCTAGTGCAGTGTCATTATTTTGGTATTCATGAAGCCGTCTACCTCAAAACAGACCATACTTTTTTTAAAACTTCCTTCTATTTCAACTCTGGTGTGACAAACACGCCTTCAGCATAGTTTTCGGTTGGTGAAACAGCAAAATTCAACTTGACAGCTGCCCTGTTCCAAGTATGCTGTCGCAATCTGCACATTGCCATAGATTGGGAGCTCTCGGTATGTGGGCTTGTCCTCTTCCACGTACATTCCCATCTTCTTGGCCTTGGCCAGGGCCTCCGTAACATTGGTGCGCTGATTGTCATTGCATTGTTTGCAGACGCCTCATTGATGCTGCTTCGAGGGTTCGTACAATTCATAATCGTGGTCACAATACCGTCTTTAGGGTGCGAGCACAGGCGTATCCAGTCAATCACAGTCGTGTCCGCATCAATATTAAAGGCGGGCAGCAGACCATTCACAACTTGATCCTTGTTTTGGTCTGACATGGTTTTGAAACCCATTTCCTCAAACATAGGCAAGATCTTTTTGTGGTCTGTCACATTCATACTCCAGTGAAAGGCAAAGGGATAGGGACGTTTGTTCCACCATAGTTGAGCGCCAATGATGGCGCCAATCAATCCTCCAATCTCGTCAAAGTAAACGGCGAATCCATCAGGATCCTTGTAGACCACGAGCTTCATGCCGCCACTAGTGGCTGGTGATGCTATGGGCTTGATTCCATGTTTCTCAAGTTCCTTCATGTGTGCATCAACCGAGTTAGTCAGCATGCAAATACGGGTCATGCCAGCATCAGAACATGCCTGGCGTTCGGGCATGTTCTTGTCTTCTTTCAGAAGGAACCTTGATTCCCACTTGCCGTTTTTCGCAGGGTTGAATTGCAGGAATTGACAACCATGTTCTTCAGGGCCGAGCGTCTCAAATCCAAGCGCTTTGTAGAAGGTGAGTGACTTTTGCAGATCCCGACAAGTTATGGTCACATGAGCAACTGCACCAGCTGGTGGGAGCTCCGGTAAAAGTGGATGAATTGTCAATACCGACCTTTTGATCGTATGCACAACAGCGGTAGGCAGGATGTAGAGAGCTCTCCAAAAGGTCTTGGCGTCACTACCAACGAAGTAGGAGCAGTCTAAATTCTTGTGGTCACTTTGAAGCAAAAGCTCAGTCATTTTATCCACAACCAGTTCTGGCCTACCATGGGAAGCTATAGAGGATTTGATGCCCTCTTCCATCTTGTCAGCAAAGGCTGATCCGCCGTGAAGGTTTTGGATTTGTGCAGGTGCAGCACGGAAGTTCTTGACATAATGAGAAATCCAATCCGATTGTATGCCAGTGGCTATCTGACCTGGTCGGATTGTGACAACCTGAATGCCAAACTGATCCAACTCAAGCCTCAGAGCATCACTCCATGCTTCCACAGCAAATTTGCTGGCCGAATAAGACCCGTTTCCAGGACTTGAGCTTACCCCACAAACACTGCTCATGTTGAAGATCTTGCCACCGACAACATTGGATGTCATTAACATAAGAGGAAGCAATTCTTGCGTAACACACAACTGGCCAAAGTAATTGACTTCCATGATCCTCTTGGGAATTTCCACACTGTCATGGAACAAAAAGTTGGCTGGATCAGCAATGCCGGCATTGTTGACAATAGAGTAGAGCACAGCGTTCCTTTCTTCGAGCAGACGTTGCACCTGTTCTTTCATTGCTTTCACTTGGTCGTCCTGGGTTACATCACACTGCACGGCAATAATGTTGTCATTTTCAAAGCTACGACTGCCTTTGTCCGAAAGAGTGCATGCCACAACCAGGTATCCATTTTGTTTGCTCCATGCTCCGGCCATGAACTGTCCCAGGCCGCGATCACAACCTGTCACCACAACAACTTTGATTCGATCATCTTGAGGTAGCTTTTCGGGCTTCTTCTCGGTGAACTGCTTGTATTGGTAGTAGGCAAGGGTTCCCACGCAAATGGTAGAAAAAAGGCAGAAATCAAGCAGGGAAAACCCAGCTAGAGCCGACATGTTGGAAATCCTATTCAAGATTGTCCTATCCTTCTTTTGTAATTGATTATCGCTGATTGTGAGCTTATCTGCTATCCTATCTTTACCAGTGTCTCATTGGGTCTGTATGCATGTGGACTGTCTTAGTGGTGCCGGGTGCAAATCAGCACCTTGTATGCCTCTACGGTGCGAATCCTTGGTTGCTCACTTTCTAGCAACAACATGATGAAGAAAAACCACAACAGTTTCGGAGAGAGAAATCAAAATGGTTATCCACAGAGAGAGAGAGAGAGCAACAAAGTCTTGGTCTGTGCCGATCCGGGGTGGTCAAGCGATTGGTCATTCGAAGCGAAACGACGATACAGCCGTGACCACTGGACGACAACTCTGAAACGTATAGGTAGATGCGGTACTCTTAAATCAATTTTCCATGTAAATTATGGCATGCTTACATTTACCTCAACTACCAAATCAAAGCTGTCTTGCTTTTGTTGTGATTACTGTACTGGTACGCTGTACCTGTGCTGGTAGTGGCTAGCTAGTCAGCAATCGTAGCGGTACCGGTAGCAGTATAGTAATTGCTTGGTTTGGGTTCTTCGTTGTTTGGGTTCCAAATCGCGCTTGTCGGCGCTCTTTTCGATTGTGTTCTGGTTGCCGCCAACATGTCATTGACGTTTACCGCTGTGGTGGTACGACCAGAGGGTGGGTTGCCGAAGCTTTGAGAGGAAGTCCTGCGAGGCTGCGAGTGGTGCTGCTGTCCCGGTTTTCACGGAGATCTAGAGAGCCAGCTTGCGTTGTTGGCGCAAATCTATTTTCATCACTCACAGAGAAGGTCAACCGTATGCGAGGTTTCCATCGTGGCTTTTACTGTACAGCTCCTTCAAGAAGGATAGTAGAAAAGGGATAAAACACGAACATGGATAGAATCTTTGCTGTTCAATGAGTGAACGCGGATAAACGGACGGCTACCGGTACAATGAACGATTTGCTTGATTGAATCGACTCATTCAATGATTTCAATCACTCCATTCCTTGTTACTAGCTACATAGTCTACCGGTACCGGTACATGTACGTACCGGTAGCTATAGCCTTGTTGGCGCACCTTTTGGACCCCATTCCATCGTGCATCCTTGCAGCTCCCTTCAAAGAACCATAGTAAAAAAGGGATAAGCACAATCATGGATGAATTCTTTGGTGCCAATGAAGTGAACGCGGTTCAACGGACGGGTACCAGCAATTGGAAGTCCGGTCGTGGTTGTTGGCTGTGTCTACACATGCTCCAGTGATGGGATGCAAATCAAATCAGGTTGCCACAAAAAAATCTCTTCGGACCAATCAGACCACAAGCAAGCAAGAAAGGAAGAAAAATGAAATATGAATTGGCGCGTTACTTCGTCGCAGCACTGACTCTTCTTGAGGTATCCTTTGCAGCAAGTAACTTCACTCAATCTCATCTCAGGACAAGACGAGCTGTGGTTGGCGGTACCGCGGTTGCTCAAGGAGAATTTCCTTTCTTCGTGGCCGTTGGTAGATGTGGTGGAACCTTGGTGAGTTGCATAGATCGTGATAGGTCAAAGCACATTATTGGAACTCTAACAGTTCCCCACTTCTCAGATTTCACAAAACAGAGTTCTCACAGCAGCCCATTGTATATGCGATCCCGATCGTCCAAGGAGCTCGGTTAGAATTGGGCCGACAACTCAGACGGACGGCAAAGAGGTCCCCGTGAGCTGCGCCAGGATCCACCCTGACTATGGTAAGGTTGGATGCGACCCAAATAAGGCATATGACATCGCCGTGCTACAGTTGGCAGAGAGTGTCACAGATGTCACATTCGCCACCCTCAATACAGACACAAGTATTCCGGCAGGTAGTTCAGATGTCACAGTCCTTGGCTTTGGACAGACTACGCCTGGCTGTTACACTACCCAAGTATCCGAAACGCTTAACAAGTTGGTCTACAGCTCAGTGAGTAAAGACGATTGTAAATCTATAAAAGGGGACGATTTCCGTGAGGATTTGCGACTTTGCGCAGCAAACACCGAAAGCACAGGTGTAAGTTTCAAAATTGCAGTCAAGCTCGGTGTGAGAACAAACTGACCAGTTCCTTTGTACTGTTTTGTAAAGGTATGCTTTCATGATTCAGGAGGTCCAATGTTGGATTCGTCGGGCACCGTCCAGTATGGCATCGCTGTTGCTGGGCCGGAAAGTACAATGTGTGCAACGGGAGGAGATCCAGACCTTTACACAGTAAGCACGCTCTCACTATTGGATGCACTAGCTGAATCAAGCAATTCGAATGTTTCAACTGCCTCTGACTACCTTGCTATTGATTTCTATCTTGTACCTCGGCTCTATTTCTACTAGGACGTGGCTGCACACAATGCATGGATCACCGAGCAATTGAATGACAACACTTGCGACCAAAGCTTTCATGGAGGCTTTCGAGAATGGGTGGGTGAAATCTCCTCTGGAGCTCTGTCGTTCCTAAACGATTGGGTTTGAGGCTGGATAGGCTGGATGCAAGGACAATTCAAGGTGTTGTATTGGTATTGTGCTTTGGCTTGTTGTACCTGCATAATGCTTTCCACAAAACCAATGACGGTAGCTCGGTTGACCCCCCTCTTGACTTGATTGTTTTCCTCAAGCCCCCCTCCTAAAGTTTGTAATAATATTATTATTTCCTTGGAGGAGAAATTCAAAATATTCATTTTAGTTTTTAGAAATGCATTGAAAAGATGTACAGTATTTTAGGCAATAATTACAATCAAAATTTCGGTGAGCACAGTCTCCGGCCGCCCTGCACCCTCCAGGCTGTCATTGCCTCAAGACCAGTCAACAGGGAACGCAAACTGGCCAGCAGAAGTCTAGGATAACAAGTAAGATGGACGAATATGCGAGAGGAGGAACCTTGGAGGGTCTGGGCGGTCCAATTCGAATGGATCCAGTGAGCTACGATGGGATTGATCCAACTCTTGATTCATGCTGCCAACGAGAGGTAAAAGCCATGTAATAGTAGTCGTGCTGGTGCTTGGCGTTGGATTTGTATTCACTCTATTCTTTCCATTTTTGATTGGTACAGATCAAATCGAATCGCTATGGCAATGCTTTAACGCGAGCACTGCAACGCCATGATGTGGTCGCCATGGCCGAACGAAGACGGCGTAATTTGGTCAAAACCAGCGACAACCGAGATGCTTGCCGATGCTGTTTTGATCCCAACAGTGACGGTGGAGAGTACCTCGCATTAATGGAACTGCGACAAAAGCGGCTAGTACAAATCGAAAATTTGGTGGAAGAGGAAAAACAGACGACGGAAGAAGAACCAAGCCAACATGATGATGATGATGCGTCTTCTTCGGATGATGAATTTGATTATCTGCTGGATGAAGACATTGGTGACAATGACAATTCGATGCTCAAACAAGCCGAAGATCGTCGAAGAGCCGAATTGGAATTTGCAGCCCTGACACAACAAATCTTGACGCAACATGGCTACGGCATTCATAGACAAATGCATCCTTCGCGAGTTTTGCGGGCGGCTGGATTGGGGGACGGCAATAAGAATAAACGACAGGATGTAGGATTTGCCCCCGCCGTCGTTCTCCATTTGGTCGATCCCGAATCCATCGCGTCGGCATCGCTTGATTTGTTGCTCGAAGATTTGGCCGGAATGAACACCCACAACAATTCACACCACCAAAACTCTCGCTATGCAGCGGCCGCCAAAGGAACCAAATTTATGCGAAGTGGAGGGCGATCCACGTTGCTCATGGACGCCGACTTGGCGGCACGAGTGCTGCCCCGACTGCAACCAGACAGAGATTTGCCTGCCTTGGTGGCCATTCGAGATGGAATTGTCGTCAACACATGTCCCAGATTAAGTGGCCTCACCACTCATCCCACAGACCACGAGGTCGACGTGGATGCTGTCTTTCAATGGTTGGATCGATCAGGAGTATTGCTCCCGGAACCTCCGCGATTCGATGAAGTATGTATGATTCGGCCCGAGGAAGAGGCACTCATGGATTACCTGCAAACTGCTGCAGAGTCAGCCAAAGTTGAAGAGGAAGAAAAGGAGGCTAGGTATGACTGTGGAAATCCAGACTGCAGCAAAACATTTCCTCATGAGCATGTGGGGATGGGAAATGAGCAACAGAGTGGGCTTGTAGTCTCCGAGGAAAAAGTTGTTGGAAGCAACAACTAGAAAAAAGTAGAACAATGTTCCAAAACTTTAAAGGTGGCACTAGGCATCAACGACACACCGCAAGCTCGAGCTAGAGAATCCTTTTTGATCCATCATCTTGCCTGAATGAGGCTGTTGGAAGCCATCTCACAATCTACAGCAAAGCCAGATACCTGAATGCCAACTTGTAACCACAACCAGATGCTATCAACATTCTATTCTGTTTAGTGGACTAGCTAGCTTCTAATTGTCTATGTCCAAAATCAGCCAATCATTTGTTCTTTGCGGTGTTGCTCTGTGCGATCTTCTACATGTACATGGAAAAGGAGTGAACACTTCAACTAACTCAGTACCGCAGGTACTTGCCCATGCTCTGTTCCAAGTCCTCCCTTCTGATTCTCTTTCGGTGGGCTCTACCAGTCTTGCCATGGTGGTTCTTGTATCTCTTGTCTTTCTTATGTCCTTTCCCTTCACCATGATGCATCTCGGTTAGGTCGCAATCTTCGTCTTCTTCACAACTTACTTCCACGATTTCCCACAACACAGACAATTCCTTCGCCATGGCCTTGGCTTTGCAACGATCTCCAACAAAAAAGCCCAGACTGACAAAGGGGAGTTTGGAGATTGGAACTGAGACGGACGTGTTGCCTGAAACTCCGTTCTTTTTGTTGCACTTGTTTCTTCCATTCACATCCTCCTGCTCCTTTCGCATCACAGCAGGATCCAAAGCACATTCTTCCGAATCTCCGGTGAGCCGAAGATCCATTTCAGCTCGTGCAGCAGCCTCCAATATCTCATCGGTCCGCTCAGAGCAAACCTGGTCTCGGAGAGGAGAAAGATCAACGACCAGGTGGTCAAGACACTCGCGACCTCTTCCACTAGCTTTGTAGTGAATAATGTTTGGTTTGGCACGTTCGCTGCACCATTCGCGGTGTGCAGTTGCCAGCCTGGATCCCATGAGTGCTTCCGAAGAGCACAGGTTAGCCAGAGATCCGTGACCATTCCTACCATCTAGGGTAAGGTAGCCTTTTGTGAAGGCCCTGTCTAGTTCTTCTCTTTCACAGACTGACAGTCGGCAAGCTGCAGAACCGCGCTTTAGTCTTTTGTTGGCCTTTTTCTTCTTCTTCCCCTTTGGTGCTCCGGCACCCTTGTTGGCAGTTCCCACACGGGCATCCCTCATTGAGTTGACTTGTCCTTTTCTAGTTTTCTTGAGCGAACCGCTGACAAAGCTAACCATTCGTTCAGGTACTCGCACTCGTCCACGCTTGGGATGATCTCGAATCGGTTCTACCTTGATTGTCTGCCCTCGCCATTCGCTCCCGTGAAATCGCAAAATTGCAGCCTGGTAGAGTGATGAGACCAAAAAATGAAATCTGAGCAAAACACACCAGCCATATTCAAATATATATACCCCAACAAAATCTCCCTTGGTAGTTTTCTCACCTCTGTTTCCTCTTCGGTAAGAAAAGTCACAAATCCATACCTCAGAGACTGCATGTTTGCCTTTCTCACCACACAAGCCGGAATAGATTGCAATGTACTGACTGTCCGAAAAAGTGCGCTTAGATCTTCATCGTGCACAAACTCACAAAAATTGCCCACAAAGACGGTGGTCGAGCACATTCGATCAGGCAATGGGACCATTTCAAAGCGTTCGCCTCCCATCATCATTTCGAGTAAGTCTGGTTCCCGTACTGTTAGCACATGCAGGGCGGAACTTCCTAGTCTTTGTGGAAGCTGGACCTGATTCTGCGCCTGTGGTGGTGGTAACGCCGGGGATAGCAAGGAGGAAGGCCGTCTCGCCACATGGGATTGAAACCCCAAGCAAGTGCCACTGATCAGGGCAGTGACAACCAGAATTCTTGATGGAATCCAATGCACCATCTCGTCTATTCTTCTATATATTCAGGTGACTGCAACCAACACCACAACAACAACACGCAGAAACACCAAAAATAATTGTGCGAATGCCAATAGCAGATCAAAGAGTTCGACAATCGCTGCTTGTAGGAAAGACACCAAGTTTTTGTGTCTTTGAAAGATACCAGTACGGCACTTCAAAAACCAATGCCATGTCGCCCTTGTGACGAATCAAGACGTGAAGAATCGAATCTTTATTCTGTTTTGTGAGAATCGAACAATCATTTGTCGGAATGACACGCCAATTGACTTACTTGAAGGATAGGATGAGGAGTATCAGAACAAAAAACTAAAGCGAGAATTTCAAAATCAGCTGTTTTTCTTTGTCCAATCAGGCTTCTTCTGTAGCTTTGCGTAAAAGCATTAAAAGGATTGATGGCGGCATTAGCTACATCTGTCGCACCAGTACCCAGGGCAAAACTGCCCAACTTCGTCCTCGTAGCCGTAGCCAGTCGGTAGATTTCTCGGTTGACAACTCCTAACTCCACCTCCCAAGCATGTTCTGCATCAGGTGGCGACGCTGTCTAGCTGCGGCGGAGGCGAAGAATTGTTGTCCCTTCGGTGGGAAGACAGATGGCTCTTCTCTCCACGAGCTAGTAGGCAGGAGGGACAGGCAACTATTCTATGATTGGGCTGTTGTCAAGCACAGCTTAACCCCCTTTCTTTGGTGTTGCCTGGATGGGTAAGGGGTTGAGAAAATGGCTCCAAGGGAAGGCCAACTTCAAGTGTAAAGTGATCTGCAAGGCAGAGCTACGTGTACTATAGCTAGCCCGATGCAGCAAACTGAGAGCAAGGACATCTTGAGTTCGGCCACCCCAAGAAATAATGAGATTATTCGCGCCCTTGGATGAATGGAGCACTTGGTTCTAAAGCGAGAGCTCTCGTGCACTAGTCTAGACTATTTTGCCGGGGCCAGCACCTCCAAGGCTCTGAAATTGTACCATTACACCCATCAGCTGAGGCTCTTTGTCTAGTAGTTTTGGCCATTAATTGGTGGTTCTAAAGCCAAAGGGCCCTCCTTTTTGCCCCCTGATCTCACCAATCCCTGTCGCATACTAGTACCTTGCCTCCTTGTGCTGGGATCATGGGAGCTCCAATGCTCCACTACGATGTACCGATACCGGGACAGTCGTACAGTACCGGTACTGTGCTGGATGTTGAAAGATCAACTTTGAGGTTCAACGTGCAACGTAACCGCTTCACTGGTTTATTTGCTCTGGTCTCATCACTGGTCGACCAAGACCCACTTTATTGCATCGTCTAACTAAAGTATGAAGATGAACACTGGATGGCAACCAGCAGACTCACCGTTGTGGACAATCTTTGCTTCAGATGTGTCACCATTGACCATTGCCAACAACACGGCGTATCCACGTCCCATGATGGCGCGGCGTCAAAATTGGCATTCACTCAATGGTATTTGGCAGGTTGATTTCACAGTGCCCAATTTGGATTCTGCTCCGTTTGGTCAATCACTGGACTATGAAATATTGTTGCCGTTTCCGGTGGAGTCCCCCTTATCTGGAATCAGGAAAAACACTCAGCATGGTTATATGTGGTACCGCCGTGAATTGACTTCAGACGACTGGCTGAGTTGTGATGCCTCCACTGAAAGAACCTTGTTGCATTTTGAAGCCAGTGACTGGAATACCACTGTCTTTGTCAATGGACAGCTTGTGGGGGATCCTCATTTGGGTGGATATGATCCATTTTCATTTGACATCACGGATTTTCTGCTACCACCGGAGAAACCCACTGAAATTGTGGTAGGAGTCCATGATCCAACGCAACACGGCGTCTTCAACAATGCAATCGGGAAACAAGATTCCACAAAACTCCAGAACCCTTCAGGACTCTCCTACACTTCCACTAGTGGGATCTGGGCAACAGTATGGATGGAATGCGTTTGCTCTTCTGGATACATTCGAGATTTACAGATTGACACATCCGATACAAACCACAGACGCATCAAGATTGATGTGGATGCTGTTTTCCCTGGCAATCAAAAGAATGGCAACAACTTCTTAGTCAGAGCCATTCTTTATTCTTCCACTAATGATGGATCTGAACCAGTGACGTCTGCTACAACACATGCTGGAAGCTCAATCATTACCTTGAAGTCTCCTGATGGCATTTCGTTTCGCCGATGGACTCCCACCAATCCTTACCTTTACAATTTACAGGTGGATTTGTTGGTCACCAAACAAGACAATGCTGATACTACAGTGGTTGTGGATACAGTGACCAGCTATGTAGGAGTCAGAACCATCCATCTGGGACACACAGCAACAAACAATACCACGCACCCAAGCTTGCTCCTCAACGGACAGCCCATCTTTCAACTGGCTACATTGGATCAAGGCTTTAGTCCTGATGGCAACTATGCGTATGCCACAGATGAAGCCATGGCCTTTGATATCAAGGCTCACAAGCAGTTGGGATTCAACACCATTCGAAAGCACGTTAAGATGGAATCGAGGAGGTGGTACTATCATTGTGATCGACTTGGGATACTGGTGTGGCAAGATTTGCCCTCTCGAACAACCTTTTTGCAAAGGACAACAGGCTGGAAGTCATGGTGGAACGAATCTTCCAGAGCCTTAAGAGCTCGTCGCAACCATCCTTCCATTGTACAATGGATTGCATTCAACGAAGGATGGGGTCAAGAGTATCCTCCTAGTCCCAACCTTACCAAAACCATTGTCCAAGCTATCCAAGAGATTGACTCTACTCGGCTAGTAACGGATGCCAGTGGTGGACGGAATGTGTGTGCCAACGATACCAACAATGGTGATGTCAATCACTGGGTTGGAGGGTGTGTGGGGCATGTCACGGATGCCCATGTGTATTGTCCACCCGACCAACTTGTCGACAAGTTGCAAAAGATTGCCCGACATCACAAGAACACCAACATGGCGTATGTGCTGGGAGAATTCGGGGGAGTCCTGCTGAAGTCACTCGGACATGAATGGGCTCCTGACAGGTCGCATGGGGGATCACAGGTGAAGACCCATGGGGAGCTTGAGGAGCTTTACCACGCCTTCGCTGAAGCGATTATAGTCTCCATTGATGAGATGGGTTTATCGGGTGGGGTTTACACGCAAATTACTGATGTAGAAACAGAATGCAACGGGCTACTGACATACGACAGGATTATGAAGGTGGATCCTGCTGCCATTGCTGCATCCAATGCAAAGGTCATTCAACATTTTCAGGAACACGTGGCGTCGAGGCGGCCCCCTTCTCAAGGCGAGTCCAGTGTCGTTGAAAGCTAGCTAAGGGGAGTCAGACCTTGCTAGGGAGCAGATGGCTGAAGCAATATTAGAAGAACCCATCATCTGGCTAAGCATACTTAGTTGCCGCCTTTCACCGTGACTTCTACATCCATATGCAGTTGCAATCTATCTGCTTCCATTGCCAAACAACAAGAGCTGGCGTTCCATCGTTGTGCTTCTCTAGCCACGGCAGCAATCTGAATCAATCTTTGTCGTGTCATGTTAAGATTCACAATCAAGCCGGTTGGCAAAACGCAGTTAACTGTCAATTGTAAGGGTTCTGAGTTCGCAAGGTCTTGAAAACACCAGCAATTGCTCTGCATTCTGTGATGGGCGGGAATCGAAGGTATCTTTTGCGATTCTGATGCCAGTTACCATCAAATATCCTTGGACATGATAACCAGGTTCTGGTACTTGTTGTTTAATTTTTCAACTCTACTGTACCTCTGCTGATACCCAAGGCTCTCGTAGATGCGAAGGGCAGCTGTGCTGGTGTCTCGCACTTTCAACCACACTTGTTTCTTCCCCCATGCAGTCTTAGCAACATCTTCGCACGCCTGAATAAGCGCCTTGGCAACGCCTTTCCGACGCCATTCGGGAGCCACTGCCACATTGAACATGTAAGGCCGAGGCGTGTCATTCTTGTTGTCCGAGGGCCGGTCATCAATCTGTGCCAATCCCAGGACTTTCCCGTCTTTAGAATGGCAGGCCACGAACAGAGAATACCGTTCACCTGGTCTCGGATAAGTGCCCTCTAAAGAAAGATAAGTAGTCAAACGCTCCCATTGAAAAGTAAGCCAGTTGGTGTTTTCTTTGAAAAAGCTTTCGGTCAAAATATCTGAAGCCTGGTCAATCTCAATGGGCAGGCAATTCCTGATGAAGAAGAAGTCGTCTTGTCCTTGACCTTGAGTGCTACAAGTTTGCTTTTCTGAAACAATTCCAAGCCGCGAAGAAAGTGATCTAGGGAGGTTTGATTTGTCATGAATGCTGAAGCCACGAGTGTTAGGCAGCCACAGAAGCAATGACAGCCCCAGCAAAAGTAGTCCGACATGCCTCGCAACTCTACAATTTCCATCGTAGATCCTCATTCCTGACTCTCCACTGGCAAGCAGCTCTATTCAAGTTGGTTTCTTCCTCTCCAACTTTGGCCTTTTTTCGTCCATTCGACACGATGACGGAGAGCTTGACTGTTCTCTTGCATTGTGACGCCACTGATGCCTCTCAAGAGAAAAGAGCTGAAAAAACTGTTCTTGTGACGTCCCTCCGCTGATGCCTCCGAAGAAGCGCAGGAATGAGTCAACCAATAAACCAGCAAAGTGGATGGGACACCAAAAACGGAGCAGTTGCTCGAGGTCGGCTGCATGCCTTGCAGTACTGTACCGTACTACCTGGTAGTACCGGTACCCGGCCACATGAACTGGCTAGTTTGACGGTGGCTAGTTCTCTGCAAGAGTTTCTTACCCTTTCCCTGCCTGCTGGGATCAAGTTTATAAAATATCCAATGACTTTAGGGAACCCGATCACCACAAATGTTTGTGAGGTTCTTATTGCAGTAGAAAACACACTGCCCGCAAACTTCCCAATCACCAAAAGGACGCAAAGGAGACCTCAACTTGTGGTGTACAAAGATCAGATTTGTTCTCGGATGAGCACCCATGGCAACTCGCATCATCCCGATGTTGAGAGTCATACTGCTCACACGTGGGCCAAAAAAGAATTCGCTGTTGATTGCCAGAATCATATCATCGACAACATCAAAATGATCTCGACCCTGTACTTGCAATGCACTACTCCACGGACCCGTCATTGCTGGGATGATGACGTTTTTGCCAATCTCTTGGTCTGCTCGAAGATCGAGGAGGCCTTGATCATCTTGCATATCTGAAACAACCACAATGGGCAGCCTTGCCAAGTTTGGGCCGTACTGAGACCGCAGCAGATCCTTCACATAATCTGGCTTCATGAAACATTCGTGTGGTGGTAGAAGGGGACCAACTCGCCATTCGCATTGGCCATCGAGTGTACGAAAGTGAATTGCCGCAAACCTCTCTCCGTAACCATGCTCCCTCAGATACTTTCTCAGCAGATTTACCCGTTCGTATCGAAAAGGAGGAATCAACTGGACAAGCTTGCGAAGAATTGTTTTTCGGCGTTGTGCGAGGACTGGCGGGGAGACTGTGTTGTTTCGATAGTAGTATGCTTCTGTGCTGCGTAGGTCAATGAATTCTTTCTCGGAGGGTATCAGCTTCAGACGATTGAAAGTGACTATGGGCAGCTGATGCGTTTCAATCGCTTGCTGCCAGGAAAGATCCGGGAATAGTTTTTGATGTGGTCTTGTCGACAAGAACAAATCAAGAACCTTCTTAGCCCACCTCGAAACGGCAACCACTGCTGTTGAATTGTATGACGACCCATCCCACGTGAATTCCCCTCTCTCGTCGAACATCCTGTCCAGCACGCGCAGGAGACTGAAAAGTTGATTGTTGGTTTGGCCGAAGCTGCGATCAAAACCGATATGATAAACGGTTGTCACGTTGTTTTCGATGCTCCGATCTGGCATCAGGTGGAGTTGTACCGGTACGTCCTTTATGCTGCCTTGTAAGGACTCTGGTGATGGAAACTTGTCTCCTCCAAAGAAACCAGTGGCAAATGCACGATGAAATAACCGACAATGAAAAAAGAATGTCGACGAAAGCAATGCCAATGGCAGAAGAGCACCGGTCTTCTTGAGAAGTAATTGGATGGCATTTCGACCCTTTCTCTTTCCAAGGCGACGGGACATTCTTGTTGTCATCGGCATGGCACAGCAATGTGGTGGATTGGAACGAAGCGATGGTAACTATCGTTATGGGGGGGTTAGGAATCAAAGAAGAGGAGATAGAGTGTATCCATGGGAGTTTGGAAGGGGCAGGGGACCATTGAGGAAATGATGAATGAAAACGAAGAAGTGGAGGAAAGATTGAGGTCAATCCAAATGGTTGGAGAAATGAAAGCGATGAAAGCATTAACAAGTTTAACGCCTCAATTAACGTTACTATCCATGTTTCAAAAGATACCGGTACGGTACGCAGCCACCATTGTAGCTACCGGGAAGTGCAATTATCGGCTCAACCATAGACTAGAGTGCGAGTCCATACATGTCTGGCTCAAACCAGCCCTATTGGAAGACGCAGCTGATTGGTTACCGGTGCCAGCTGACTGAGCATCCAGGAGCCTCCTCAGCAGGTGGAACATGGAAATTTTGGGTGGTGGAGCGGAAAAACTCTCATCATTGTTGCCTTCAGAAGCCAGAACCGCGTTGGAAGTCTGTGATTTGCTTTCCAACATGGCGTCGATATGTTTGTCCACATCTATGAGGATAATGGAGAAAGAGTGGGAATGAGAACTCTTGATATTTCCAGCCAAGCGATATTACAAGACACGCCACCGCTCGTACCAAAAGACGATACCCAGATGAACTTCACTGGGAATCTTTGTCCAATCCTTCGAACCCTGTCTTCTGCTTGATGGACATCGCCAGGTGTCCATGGGCGATCTACAAGAATGACTGTCCTGGCAGCAGTCTATTGCAAACACGTGAGAAAAACAACCCAAGTAAATCACCGTGCCACCCTTTCAGTTTTCATTGCAATAGGTTCGGATCGGATCTGGAACGTACCAACGTTAGACCCACCCCACCGGCACCAAAAGTACAGACAATGACCGGAGAGACTCCATTCTGGAAGTTATCCACCATCGGTTGCCGTTTCTTTGGCGGGGTTTCGCCGGTCAAAACTTCCCCTTCCCACCCCAACCTTGCCAGCTTTTCTTGAAGAGCTTTCGCCACACGTACAAAGGAAGTGAACAGTACCACAGCCGGTTCTTTTTCAAGTACATTCTTTGCAATGTCGACGGAAGCATCTACTCGTGCGATGGCACCTTGACAACGAAGTTGCTGGAGTTGACCCAAAAGCGCATCGCTCTTGTCCGACTCGCCGGCACCATGCGAGGCGAACAGTGCTAGCACCCGCTTCAGCATGTCGTCGTAATTCTTCTTTTGCCGTTGACTCACTGGGACATGCTGGAATTCACGAGTTGCCTTGGGCAGAGACTTGAGGCAGTCTTCCTTCTTCAAATGCAATAAATGAGACGAGACAAGTGATCGCAACTGTGAGAGATTCGAAGCACCACTTGCGTCCCAAATCGGCGGTCCCCGTCCGAACTGTTTTTGCCGGCCAGCACAAAACTGAAGTTCATAAGCTCGTTGGTAGTTGCCAAAGGGATGTCTGACAGCCCGCAAAAGAGGGAACAAGTTTGAGGGTTTCCCATTCTTCATTGGCGTCCCCGTCAGAAGAATCACACCGACGCATCGTTGCGACTGGACCAGCTTCAATAAATCCTTTGTTCGTGCAGCCGCCATGGACTGCAATTGGTGGGCTTCATCGCAGACGACGACGTAACTATCGACGCTGCTTTCAACTTCAGTGGGGACCTTCGCCCAACTAAATATTTCCATTTTTGGAGTGCCATCATCTTCGTCGATGCAGATGGGTTCTTCATCTTCGGCTGCCTGCCCTTTTCTCTTTCGTTTCTTGGGTTTCTTTTCTTCGCCCTTGACCTTGATCTCTGTAGCTTGTTCTGCAGTGCGAGCCCACTCCGCTTTGAGTGAAACGGGGGCAATGACAATTACTTTGCAGTTTGAAAAGGTCTTTTGAAAGGATCTGGCCCAACAACAGCCAATCAAGGTTTTCCCGAGCCCCATGTCCAGAGCCAAGATGCAGCGTCTCATCCTCAGGCCCATGCAGATGGCCCGCCTTTGATGATCAAACAGCGTCCATCCATTCGCCAGAGTTTGCCCCAATCTAGCATGTTTGATTAATTCTGGGGTGCGCCCATCTTTCGCAGGTTGAACGACATCTGGGGAGAATCTCAACTCTTTGGGCAGCTGGGCAATGAGATTGTGCATTTTGGCAGCTGGAGAAGAAACGAGTGTTCCTTGTCTTGTCAATTGTTGCTGGGAGAGCTGAGGAGATGATGCAGCTACTTTCCGATCCATTCCTGGGGATGAAGCATCATTATTAGTCCATGAATTTGGTCTCAATGATTGCATATTGTTGGTATGTTGTCTGGATGTACCAACTGATGGAATCCGAGGCGGCCATTTGCTGGGGGAAGATGGGTTGTTTTGATGATGATTGATGGCTGCTATTCGAGTTGATTGCTGTGGCTCATCGTCTTGTTGGGTCAGATCAACGACAGGCGATGACGAGGAAGTCGACTGGGCGTATGGCTGCTTTTTGGTGGGGGAACCGGAAGTTCCTACTCTGCCTTCACAGGTAGAGTTGAGCGTGAATTGCGACTCTTCAGACTGACTCAAGGCGACAGCAGAAGCATGGTCTGCTACTCGACATGCTTCATCCCAATCAATCGAATCAAAACCAAAGCTATCTCCCTGATTATTGCTCTTCTGGTTGCTCCCCACGCTTTGAGTTGTTCCATTCGAGATTGTACTCTGCTGGGATAGTGGACCTTCCATGCTCGATCCAAAGGAAGACGATTGAGCCACATTGTTCGGATAACGATCATTCACACGATCAGTATTAACTCTTTCACTTGCAGATGGAAGTCTCGCTACATTCAGTGTCTGCTGATTGCTGCTGCTTGCTGCCTGGTAATATCGTGGCGGTTGGGTAGAAACCTCATTTTTTCGGTGAAAAGACCCATTGTTAGCTCCAATCGCGTTCGGTTTCTGCTTCTTTCTGGCGTAAGGGTTAAAGACTACCTTTCTAGCCGGTGATCCGCTTTGGTTTGGAGAGTTGCTCGTCATGGTGATTGAAGATTTATTCAGTCGATGTTATCATCCATAACACGTTGATTGAACATTCTCATTGTCCCATGTTCAAATCTGAGATGATAATAATAATAATATTAAACAACTTATCATTGTCAACGGCTGTTGAGAGTCGAGTCGAGTCACGAATCATTTTTTACCAAACAAAAAGTAGGAAAAAGTTCAAAACGCGATACTTATATCTTTTGGATCCTCTTTGGCTTCAGAGTCTCTTCGACCCCATGCTATTTTTAATACCCATTGGGCAGTCTTCTATCCATTAGACTATTAATACTTCAGTTTCAACCATTGCAACAATGACAGCAGCCTTGGCATCTCTTCGAGACAGCGCTCCTCGCACCATGGCGGAAGCCTTGGACAGCGACGATCCGTATGAGGCTTTGATGTCTCTGTCGGTGGCATCGAAAAAACGGGCCACCAAACTCTCGGAGGAGTTGACGACCCAGCTGGCCGATTTTGTCCTCGAGATTCCCGACATTGTCATCAAGGCTGCCAAGGAATCAGAGAGTATGGAAAATCCCGTATCGGACGCCATGGCATGTGCCGACAGTATTTTGAATTCTCTCACCAAAATTGCGTCGGGAGGAAGTCAAGCCTCGTTGGAAATTCGAAAATTGGAGCAAGAAAAAGCCGATCTCGAACAGCACTCACGCGATGTCGAAACTGCTCTTTGGCTTCGGACGAGTTGTGACAAGGCCAGCTCGGCCATTCCCTCTCGCCAATACGATGTTGCCGCCGGGGCCATTCAGCAATTCACGCAGTTAAAGGCGTGGAATCGCATCAGTGGACGTGCTCGAGCGTATGCTGGAGAATATACCATTCAACAATTGGAACAGCATCATGTCACGCTCAAAAAATTATTATTGGAACAGTACGAAGTGGCCGTGCAACAGTCGGATTTGCAAAGGCTTGGGCAAATGACGCCTCTGCTTCCCAAGGTTCAATTGGAACAGGAGGCGGTTTCGCTCTATTTAAAATATTTGCAAGCCATTACTGCTCAAGAATTTACCAAGGCCATCCAAACAGCTCCAGTGCCCAAGGGAGCCTCGGCGGCGCCACCGTTTGCCTTGATGGCACGAGTCTACAATGCGGCAGTCACCGTTTTACGACACCACCTTCCTCTCATTTCCCATTGCTTGCACAGGGCCAAGGGAGATGCCGCTGTGGCTCAATTGGTCCACGTGCAGGTGGAGCAGCATGTCTTGCCGCTCTTCCAAAAATACATTGAGACGAGGGAATTGCCACTGGTGTCTCAATCTGCGCAACGAATTTCGGGAGTGTTGGAAGACAAGTATTCTGGACGAGGTCTCGACTACGATGGCGAGGACGAAGACGATTGTGGATTTGCCAGTGAAGTTGGAACCTTGGCCGATGTGGATGCGGCCATGGAAGAGGCAGCACTCTGCTTGCAGCATGCCGAATCATACACGCGCTTTATGAATCATTCCGTCCAAGAGATAAACAAGGCGCGAGCTCTCAGATTTCACCAAGAGCAAGAGGAAAAACGGGTCGAACGCGAGCGTCAAGAATGGGCAACAGGCATGTCGACGACCAGTAGTTCTCGTTCCGCCGAAGATTACAGTGAACGAGCCGAGTATGAGCCATTGGAGATTTTGCCCGCACGCACACAGCTGCAAGAAGTGGTTTGGGAAGTCGGAGGATATTACTCTGGAATTGAACGCTGTTTGCTTTTGGCGTCCATGCAGCGAGCTTTTACCGCTCCGGAAACTGATCCTCGCTATTGCTCGCCTCTTGGCTTCAAGGGACAGTCTTCCCACATTGCCAGTAGAGCCCTTCAAACGTCCATGGTGGAGACTTGTCTCTACACCGCTCGAAGAAGCACCCAGCGTGCGTTTGCCACCGGACACACAGGAACTGCCTCGGCCGTGGCCAACTTTGCTGCGGATGCTCTTTCGGGTGTGCTCATGACTGTCATGTCGCAGCGCGTGGAGGAAATTGGAGTGCATCGACTCAAGCCTGGTGAGGGACTCTTGGTTGGCGGAGCTGGACTGTTCTTTCAGAACATTCGTCACGGAGGAGCCCAGGCACAACAGGCGCATCACCCGACACCAAAACAAAAGTTGGAAGAGGAAACCAAGCGACGAGAGACGCAGATGGAAATGGCCAAGACATGTGCCTACTTTAATGATTTGGAAATCGCCATGCATCATACGAAGCAATTGGAAACCTTGCTGGCCGATGCGATCATCGGGGGCTTTCCACCTAATACACACGAGACGGATCAGTTGCTCATGTGCGTCAAATCGCTCTCTACTGTCTCGGAGGGATTTCAATTGGCAGCCAACACTGCCATTGAATCGCTCGTTACCGTTTTGAAACCCCGTCTTCGAAATATTGTCGGAGAAGTTGCTGGCGCAGAAGGGTCGGCCAATTTCATGGGCGTGGGAGGCAAAAGTGGCGACCGTGTCCTGGTGAAGATGAACTATGACCTGGATGACGAGTCGTATCAAATGATGCAGTTGAGTGAAGGCTACATGGGAAGAATGTGCACTTTGTTGGATGAATTGATTCTGCCCTTGCAGCCGTACTTTGCTCCTCGCCTATGGGACAACTTGATGCTCGGAGTCCTAGGTGCTACCTGTAAGCGTCTGGAACAGTCCATCCGAAAGGTAAGATAGGTGGTCGTGGTGAATACTGTCTGAGCTTCTTCTCGTCAGCCAACTGATTCTGATTGCCTCTGATCTTTTGGACCCGGCAGTGCCCCTTCACAGCTCTCGGGGCAATCTGTCTTGATTCAGATATGCGTGACCTCTTGGGCTATGCCAAGGAGCGTTTGGATTCGCCCGAGCTGAAATCGAATGTTGCTTTGTACCGTGCTTGTGTGCCCTTGGCTCGCTTGATGCAGATTTCTCGGCTGGTCAACGTTGACGACCTGGACGATGTGATCGATTTGATCACATCGTCCAAGAGGAAAGGTGGATGGGACCTCAAACTGGATGAAAGCAAAGCCTTTCTGTGCCTTCGCAAAGAATTTTCGGCCGAGAAGGTGAATGAGCTGCTTCATGACGACTGAACAGGATGACTCAAGACAATAGACTAGACTACTAGTCTTCAAACCAACTAAAAAGGTACTGGTCTTGCATAGCCAGAAGGTGGGCTACTTAGTTTTTAAAAATCTGGCATACTAGTAGCACAATGCGCGGCAGTTTTGATCCTTCATTGGGAAAGTAAAATCAACAGGACTGTTGCCACCCTCAAACCAAATGTGGATCTTGACGTGAGTTCCGATCTCCTTGAGGAGTGCATTCTTGGTAGGAGCCTCTACCAGTACCGGTACGGCCCCCGCTTGGAGTCTTCTTTTTCGTCGTCGGTTGCGGCGCCATTGTTTCCAGCAATGGAAATTTAGTTGTCGTCTTCATCGCTCGTGGTGATTGTCGTCTGCCTTTGGAGGCGGCACGGGACTACTCGTAGCAGACGCCTCGAAGTCAAAAGCAAATTCGCTCTGGTGGATATCGAATGAAGAATCGAATCCCATCTCTATCTATCGTCCTTTACTGCTGGAAGTACACATGTCATGTTTGGCAATGCCAGAATCGCTTGCAGGCCTTCCTTGTAAGTTGGAAAGGCCAAACCAGTTTCTTTCAACAAAAGTGTTTTCATCCGTTTATTGCTGACTCGCTTCAATTCCTGTGTTCTTCTCTTGGCGCGACGTGTGGATGATGCCGACGCTTTCCTGGTTGTTGGTGGTGGTGTCTTGGGGAGAGTAATGTTGTTGGTTGCCAACAGTTCCTCAGCATACTTCATCACAACACCTCGAGACTCTGGCAAGTCGTCCGCTAAGTTGAACATGTGAGTTGTTGAATAGTTGTCTCTTGGTTCCTTCATTCCTCCCGCAATGGCCCTTGCGACGTCTGTCACGTGAATTCGGTTTGTGATTTGTGGCTGTCTACCCGTAGTTGTTGAGTACCTTCCAGGTGCTTCAGCAGTAGTCAGTGGTATGCCTTTCTTGTAGAGCGTATGAAGAGCGGATCGTTCGGGTCCATAGATACCGGCACATCGAAAAATGTAGAGAGCATGGTTTGTACCCTGAATCCGATCTTGCCACTCTGTTTCATAATCTCTGTACCGTGCTGCATTGGTACCTTCCTGACAAAGCAGATCCGAGTCCTCGTCTACCCATTTTCCGTCGTGATGTCCATAGACTCCGGTGGTTGAAAGCACACCAATCCAAGATTGATCGGGCAGTGATTCCACAATGCTGTCATAGATGTTGTTTAAATGGTTGTCACCCATGGAAGATGGGGGTATCGTGACGAGGACGTGAGAACATGTGGAGGGAACTGTGCTGCTCCCACAAAGTTTCTCAAAGGCAATTTTTCGAAGAATGGAAGGGTCTTCATCGGTTTGATCCGTAGCTTCCGTATTCCGAACGGTCCCATAGACTAGAGGAAAATCGCCGGCAATGGTTTGAGCAACTTCCTTGCCGACGGCCCCCAGACCCAAAATGAGACAGTTGTTGCTGTTGCAATTCGTGGTTGGCGATGGAGCCAACGCAGAAACAAACAAGGAAGTGCTTCTCGAGAGTGCCAAAGCTGCAATCCCCGAAAGAGATACATGTAGCACCAGACGAAGTGTCGCTGCCATTGGGAGGAATGAGTGAATGATCCAACTTGCGTCAAAGCAGCTCCAAATGGTGAAGAGCCAAGTCAGGATTATATCACAGAGTAACTCACCCCGCTCTCGCCTAAGTAACTTTCTGTTTTCGTCCACCTGACTAAAACATGTTTTCGTCACCTTGACTAAAACTAACATTGACCATCCTTCCCAAATCGTGTTTTAGTCAACAAGTCTAAAACCTGTTTTAAACCTAAAGACCGAAACATGTTTTAGTCCGTAAGGCGAAAACAACTCGGCGCTCATTCGCGTGCGTTATGCCAGCGAAATAGTCATAATTTCATTTGGATTTGGATTCACTCCACAAATCAACCCACATCCACAACAAGAACAACCTCCCACTCCATCCACAGCCAAATCTCCACATCTATCCCCCCTCTGCACTCCCCACAGCCCAAGAAGACACACAGAGAGTCTCCTTACCATCACTACTACTACTCCAGCACAGATCTCTAGCTGGAAAAAGCCCAAACACAAGGAACAAGCCTGTAAGTGCCCGGTGCAGTTTGTGACACGTTTTCGTCGTACCGACCAAATCATGTTTTCGTCGTATTGGTTAAAACATGTTTTCGTCGTGTGGATTGAAACATGTTTTCGTCGTGTTGGTTAAAACATGTTTTCGTCGTGTGGGTTGAAACATGTTTTCGTCGTGTGGGCTAAAACATGTTTTCGTCGTGTGGGTTAAAACATGTTTTCGTCGTGTGGGTTAAAACATGTTTTCGTCGTGCTGACCAAATCTTGTTTTAGTCGTCCCTACCAAAACATTGATGCATGTGATTATCTTAATGTTGAGGAATATTTCTTGAGTCTCCTGATCCTCATTGTTAACTCATACTCTTTCTCTTTTCTCTTCCTGTTCATTACTCTGACTGCCTCCTATTGACATTATGTCTACTTCAAAGAAGGGCAAGGGTAGTCGTGGCAAGCAGAACAAGTCTCACAGGCAAAGTCCAGTGAGAAGTCCGCCAGTCAGAAGGCTACCATTCTTGAAAAGAAAAGGAAGAATGTTATTGGTGCATGTTTCTGTGTTTTGGTCATCTGGACTAAATCATGTTTTGGTAATTGGGAATAAAACGCGTAATAGTCATTAAGGTTAAAACAAGTTTTAGTAAATCGGAATAAAACGTGTTTTAGTCATTAGGACCAAAACATCAGTTGGGTTTGCAAGCGGGGTGAGATACCGGTACTCTGTGTTATAATCCTGATGCCTCCTGAGAAAAATGAGGCGCTCGTTTCCGGGAATGTTTGAGTCATCAATGACGTCAGAAGGCGAAAAAGGAAAACAGACAAACACAACCACAAAAGAGCCTTTGCAGATGACAACTTCTCCATCCCCTTGCACAAAAAGGACCTCCACGGTGGATTGAATCGACACGACTCTACGACAGTGCGAAACCATGGCCAATCCATTTCCCCTTTTAGAGCTTCCCGAGTCTGTTCTGTCGACGTCACTGGGGTCTTTCCTGGACGGGAAAAGCATGTCAACCTTTTTGATTGTGGTGCAAGGTAGCCGAGAATGTGATGATGACAGTGTATTGGGGCTCTTGCGAAATGCACTAGTGCATCGCTACGGTCAACTCTACAATCGTCTCTCTTCTCCGCAAGAAGAACCAGAGACAGAAGAGATTCGGGATGTACTGTTGGTTACCAAAGAAGAAGTCCGAACCAGCGAGTCCATTGCCAAATTTCCAGAATGGTGTGCCGTGCTGGACTACTTTGAAAAACAGCTGGCAGCACAGGACACCACCACCACTGACATGGCAGCAGCAAAATGGATTGTCTGGTGTGGACCCATCGAAACTGTTTATGGGCCCTTTCCTGCGGCTTTGGAGTGTTCTACCGAATGGTCTCTCGGGGCCTTGGAATACTGGAATGAAGTTGAGCTAGAACAATTCTCTATTGTCCACCCAAATTCAAGAAGTGTCAATGACCAACAATACGACTTATCCACCTATTATGGAACGGTGCAGTCTCTCACAGAAGAAGGGCGATTGCTATTGGCAAACCTGTACTTGACTCTGGAACATGACCCCAATCACTGGGAACACTACCTTCTGCTACGGTCCAGAAGCTATGACGATCAGCCCACTGAGTTCTGGACCCCTAAAACTGGCCATCCATCAGAACTGCTGTGTTTCTGGGACAGCCAAGAACAGGCATATGACTGGGAAGATGCGCTGAACAAATTGGGCGACAATGTGATTCGCATCATGGCCCGTTGTATTGAGCAACAGGGATCCTTTCCATGAAGAAGCATTGGTGAATCAAAATCACGAAGGGAATCCAACAACATATGGATCGTACACTGTTGTCAGTGACGAAGCAACCCAACAATAAACCACTCATCAGTCATTTTGGTTGACATGGTTTGTCATCTATTCAAACTCGGCATCAGACCACCACCCGCATAGAAACCATCCGCATAGAAACCACCCGCGCCGGAAACGCACCAGGAGTCAGTTCATTCTAAAGTCTTCCCTCAACTTCTCCTTTTGATCAGACCTCCACTTCTGCTGTGCAATCCGTGATCAAGAAGTTGCAAGTTTCAGGCTCTTACAAAGAATGACTATCGCTATGGCAACTCTATGGCAACCCCATGCCCGAAAGTGTTTTCTGGGACTCAACAACAGTTACTGGCCTCGCATTGGGAATGTGTGATTGGTAAAGTAGGACACAGTCTGATTTAAATCATGTCACAGTGCATTGAGCAAAATGGGCCATGTCCAGTCCGTGGAGATTAATGAATCAAAAGCGAAGGAATCCAAGCAACAACACATATTTTGATAGGACACCGTGTATTGTCGCCGTCGGTGGTGGTTTTGCGGGAATCAATGCTCGATCTCCTTTCGTACCTTTCTCCAGAGCCACGGTTCCACAACACATCCGCGAGAACCAGGAGCAGGACCCAGCAACCCTTCTCGTCTAGCCAATGCTACAAGCTGCCCTTGAAACCCATTATTCGTTAGAAAAGCATTCCCTCGGCATGTCCGACAATGTAGAACCGTCTCCAAGACATTGGTTCTGGTTCGTAGCATGTGCTCCGCCGCCACAATCACCCCGGATCGATTGCAGCCTGCATAACAATGCACAACGATGCGCGCCTCGTTTTTGCTGTTGTTGTTCTGGGCCCCCCGCATAAATTCCAGGCACTCTTCCAGATGTAAGTCCAGCATGTCGTAGGTGGGCTCGTCAATGGCATCCACCATTTTATAGTGAATGCCTTTCTTTTCGTATTCTTCTTGGGGGCTCCAAGCTGCCATGGAACCGGCAACATTCAAAACGTGTGTAATGCCAAGTTTGTGGAGCTTGTCCACATCGCTGACACCAGAGGCATTGGAGATATATACGCTTTCTGATATTTGAACTGGAACCTGCTGCTGCTTCTCTCTTAGTTTTTTGATGGTTTCTTCTTTGGCCGTTGCACTATTGTTGCCTGCTTTTGTGAGCTGGTGCTCAGCATGGTGCTCCCATTCCAAAAGATTTCCGATGGTGAAAATGTACGGGTCGTCGGATTTCTTTGGCTTCAGCGGCCTTTGCTTCCGTCGACCAAATTGATATTGGCCCATTTGCTTGTTATCGTTGAAAGCGGATTGCCATGTGGTTAGAGTGGACTATTCCGTAGTGGAGAGATGGACTCCAGAGGCTTTTTCGAGCCAAGAGGGAGCAGACCAACCCAAGGAGGAAAGGATCGCGAAGGAAGGAGGGCCTGGGAAAAGGGAATGGGGGAGAGCTTGTTATTGTATGACTTGTTGGATGCGCATCAAGGGAGAACTTGCTATTGTATGAATTGTGGAGGTAGGAAGCCCCGCCCCCTCTTGTACTGTATTTCTTGGAATGCTCAATTTTCCTACTCTCAAATGATGTTCTTCATGCAGACCCGTATCTCAATTGCCCTTGTGAAAGCTACCCATTTATGTCTCAGTGGGTCCCGCAAAGCCAAACCCTTTGCCCCCCGTAATGGTCCTCCATTTCTTGCCCCTGATCCCACAGAACCTAGTCCTGAATTTCGACTGTTCTTTGCTTAAGCCTGGCCCCGGCTGGCTTCCGTAGATAATTTCCCTACTCTAAACCCCCTTATATACTAGAGTCTAGCACGTCTTGATCGGATCGGATCGAATCGAATCAATCAATCGAATGAATGATTCATCGAATCGAATCGAATGATCAAGAAGGAGAATCGAATCAGACCTTATGAGAGTACGATGTACAGTCGTACTGTACGAAGGCGTTGCGTTGCAGACCTCGAGGAAGAAGCGCCACCATCCAACATCAGTTCCAGGTTGCGTCCAGGTCTAACTAAGACATTCATATTTTAGCATTCTATACATGTGAGTAGCGTTGTGAGCATTCAGGCGAAGAGTGTTGGTGGTCCGTCTGGTTGTTCGGCTGGTCGATTCTGCTTTTCCAACATGCTGCGTGTGACAAGCTTCTCGGGCAATGCCTCGATACCACCAGGTCGTCGGTTCTGATGCAACAGGGATTCTTCTTGGACGGCACGATCGAAGATGCCAGCAGCCGAGCCACTTCCATTGGTATCCCGATTCAGGTTGTCACTGGCTGCTCTCAGGAGATCCCGCATTGCATCCTTTTGGCCTTTGGCAGACTTCTTTCTGTTCATGTTTTGCTCCAGCTGGTCAATGGCGTTCATGTCAATGCCTGGGAGAGCAGCAAGAACGTGACGAGGCAGATTGCTTGGGGTTGTCAAGATACCACCTCCGCTCAACGGCCGATCCACAGTCTTTGCTTGCTCAAACTCGTTGATGTTGTGCGGTAGTTTGTTTTGTTGTTGCCCTGCACCTTGCCCTCCTGGTTGTAGCGCCTGGCCAAGTACAAGACGACAGTAGATGTCTCGCACAACATTGATCATGTCCCACTCAACGCCGACCATCCATTTTGGTTCCGTGACAATGTTCTTTACAGCCTGAGTGAACATCCGATTTCCGATCAAGTCAGTGTATTGTGGAGCCCAAGCAACAGTCTCGATGATTCGGTGGCAAATCTTTGTCACGCGTCGGCAAGTGTATGCGTCAGGGTAAGCCAGGCACTGGATGACGGCCAAGGTAAGGTTACCCGCGATTGCCTCATTTTCCAGAAACAAAAAGTGGCTCATGGCATTGATTCGTAAGAGTTTCCGTGCGTCAAGACCCATTTGGGCTTCGCTACGAGGAGTGCCATCGACATTGACTGGGCCCTCAGAAGCGGGGCGAGTCTTTGGTCCCGACTTCTTCATCTTGAAGCTGTTACTGTGCTTCAGAGCGTGCTCTTCCTTGGCTTGGTACGCAAGAACAAGCGCCCAGTCTCCTTTCAAAGCCAAACAGGATTGTAGCATATCACAAAAGTTTCGTGTCAGTTCAACACGGCCCTTTTCAACGGCCGCCTCTGCGGATATGGCGTCCAAGTCCCCGACCATTAGGCCGGCTCTAGCGTAGTACGCAGCAAACCAATTGTCGCCTCCTTGAGCTGCAAGCGCTGCGGCTGATTGGCAATCCGCAGAACCTAATGCTTTCGTTGGCACCTGGGAACCTTGTCCGCCGAGGACTGGCGCCCAGGTTTTACCAAGACGATCCAGCATGTGCTCAATGAACGGTCCAAGAATTGGCGCCAGGTGCGTGCTGTACAAACTGGCTGGGCAGCTCAGCAGCAATAGTTCAACAAAGTGTTTGCTGAACAATTAACAGTGGGTCAGTATTAGTTTCGCACTTTCGGGCTTTCTCAACGTGTCATGACGCTCCACTTACATGAAATGGTTCATGTGACGATGCTCCATGGATCTCAAGTTCATTGGGTTGACGAGTACCGCAGTGATATGCGGAAACATATCCGTCATTTCGGGTGCATAAATTACTCGCGATGCAGACAAAAGACCAAGTATTTGGAACATTGTGTGTCGTATTTCGTTGAACCATCCGCTCCATTTGGGTACCAGGTTGTTGTCTCGGCGGTCGGTGCCGGCCACGACACTACCAGCCGTCCCACCTTCGCCGAAAACGCCCCCGGAATGCTTGTCGTGATTTCTCATCAGAAAGGCTTCATCGTCGGAAATAGCAAAGGCATACCGCTGGAGCCTATTGGGCAGTAAGGCTGCTTGCTGTTCGGGATGCCAGGTGCCGAGGATGACATTCAGTAGCTTTACAACAGAAGAGGCAAAACGAGGCCAGAGGGGGGCAAACGGATCGTTCACAGCTAGATCGCGCAAGCTTACAGGACCCTCATCTGGAAAGCTGTGAAGCGTAATGTCTCCAGAACCATTCGTACCAGGTAGAGCCCCGCCAGATGCAATGCGCTTCCTGGCTGCCTCGTTGCACCGCTTTCCAACCGACATGAGCTGATTGATGGCGTTGAACATATCATGGTAACTTTTCGATATTCGCTTGACGTTTGTCGCATCCGTTACACTTTCAGGATATTGAGCTGCACCGACAACCCCCATAGAAGTGAGGAAGTTTTGTACATTGGATATTCTTTCCTGCACCTCCGGGGATTCCAAAGCATTCACCGAATTGGACAAGACATCAGCGATGAATGCCGATCTAGCAGTCGGGTCCTCCACAGCGGTCGCGACACAAGAAAGGAACTCATACAGATGCATGTGATTCACTGGCATGAGCTTTTGGGATGAAAGCAACGATCCGGTGGCCTGGCTGAGCTGCGACAACCAAGGGACAAGATGGTGTGGTACCGTGCGTGCGATGGAAACGAGCGCGACTCCACTCTTCTTTCTCAAACCAATGACTTCGTCACTCAAATTGTTGTTTGCATTGGCTGTTGCAGACGCATCCAGTCCTCTCCAATCATCTGGGTCGCTTAGGTATCGAAACAAAGACTCGATTGCCGGCAATAAAGTGGATGGATCATATTTCCAAAAGTGTTTCTGAGCCTCCAGGAGCGTTGCACGTCGAAACTTTAGCCACAAAAAAGTGGGGTTCCAAGATACCAGAGCCTGTGCGAGTTTTGCTAGAGAAGCACGCGTGCTTGCCCGTATCTTTGTGCAGGACAGAAAAGCGTCAATATTGCAGTTTTCCTGTTGTTCAATAAATCATCAAGCTGACACATGCTACTGTACATACCTCCGCTCTTTCACGGTCAGAAACTCGGCTATCGTCTGCCAGTGACCATTCTGGGAGACCACTCAAAATATTGTCGGTTGGTTGGCACAGTGCCTCCAGCTGCATCACTGCGTCGCTCTTTGGTGTCAATTGATGATTATTGGAAGGATCAACGTTGTTGACGGGTTCCCCATTGCCATGAGCTTGCAGAATTTGAATGACACGGGCAGAAACGGTTGACGATGCCACTCGAGGGTCGTTGTTGGCCAAAAAGCGATAGAGGAGGCTCGCCTTGGATCGAAAATCTGCCATCCAGCTGTCGTATTCTTCTACATCATCCCAACTGGCCTCCATCAAGGATGTCTGTGGGTGTATTTGGTTCTCGACATCGTCCCAACGAATTCGAATCATGGGATCCATAAAGCACGATAAAATTTCCTGCGTGAATGGCCGTAGAATTTTGGCCTTGACAACTTGCGGGTCTCGAAGCAGAGAAACCCACGCATTGGTCTGTTCGGACACGATGCGACCCGACGGATGGTGCAGCATATCCACAACCAACCGTAAGTAAGCATGTAGTTTGTCGTAGTGGTCCCCGTTACAACCCAAGATTTGTTTGTCATTGTTGATATGCGAAATGTAGGAAGATAGTAAGGAGGCCAGTAGCCGAGCCAAGCCGCGATGAAAATCAAGCTGCAAGGTCAATGTATCCGACGAATTCAACGGAGTAACTTGGCCAGACCCTGACTTCAACGCCTGTTCGACTTGCAAATGTTCAATGGATTCTGTCTGAAACAAGCGATTTGCTTCTCCAATGGCTGCTGGCAACTCTGATATCAACCGAAACCACTGATGAAACGTCAATTTTCCACGGAGAGTCAACTGCTCCAGACACTCTAGAGCCAAAATTTGTACATTTTCTGTTCGTTCTCGCAAGAGATGAAGCAGCGCTGCGATAAAGTCGATTTGGTGGTGATTTCCATTGGTGGTGGCTGTCGTCGCTCCTCCTTTTGTCGAATCAGTACTACTACTACCCCCCAGCATCCAATCCAGTGGCATGGAGCGGCAAAAATACTTCATGGTTTCCAAAGTATCCGCCAATAATTTCCCTGTTTGATTTTGCAAATTGAGTTGTGTTTGGTACGCCAGTGCCTCTTCCTGGTTCATGCTCGAAAACCCGCGATTGTTGCTTAACAGATACGTCCTCATACTGTGTAGTGTGGCGTTGGTTTGGTTGAGAAACGAAACATGTTCGAGGATATGAAAGAATAGTGGCAAAATTTCCGAAGACACCTCGTTGAGTCCTGTCAAGATATCATTTCGTCTAGTTGTGGAAATCTGGTTGTACATCGACATGCAATATCCAAATAAACAAAATAATGAATGAATGAATGAATCAGTCAGTCAGTCAGTCAAAGAGAGAGATACCAGTGCAAAACCCCCTATTTCGCAGAAGAAGCTCACCTTGGCATTAAAATCACTGTCCGTACAATCTTCCGCCACCAATTTGAGACATTCGAGACATATTCTCACTCCCGTTTGAGTGGCAGCTTCCGCTCCAGGTTCATTGTACCAGAGTCCACCTTGTCTCATGGGAGACAGTACTTCATTGACAAATCCGGTCCATCGTTGCGGAAAATCTCTTACGACCAATCCAGCCAGTAGCGATGCCAGTTTGTTTCCCAGTATTCTGGTTTCTGCCACAGCCGGTGAACTCGGTGCGTATTGCTTGGCCGTCCCCAGTACGGCTTGTCGCAGTGTAAGTCGATCATTGGGATCGCATTGTGTGTAGCCACCCGTTCGTAAAAAGTTGTGTAAAATCTCCAGCAAGAGTAGTTTGGTCGGTACGGTAATGTCATGTTCTCCAAAAACGTGTCGCTCTTGTGTCAACCACGATATACATAATGCTATGCGGCCATCAAATCTCTTGAGTTCTTCCAAGACTTTGAGAGCATTTGATTGCTCCTGAGGATACAGGTTCAGGGATGAAACTGCAATGGCGCGTAGAATGGTCTGTTGTTGATTGCCATCCATGCTCAGAGCGGCCTTGCTGTCCTTTCGAATTTCGGTTTATGCAGAGAGTCACGTCGAGAAATAGAGAGAGGAATAAGCCGTATGCTATTGATGAATCATAGGAATTGAATTGGTGACGCGATGAGAAGAGGTAAGAATGAAGCGGACGCTTCCGAGAAACGTGTCTTTGGTCTGTTTCAGTCTTTGCTTTCAGGAATCAAGCGAGACTCAGAGGAGGTCGAAATAAGAGGATGTACGCAAGAATGGAGAAGGCGATGGTTTGGTTGAGACGTGAGATGGATATCTAACGCATACCTGGGTAGACGAAGGAGTGTTGGAGTTTGTGGAAATTGTCGTCGAGGTTGTGAAAGTTTGTCGCCGAGATCGAGAGCGGTTCGGGAAGAAAACAGAAGAGCAACGAATGAAAATGAGGCCACGAGAAGCCCAAACGGACGACGTAAGGGCCAAGAAAAGGGAGTCATGCTCATGACTGAACATACGACTGAACCAGAATACTTCGCACTATTTGCAAGCTACTTTAGTGTATTTAAGGTGGTCGAACCCAGGATGTAAGCCAGCATAAAGCTGTGAATAATAATGACGTTGTTGCTGGATAGATCTTTTGCATTCGTACGGAATTTGGAATCTCGATTGATATCCAGCGAAATCTTGCATCCAGTTCGCGCTATTATTTTCGGAATTCCAGCTTCGAGCCGCCAAATTTCGAGACCGTGCACCTCGCCCCTTATATCTTTGGGCGAACGAGAGCACGGCGAGCCCAAGGATGGACGTGCGCATTGGTGACATGATTCTCGACCCAAAAATCTGCAAAGGCATTGAAAAAATGGGGTACGTCGCACAATTACTTCTACTAGATCGGTACTGATAAACGACGTACCGGTAGCTACTATGGAAGAGTCAACGCCGACACCAAGGACCAAATGGAAGCCATCCTCTACCACAGAACAAGCCAGACTTGCTGCTAGTGAAGGTGGATGGAATGGTCTTGCTGGAATAAATGATACTTGTGTCAGCACTACTGGGAGATCAACTAGAAATGCCAACAGTGGAAGCAACAAACACAAGAAGAAAAGAAGGCTGCTGTTCGAGGATGAATGCGATGAAGAGTTTCAACCAGAAGAGGCCACTACAGCTGATGAAGAAGAGGCTGCTACCACCGAAGAAGAAGATAATGAACTCACCACCACTGAATTCAATACCAAAGCAAGCAGCCGGCTACTGTTGGAGATTTGCCAAGTTGAAAAGCTGGTTGCCGATTTTTGCAAATGCCCTCATTGCGACCTTGATGGTGGGCCGATGCCGTTGATCATGACCGTCCACAACTGCGGCATTGTGTCACAAGTTCGACTGAGATGTGCCAACGAAGAATGTGATTTCACCTACGAATTACCCCTTCCCGCAAAGACAACAATGCATACGGACGACAAGAAGTACGAACGGAGTACAGATTATCAGCTCAATCTAGTGTTCGTTCTTGGGAATCTTGCGAATGGCGATGGTGGAGTAGAAGCCGGCAAATTGCTTGGATTGATGGGGCTACCGAATGATACCACAATGGCTGGCAAAACGTTTCCCACGATAGAGCGAAGGATTGGCCCCGTATTGCGGGAATTGAGGGACGAAATCCTGATGGAAAACCTGGACGAGGAAGTCAGACGATCAACCACGGAAGAACATTATTTGGCCTGGAAGATGTCAATCCCAGAGCAGCATAAGGACCATCCCGTCAAGATCAGGTTGAAGGGATCGTACGACGGCGCTTGGCAGCAGAAGGGATCCGGCCTTCTCTACAATTCATCGTCTGGCCACGGTAGTTTGGTTGGTGCCATGACCCGAAAGGTTGTTGGGTTCGGTCAAAAGAGCAAGAAGTGCGGCACATGCGAACGGCATGAAAAGGATCACCCTGACGCCGATACCCGTCCTGATTATCCGGAGCACTATTGTCCCCGCAACCACGATCCAAACGATTCTTCTGGTGCCATGGAAGCGGCTTTGGCCTTGGAAATCGTGATTGATCTATACGACAATAAAGGCATTATTCTGGAGCTCCTTTGCTGCGACGACGACTCGTCCATTCGGGCTGATTTGAAGTGGTCGAACAAAGACTATCTAATCAACAACAACACTACCGTTCTACCGCAGGTGCCAAAGACGAAAGGAAAGAATAAAGGTGAATTGCAAGATCGTCCGGACAAAGGGAAACTACCCGGCCATATTCCGGAGCCAAAGTTTTGTGCCGATCCCAACCACCGCCGCAAACAGTTGACCGGGGAACTCATTCGTTTGGATTTGGCCAAAGTCGCAGACAAGAAGACAATGACCAGGCTGGATTCCATTCGTCTTGGCAAGAATTACGGCTACATGGCCCGCACACTCAAAGACCGGGATGAATCCGAATTTGTTGACGTTGCTTGGGCGTGTTTGGAGCACCATTTTGATTCGCACGACAAATGCGGTGATTGGTGCGCTCGCTGCAAGGCAACGGCAGCTGAGCAACTTGCTAGCAAGAAGTACTACCGCGACAAGAAAGAAGATGCGGAACTCTACGAGCTACTAAAGAAGAAAATGGGGCGCTACTGTGAGCTTGAGCGACTGAGAGAGATTGCCCACGGCTTGGACACGAATGCAAACGAGTCATTCAACAGTGTCTGTACCTGGTTCGCACCCAAGAACAAAGTCTTTTCCGGGTCCTGTTCGCTAGCCAACCGTCTTGCCTTGGCCATCGGCATCGTCTCACTTGGATATGTCCAGTTTTTCAACCGTCTATTTGTCAAGCTCGGCATTGACATGACTCCGCACGTCCAGCATTACCTGATGTTCCGACAGGATGCTAGGCAGAAACGATTGGACCGGCTGAAGACTCCGGAGTACAAGAAATACCGGGCGGAAAAGAAGAACGAGAGGATCCGTTTGGAAACAATTGCGACGAAGAAGGCTTGGGCAAAACGACACAAATGCTACCGCCCAGGCATGAACCTCGACCTTCCGCAAGAGCAGCTCCCTGCCGAGGCGGCTCGAATTGATGCTGAAAGAGCCGCAAAACAACCAGCCAAGAAGAGGACGAAAACGAACAATACGACAAGCAGCAAAGGCAGGTTTTGTCCCTTCTGCGGTAAGAACGGACACGTTTCGACCAAATCTAAAAAGTGTCTCAAGACTGGCGATTCCAAGGCTACCACCGAATATGACAGATTGACAGGCAAGCTACTATCAGACCTGGCTGCCAGCACTCCAATTGCAGCTTCTATTCCAGCTGCTAGTGCTTCTAGCCAGTCAGCAACCAATCTAGAAGCTGAAATTGAGGATGAGGTCAGCCCAGAGGAAGAGGCCCAAGATTTGGCACGAATGGTAGAGGATGGCACGAAGGATCTTGCTGATTTGGAGTGCATTCCCTTTGATGCCCTTGATGGTGACAACGAAAAAGACATGGTTGGTGCTCTTGATGATGACGATAGTGATGCTGGCAGCAATGCCATCTAGCAGCCAAGCTAGCTAGCTAAACGTACTAGTACTGTAGTGTGCTGCCGTAACTTCGTTGTCTGTTCCTCTCGGTAGCGGTGGCAGATGGTACGGTACCGGTACCTTAGCTTCGAATGTCGCCATATCCTTCAGACATACGTAGGAAACGGCGAAGTTGGAATAATTGAAGGCTTTGCCCAACTTATTCATAGCCGTTGTTTTTTTTAGGTGGAGAATTTTGTATTCAAAAAACGCCATCACATTTTTGTTCCTGGCTGGCAGCAGCTATAGTAAAACAGTACAAAAACACGTTTCAGCCCAAATCAACAGCTTTTTCACCGGATAAAACCAGGATTCCCTTTCCCGTTGGAGGAACAAACAAATCGAGTTCGAAGCACAACAGCGACTATCGGTCTTATGAACCTCATTATCTCGATGGCTGCTGCTGCTAAGCCCCTGCAACCAAACATTTATCTCCTTCTAATAGTATAAGGAAGACAGTAGTCTCTGGTTGCGGGGGCATAGCACCACCAGGCATCGAGCAATAAGGGTTTGAAGCAGCGATCGACAAAAGAATCGACACCTTCTGTCGACGCAGAATGCCAACAGGTGGACCGGAATAGAGCACCGATACCCATCAACAACAGCTGCCTATTACTATTAGCAAGAGGTATTCTAGCAGTAATAGTCCACATCGAGTATCCTACTGCGATTCCGGCCCACCTTTAGCAGCAGCTGTCAATTCTTTTCTTGTTGTTGTTCTCTCGCGATTCTATCGCGATAATTACCTTTCTACGCACCAATATTTCTCACAGCTTTATGCTGGCTTACATCCTGGGTTCGACCACCTTAAGTTCGCACACAGTTATAACTAGTACTAGTACGCTGTACATGTGGTCTAGCTTTAGCTATCCTCCTGTCATAGTGCTAGCTAGCTAGGAGCTTGGGCAGGAGCGCCTGAAAACGGGACTCGCGAGCACCTCTTCCGCGAATCCGCGACTCGCGCGCGGCCGCGGCGCGAATCCGCGAGCGCGGCCGCGAATAACCGCGAAAATCCGCGAGATTTAGGATGCCACTTTTAAAAGATATAGAGGAGTTGGTTCTTAAATCTCGCGGATTCTCGCGGTTATTCGCGGTTATTCGCGGATCGGCGATCGTTTCGTGGATCGCGGATTCGTGGAAAACCGTTAAATCCGCGGATCGTGCCACGATTCGCGGATTATCAGCCGCTCCAGAGACCAACAACATTGCATTTTAACATCTAACAAGCCTCTGTTTACAGCAGTGGAGCCTTGCTTGATCATTAACTAGCTAGCTTGTCACAAATTTGCATGACGGTTGCATTCATAGTACCAACAATGACCAGCAGGCTGGTCCAAAGATTGCTTGAAACTCTCCAACAGGATGGGCCTGCAGAGATGCTCGAGACCACATCTTTTCCGTCACTGGTTGGAACATTTGCCTATCTTAGACTAACTACCAGGCCTGACATCGCCATGACTGTCTCGGAGATTGCCCATTCAATACACAATCCCAACAAGAGTCATGCTGCAGTGCAAGCTCTTGTGGACTACTTGAAAGAAACCACCAATGATGCCAAATTGCACTACGCTAAAAGCTAGTGTAAAGATCTTTCGAGTGTTTTGAGTTTGAGAGAATGAAAGTTATGAGAGGATTAGAAAGCTATGAAAACTAATCAACGAGAGAGATCCACAATCAAAGGATCGTAGATCTCCCGCGGGAGACTGTAAAGTGTGATAGAGTAGATTGCGGTAGCAATCCTCTACTCTCTCCAGATCCCAAAACGGAACGCGTGGAAGATTCTCTAGCATTTACTAGTAGCGTGGAAGTGCTCCACGCTGGCTAAATATCTAGAGCGATGTTTCATCATCAACCTAGTATGACTAGCGGTCATTGAGAATTCTGTCTCCAATGACTATTCGCGAAG